TCGTTGAACTGTTTTAATGTTCCAACTATTTCAAATAAATTTTTTGATTTCCAAAAAATCAATGTTTCATTGCTAAAATCCCATCTTTCACATATTATGCTTGATTTCTCAGTTGGAAGTATTGATAGCTTACAGTGATCGTTCTACAATATATTAAATCAAGCTATTTTTGCATCCGTTCCGATCAGGCAGTCCCGTCCGCAAAGCAGGTGTCTCCCGTGGTTTAATTGGGCAACTAAATATTACAAGAATAGGAAAAAGAAGCTTTTAAAAAAATTTCGCTTAATCAGTGGCAAGTAATAGATTTAATTCCCTCAACCACCAATATTATTGCAGATACCTTCAGTGTGGTGGATCCTCTCTGTTTGCTAATCCTTTTTTAAGTTCGTTAATTTCAAAAGAAAAATCTCCATAAAGCCCTCGCATGTTTCTTTTAATGTCTCTGAGCCCTCGGTTGAAACATCAAATCTCTTTGCGGAACACTTCCGACAAAACTTTTCGACTGCCAATTTCGATTCATCAGCAAACTATCCATATTCGATTACTAATTTGGTTTCAATTCCTAATTTGGTTATCTCTGAAAATGATGTTTTTGAAGGATTGAACTCTCTAAAATATAATTGTGCGCCCGGATCTGACGGAATTCCATCATGTGTACTTATATCTTGTGCAGGCGAGCTATCGGTGTTATCTGAAAGATTTTTAACAAGTCCTTGAATTTCCCTTCGTGTTGGAAGGCTTGTTTCCTTATTCCTATTCACGAAAGTGGAAGTACACAACTTGTAGAGAACTACAGAGGCATTGTCAAGTTGAGTGTCTTGCCTAAACTGTTTCAGCTAATTATGACTCAGCATATGGCCTTTGTCATCAAATCGTATATTTCTCCACTCCAACATGGTTTTCGAAAAGGATGAACTACGGTCACCAATCTGTTAAAGTTTATATCTCATGTTCTCAAGGCTCTTCCTAGTGGCTCTTGCACTGATGTCATATACCCTGATTTCAGCAAAGCATTTGATTTGGTTAACCATACACATCTCATCTTTAAACTCCAAGTCTCTGGCTTCCCTTTCTATTTATTAAGATGGTTAAACTCTTATCTGCACAATAGATCATTCAGGGTTTTGTTTAACTTCATTACCTCGGATGAATTCCCCGTGACGTCTGACGTACCTCAAGGCAGCCACTTAGGACCCATTTTATTTAATTTATGCATTAATGATTTGCCCTCGGTGATTAAATCCACCCATATTTCAATGTATGCTGATGATGTGAAACTGTTTTCTTCACTCTTCATTCTTTTTATCTTTTGCATGGTGCTCGTTGAATCTTATGAAACTAAATCTAAATAATCCGCCTGAATAGCCGAAAGCGAGGAATCTCGACTAGCAAGTCAATGGTCGTGGGTTCGAATCTCAAGTGCGGTAGATTTTTTAATAAAGGCCGATAGCCTTAGATGCTAGTGCTTTTAAGAAGTTTAGTCTTAGAATTTATTTCTCTGACGAAATTAATAATAATAATAATAAATCTCAATAAATGTAAGAAGCTTTCTTTCTCAAGAAGGAACTCATTTATTACTCAGTATTTCATTGATTCGCACAAGTTGGATGACGTCGATTCGTTCACAGATTTATTTGACCATAGGTTACATCTTAACTTGCATATTGAGCTCCCGTTAAGTGAAGCTAGGTCCGCGCTTGCTTTTATAAAGAGGTGGTCCAAACAGCTTGATGATCCTTATATTACGAAAAGGCTGTACATGTGTTTGGTTAGACCTATACTTGAGTATGCCTCTGTTGTGTGGCCTCCTTCATATAGATGCTATGTAGATTCAACTGAATCTGTTCAAAAGCAATTCTTGCTGTTTGCCCTTAGGAATTTGGGTTGGGACCCGATTGCCTCTCTTCAACCCTATGAAAATAGGTTGTTTGCTCTTGGGGTTTCCTTCTTAATCAAAGTAATAAATGGTACTATTTACTCGCCCGCGTTACTTGGTGAGATAAGCTTTAATGTCCCTAATCGCTTCTCTAGGCACTTTATCTTTATTAAGCTTAGTCAATGCAAATACAATTATGAGCTGTTTAACCCGCTCAGAGTTGTTTACAGAAACCTAAATATTGTCTACCTCTTTTTCTCATTATCAGACTCTTTAAAGCCTATTAAAAATCCGCCTGAGTAGCCGAAGGCGAAGAATCTCGACTAGAAAGTCAATGGTCGTGGGTTCGAATCTCAAGTGCGGTAGAGTTTTTAATAAAAGCCGACAGCCTTAGATGCTAGTGCTTTTAAGAGTTTAGTCTTAGAATTTAGTCTTAGAATTTACTTCTCTGGCGAAATTAATAATAATAATAATAATAAAGTCTATTAAAGCAACTTTGCTTAATATGCGCGATTTACCTATGTCGTACTTAAACTAACATTTCATTCTTAATATCCCATTTTTTATTTAAAATAACACTGTGTTGTTAACGTGTTGGTTGCCAAGCTTGTGCAAGTTTGCAATGGTTTAGGGGTTCAGTTGCAATCTGGATCTGTTGCGGGTGTGCTTGTGTGGTAGCTGTGTACATGCTTTTTTTTCTTTTTTCTCTCTTTTTATTTATTTATACATGAACTATTATTTTTAACTTTTTAATTTATTTTTAAACTTACATTGTTATTATTATTCTTCTTTTTTCTTACTTTTTATTGTATACTAGTTTTAAAACAATTAGTATAAGATTTTATATTAAGATGCACTGAATTCGACTGTAATTTTCTTTAGTTGAATTTCGTGTATAAATGTGTAAAATAAAATAAAAATAAAATAAATTAAAAAAATATGGACGGACATCAAACAAACACACGAATAGACGGGCTTAAATCAATTCAGTTCAGAGTTAGTGCTAGATGGATCACGTCTTTTGTGGACATGATAAGCACAAAACATGCGTCAAGTTTTCGATTCGTACGCTTTATATATTAAACTTGCTTGCTGTTATTGTTGTTAATATTTCTGCTATTTTATTTATTTTCCCTTTTTTACAATCAATCACCCAAGGGAGGTCGTCCGTTTGTATGTAATGCGGGATAAGTCAGATGTAAGGAGACGAACTTAGAGAGTGACCGAAGCCTAGGGCGGGCAGTGCATTATAACTATAGTCGTAGAGAGATGATTTTCGTTGGTCTGTGGCCGCGTTCATTTTGTTTTTCAATTTTTACAATCACAGCAAATTTACCCAAAAACTGACAAGCGGATGGATGGATGGACGGATATGGGTATCGACCGATGTAAATGAGAAATCGGAATTTTATTCTGGAGTCGGTTTATGGCAAACACTCGATATCTGGTAAACACTATACACGATGTAATAAAGTATGCATTTTTATACCTTACATCATCTGTGATATAAGGGTACTTTATGTAAAAGCATATGTATGCAACACACAGTAGGACTTGAAATAGATCCACCTTTTATTATACCAATTGATTCAGAGTCACTTTCTGAATCGATCTAAGTATGTCTACTCGTCTGTCCATATTGTATTTTTATATCCTACTCGCAAATATTTAAAAAACTTTGGTGGACTATCCGCTACTTCCCTTATAAGGCCTTATTTTACAAAATCGTTACATAAATAACGTACATATTTAAGGGTGGACCGTATCACAATATTTTATCCCAATACTTACTGTTGAATGAAAAACTTTCCATCGTAAAATTACTGCCGCATAACCTATTCAAATTTCGATTGGGTTTACTGGATATCGAGAACCCAACAACATTCATGCATATCTATGCAACATCAACAATGTTTGCGCGTTATGCGATATATTTTTGTATTCCGCGAAAAGAAGGGCAATTGCGTCTTAAACATTTCCGAAACAACAACTTTCCGGAAAGAGAGATTTAAGAGATTTGCTTTTTTCAATTACCAGTGGGTAGAACACGTGTTCCTAAAGTGCAGTGAAAAAAAAATCGTTTCGCCACACATGTTTCGCCATTAAAATCACAAGTTTCTTTCGGAGTATTAGGTAACTTTCTGAGAGAGCGCAAAAGGCTGTTTTCATATTTTTGAAGTGTTTGATCAAAATCTTTGCTAGAAGTCAACGTACACTCATGAGATATCGGCAAAAAAATGTTGCGAAATAAATACAAAATTTCAGTTTATTACATAAGCTTTAGCTTTATTCTTATAATTTAGTTTGAATGTATGCCATTAACGTTCTTGTGCAATCACTTTATATCCGTTTATATATAACTCTTAATATTTAATTATTAAATTATCTTAACAGCTAAGAAGCGCGCTAGAAAGTAATTGCTATTATGTCTGAATTGTAGGCATCGTTAACTAATGCTAACGAGAACGAATCGGCCAAGTTAACGTTACAGTGAAAATTGTAAACGAGAAAAAGCATTAAATATCAAATATCAATTAAATTCAAAATCAATCTCAATTAGCAACAAAAACTTCAAAGTAAAAGCTTTTTCTGTTTTTTTTTTTGATCATTTTTCATCGAGTTATTTAAAAAAAAGGAAAAAAAAACAATTGTAGTATTCATCTTGTTCATTTTGTTTTTTTTTTTTTTTATGTTTTCGCTGTAGTATGTAAAATTTTTGATTTTAAGGCACATTATATATATAAAATGGGGAGGAATGAATTGTTATATTATATAAGCCTTCTTTCTTATGTCGTGGACTTGTATTGCATTCCGTATGCGTGTTTTACATCTTTTCTTCAGATGCAATAATGCTTCGAATTGTGCTTTTAGTTGCTGTAGTTATCTTAAATAATTCCAATTGATTTAAATCTAGAATTTCTTGATTACATTTCTTGTGTTTTTTTTGTGATTTTGTTTTTTATTTTTATTTTTTTTTTTTGCTAAAATTTTACAAATAAAGGAATTGTTAGCAAAACGTTTGCAACAAGTTAACCGATTTTGCATTTCACCTGAATATTTAAATTCGTCACGATATTATTGTGATTGTATTATTGTAGTAATAACTAACCCTGGTACGTACAACTAATTAAGTAAACATTACTCTTTGCCAAAAACAACAAGTAAGAAAATTATATTCGGCCGTGACCGAATCTTTTACACACACCACTTTTTCTCTATAATATTGAGTTGGGGTGGCTGATGTTTTCCGACTTTTATATAGGCACTGTAAAATATATGTGAAAATATCCTCGACTTAATCCGGTATAGTAGTGGGCAATTAGGAGATTTCTCGGTTTTGAAAATCAAAATGTTCTTAGTTTCACACGTTGCACGATAAACATGCATTTTACTCGATTTCGCCCATTTTCAATTTCAAGTTGCCTGTAAGAGCAGTCATTATACGACGCACAGATGGACATATTTAAATCGCTTAGAATTTGACATTGATCAAGGGTATGATCTCTGTAAAGCTTCGATAAAATAAACATACCCTCATCATTCGTTGGTGGTGTATATGCATGGTTAAAAACTAAAAAAAAAAAAAATATTAAAGAACCTCCATAAAAACCTCGCAACGCTCACTCTTTAAGATCTCAAGTAAGAAAAGTACAAAAAAAACAAACCAAGCTTATCTTCAATGTATGATAAATACATCTTTTATATCGATCATGAGAGCTCACCAATCGGGGCGTTTTGCAGCCACAAATCATGTATAAAATTATACAAATTATCACTAACGGATACCTGCGATATTGCGAACTAAATTCAATAATGTTTAATTTATTATAACAACGGCATTCAGACTAACCTTGTAAGGAGTGGGATTCAGAGTGCGTTTATGATCATTCCTAAGGGTTTTCAGGGACTTTTGTACTTTTTCTCGGACCAGCTCCAATGTAGGTAACTTTTGAGTAATTTTACCGTTTTGCCAGTAAATCTTATATAAAGGCTCTACACGACTGGGAATGACGTAGGCACGCTTAGACTCCTGGAAAGGATGACGACACAAAACCTTTTGTCCAACTTCTGGCGGTGTTTCCGATACTTTTTGCAGTAAATCAATCAAGGCATGACCATCAGAACTGTAAAGTCTGCAAAAGAAAGCAGATTTTGAATTGTGATAGAACAAAATTGTACAAAATTTTGGCCCGAAAAGGAGTACATAAAAGCGAGAGTGTTCGCTTTTCTTTTCATTCACACACGCTACTCTTCCAACTATTGAAGAAAGCAGGCACAAAATGCTCTCAAAATGAAATCCAGTGCTGCCGAAGAAAACGAGCCGGTGACTAAAAGATTAGAGATCATTTTTCTTTCAAAGTGACTCCGTCTTATTTTTGAAAGATTACTATAGCACATTACTTCGAAGTAAGTGAATCATATTCGACTGTGAGCATATGTATGGCATATTTATACAAACCACCTTTCTTCAAAAAAAGGACGACTAAGAGTTGAACTTCGGTCTATTATATTGAGTGGGCTTGACGTATTTTTTCTATTTTTCTTAAGGTACTGTAAGGTTATTCATAGAACGGAAGTGGAAATTGACACCACCATATCTATTTATGAGTAACGACCAAAAAACGACATTTTTTTATGCTTTCGAAAATAGAGGTGATCTTAGGCTACGGTGTACTGTGTATGTTTCCTTCGACCTATTTGACCCACTTTTAACACTAACCAACAGATACGAGCTTCCAGTATTTCTGTCAAATTTCAAATCGATAGCTTCTTTTTTGGAGAAGGACCAAGAGAATGTTTACCGCAGTGATTATTGCACAAATGGATTGACTGGTAGAAGGATTTGCTTAAATCGATTCAGAATGAAGAATGGAGGTTTTGCACACCACTAGTTATATCGTTCATATTATTCATTGGCTATTGATAAACCATCTAACTGAAAGAGATTATCAAAGCATCATCAAAATTTCAAATGCAAAACCACGAATCATATAAAGTTATCGGTACGGACTAGAGATATGGGTAAATGATTTCTTTAAGTCGAATTACCTGACCTTTAAGTTTGATAGGGGGAAGGCTCCCCGTATAGAAGAATGTAACTAAAGGCTTGAAAGGCTTTTGATTCTAAACTTAGCTAATTTCTGAATCCTTTAACCGCTAAGACTAAAAGATACTAAATTTGATCTTCTGAGTATAATTTTAAGATCTTTATCATGATTTCAGAAAAACAAAGTGTACAATATCGATTCAGCTATTCGCGATGATCGCGAAAACTTTTTGCTGCTCTCGGTTTTCCATATATTCCCGAATTGTAAACATAAAACAAATGCAATGTATCCTCTCTGTTGCAGAGGATGTGCAAGTATTAGACCAGTATCTACCTGTAAGCATTTTTATGACCGGGCATAGTGACCTTTTCCACGTCTTGACTTAGTTTAATACGTGGCTGGCCGTTAATTTCCACCAATTTATAAACGCATCCTAACGCTGGCTGCCGTTGACAAGTTACTAAAAAGAGAATACACGTAAATATGTAAATACAATTATACAATTTATAGATATTATAATACTTACCTAAGTGAGTGCCAATGCCGAAGCAATCAATTTTATGTCCCTGCTCGTTTAGGCTTAGTATTGTCTCTTCATTGATGTCATTGGAGGCCACTATGGTAAGTTTATTAAACCATTGCACCTTGAAACGTTCGGCTACTCTTTCAAACGTCTCACGAGCGAGACAGGACAGATATGCCAAATCACCCGAATCGATACGTATACCAACCGCCTGATAGCCCAAATCGTTTAGTGCCAAAGCGACAGCACAAAAGTTCAGCAGACCACTTCTATATGTGTACAAATAAGAAATATTTTCAAAAGGAATTCATTCCCTCGTGCGTAAAGAAGATAATTTTTTGTAATTTCAACAACAACAAAATTGCATCGCTAACTGTTGTGTTGGGGTGTAAGTTAAAATCATTACTCTTAAAAAATGGAGAAAAATCTTTAAAAAAAAGAAAAAAAAAAGAAAAAATCGAAATAATTTTAGAAAAACTAAAAATTATACCGATCGTTCCACTAGTTTAAAAAGTTAAGATTAAATTGAAATATGAAATGTGTTGAAGCCTTTGCCTTCGCTTTTGCTTGCTAAACTCAAGTAATGCATATGTTAAGCTTCACATTGAAATTATGTTTAATTATACGCAGGCATATCACTTATTTTCGCTTTTTACTTGTAAAGCCATGCAGTGTTATCTCTCGGATCCTTTGATTGATAGTCGTATGAAGTTATTTATGAAATTTCCAAATAATATGAGAAATATTTAACATTTAGCAGGCGATAATTGAACGTAACAATGGATCTATTAACAATGATTGAAATTGAAATTTTTGTGAGTATAACACACGCACATACACAATTTAGCATTTTACCATTTGAACAAACAAAACTTGCTTTCTAGTACGAATGTGTTTTTTCTTTTTTTTTTTTGTTTTTCTTTTTTATTATTTTTTTTTTTTTGTTTAGATGTACATACCTCTGTCGAAACTGTGCCGGGAAGTCATTTTTTTTTTCGTTTGTTAAAAAAGTGTTCGTAAATTAATTTTTGTATTTTATTTTTTGGATTAAAAAAGAAAATTAATCTTTTAATTCATATTAAAGCAAACAAAGATAAATAACGGGAGAAAAATTATTCACTTGAAAACGCACAATAAAAATATAATGAAAAAAAGAAAGAATGGAAGAAAGACATATTTTTTTTTTTTTTTTTTTTTTTTTTTTTTGTTAGAGATAAGCTAAACAAAATAGCATAATTAGCCATAAGGCGAATCTTGATTGTCGACAATCTTACGAGGGTATTATTATTACAAATCGACATTTTCTTCCTTATTTTAAAAGCCCTTCCTTCCGATTGTTAGTTTCTTTCTGTTCAAATCACGTCCTTTTTCAGTAAGGTTTGTGTAAACTAAAACGCGTAAGTCAAGCATCTTTGTTCCAACTACAGTCAGATTGCAGACAGACGGATGGGCAGACTAGATTATATAGACTTAAAAGTCTTACACGTTGCCTTTAGTATGCCAAATAACAATTAGTATATCAGCGTCTTTTGAATGCAGATGAAAAATAGGAAAAATATGCAAATTAGAATTTAAAGAAATTTCCCCAAGAACACATACAGTAAAGCCGATGAACATGTAGTGAAGACTATGGTTATGATATCATGGAAAATGTTCTGGAACAGTATTCGAAGGTGGGAGGTATTGTTATTCATGAACTTGGGAGTTATAGTACATTAGTATTATCTATGCTATGGTTATGCGTACTATGACAGATGTACCGTTTTTGCTATAATAGGAGAAAGTCTTTTTCGATTTTAGCAGCTTCTCTTTCAACTTCAAATACAATACTTCAAATATTGCCAGGTTTTTGCAGAATTTACACAATAATATATATTGGTACATAACCAACATGGACCGTATTGCGCGTAAGTTTAGAAAGTACAAAATACGAAAGATATTGCAAGAGAAGTGTCGAAATGTGAACAAAAGTGAACCAGTTTCCAAGATTCTTATATTAGCGTTCAGATTTTTATACATTACATCGCATGTGGCGCAAGAATGTATTAAGTGTATGCGGATATGTTTGACAACAAGAAGGACTTGAGATAAAATCACCTTTTAAGTTCGTCTCTCCGCCTGCTTGTCTGGCTATCTTGCCTTCATGTCTTCAACCTATAGGCAGCAATTTTTAATATATGTTAATGAAATTTAGCACACTGTTTTGGCCCAGGTACGAACGTTGTTGAAAATGGTTCGGGTGGGACCACTTGCCATATAGCGCCTTATTTTAAAAAGTCGTTATATGACGAGACCCAGTCCTGACCTAGCAATTGATGAAAAGTAATAATAAGTCGACCAATTTACACTTTGTTCGTTAGTCATCAGATCGTTATCATGCGAGATTAGTTTTCCCTCAGCGTTTCTCCAAACAAACATAGCATACGAAACGATTCGTATCGAATCAGCATATAAGGCCTTATTTTGAAATCTCGATATATGGGCAACTGCAGAGTGATGTAGGATATTTAATGGCGGGCCATGGCCTACTATCGTGTTCTCGCTTGTGTTTGTTTAAAGTCCAGTTGACATAAGAATATCGATTTCAGAAAATCATTTACGCCAATCACTGATTTCTGCGAAATTTAATTATTCGAACGGATTCTAGTGCACCTATTTAGGTCATTTCAGTCCACTTCACTTCACTTCACTTCACTTCATTTCTCTTTCGTTCTTGAATACATTTGGTATTGTATATTTCGACTCACTCTTCTATCATCAAACAGCATACATTTTAATATCATTTCTAAAGTAAACTTCTCTTTTATCGAAATCTACATCCCCTTGCGACACATACGTATGTGTGCATCAATGCGAAAGGTGAACAATTGAAAATCTTCTGAAAATGTTTGGATAGGCGAGTGTACTTCTCGTATGGATAAAGAACGAAACGATTGAAGAAAGTTTAATAATTGCGCTCGAGAATGCTACACATACACGCATGTTGAGCTGAGAGTTTAAGAAAGAAAATCCTTGGATCGACGCATATAAGTTCTGTTGGTGTCGTATTCGCTGTTTATTTTATGCATTGAAATCGTGTGGTCGCTTCAAAGTTATTTATAACAAGTTTCCGACTTACAAACCGATATCGAACCTTAAAAATTTGAAAAGAAAAGACTTATTATCGGAAATGTTTAAGTGTTTAAAAAATAATTTTTTCACTTTGTTAGTAATTTATAGAAATTCATTGGAAATGGCACCTACCTATCATATAATGCGAACAAAAGTAAGAGTAAATGATTTTAAAGCGAGTCATTCATTATATTCAAAGTAAAATAAATAATAAAATAATTCACTTAAATAAGAGAAAATCAATTAATTTCTTTTTCGTTTTTTGCAACAATCACAGAACATTCAACTCGATAAGCCCATGCAAAAAATAATTTAAAATTAAATAATGTATTTGAAAGCTTATGAAAATAATTATTAATTTAAAAAAATTTTGAAGCAATTTTTTACCTGAATGACTTCTCGGTTTTTTTGCACAGATTGGACAGAGATCGTTGTGATAATTGTGACATGCATGCATGGTATTTACTATCATGAGGTTGAGCATTATTGTTGTTCATATTTTGATCATTTTTATTAGTATCATTTTCCGTTGAAGTGGATACAGCATTATTAATATTATCTATATTTCCATTTGGATGAACAGTCCAACCATTAGTCATATTAATACCAGCACTAGTAGTAGTGATTGGCAGTTTTGTTTCATTTATATCAGTCGATCGTTTATCGCTTAAATTTTTAGCATTGCTTTTGCTAATAACTGCTTTAGTGACAGTTTTTGCTGTAATATTATTACTGTTTGTACTTTTAGCAGGGCTGTAGAAATACATAACCGTTTATCATTATATCAATATTTGGTAAACATATACATATACATCTATATTGGCGAGACGATAAACTTTTATTTATTTATTCATTTTTTTTTTTTTATCTAAATAATCAACACTAACTAGGTTAGAGTGCAATTTTATATATTTATGAACATTTCCATTTAATGCAATAATAATTTTGGAAGAGAATATTTGGCTTTTGTTTGTGATTTTTGTTCCGAGAGAATTTGCCTATAAGCTAAAATACCTCTTGACATCATACGTATCGACTAAAGCCATAAATCCATCAGGAAACGCTATAGCATAAGACACCATAGCAGCCAATTCGCCCTCTGACGACTCTTCCATTGATACGTTTAAAACTGTAGATAATTTTTGTCGATACTTAATGGCTAATTCCAGTAAATCGCCGGTAACGCCTGCTAGTGTGAAAATAAAACACAGAAAAAGAAAAAATCTTGTAGATTTTACTTTAGGATTAAAATTCTTTCAAACATACCGGTTAGTTTATGTTTTAAGAGACGTGCCTTTAATTCTTCTATACCAGAGAAAGAGGTAATGTAAGCATGTGCATGTGTGCCTTTTACGGGTATATTGAACAGTTTGCCGGCCAGAACGTTAGAGGTACCATCGAAACCACCTGAAATTTAAAAAGAATAAGAAGAACTAAGTGGGCGAATTTCTAACGCCCAGATCGCCTTGTCTCGAAAAGACGCACAGCAAGATAAAAATTAAAAAGCAAAGAGGAAAGCAACTAAAAACACTATAGTTGCCCATCATTAGATACCCTACACTATCTTACACTCATTCGTATAACGATCTTTCCAAATTACACGTTAAATGGCAAGTGGTCGAACCATTTCCAATAGAGTTAGTTCTTAGGCCAAGATATATTTGTGTACCAAATTTCATGAAAATATCTCAAAAAATAAGTTTAAATAGGTTAAACATGAAAAAATCGGAATGTCTGACGGACAGACTGATAGGCCGGCAGACAAGGGTAGATCGATTCGCAACTCCTGTCAATATAGTAAAAAGTGGATGTATCTCAAGCTCTTCTGCAAGTTACGCGTATTCGCGCAAGCTTAATATACCGTTGTACCACAAATTGTGTAAGACATAAAAAGAATGAAATTTTGATGCTCCTATAATATTAAATGAACGCAGCAAAGCTTTCCCGTTTTTGTACATATGTCGGAAAATATACCCGAATATTTAGCTTATGTGCTATGAGCAAAACGCCCAATTTTTTTTTTTTTTTGGTTTTAAAAACAAAGATATTCTTGGTTTACATTGTGCTCCCCTAACCATCCATATCTGTCATTGTAAATTTTTATGCAGAATTCCACTGCGGGAAAAATGATTACTACAAACTTCCTGCAGACAGACAGACGAACGTGCTTAAATCGATTCAGCTTTTGTTATTGATTAATAATATATACACTTTAGAGGGTCTCATAGGGTCTCTTAAGCTATCTCTCTCTTCAAATTATTGCCGTGACTGGACACTAAAACTCCTAACGCAAAAAATCCAAGAAATTAACTGCCAGCTATACAAATATTTCAAGAAGGAAGTAAAATATGTTTTATTCAACGTTTACATCCCCAGCTATAGAATTTTGCAATACTTCCGAATAGCGGAATCCATTTCGAGAAAACCCATGCTTCGTTCACAGTAAACCATTCGTCACACATTTTTTCGGAAGTGTTGTTCCGAAAGCCGTTGTGAAAACGATGCAAGTTGTTAACCAGAACAGATTAATTTACCATGACAAGTTCTGATTATTTTTCGGTCATTACTACGTTTAAATTGATCGTTTGCTTGTTGTCGTATACCTTGCAGTAATAATAGCTTAGCCAAACTTCTTCGACTTATAAAAAATCACAAAGCAGTAAGATGCTCATTCATTTCTCGTCGTGGCTATAGAATGCAAAAAGAACTTCCTCCTTTTCATATCTTTGAAGTAGCATTTCACACCTAAATTTTCATTTCCCAAATTTATCTTCAACGCGTGCACATTGTTCAACGCAAATTTTCACAAGAAAACGTGGAATATTCGCCGACTTTTTTAGAATAAATAAGAAAAACACTGCGGCCCGAATGCGAATTAGAGAAGTTAGGAAGAGCTCACTTGCACGTGTGCAAGTTCTAGGTTCTAAATTTACGATTTTCAAACAATTTATTACACTATATAATTGGAAGGAGATACCTCTCGACACTCTTGCCCTAGTTTTGAAACTCTATTTCAGAAAATATAACTATTTTTTATTTATATTTTTTATTAAGTATGAGAGAACTAAGGCAAATAGAAAACTTAATATCCTTTTTTCCTTTAGCCAGGATTTTGTGTTCACCACATGAAACCAATACTTAAAAATTGATCGTGAAGCCAATCTTACACTGATTTTTTAGATGCCTCTGACGGATATTTATGTCAATTCGTAGGTCAATGCTATTATAGATTATCAAAGATTTGGTGGTTTACTGATGGGTACATGTGGATCAATGCATATCGTGTCAGAAGAAGTTCCTACCCGCCTTATTTTGCGCTTATGTGCCATACAATGTACACCTTCACTGCTTAATACTATCATCAAAAGTGGCATTTCCTGCCATAATAAAAACGAGGGAAAAATCCTATTCGGCATCAATTGAAGTTCCTTAATACCATCACTAGTTTGTGTTGAAACGAAGAAAAAAACTTAAATGATTTATTAAAGATGGATTTTATATTCGAGATGGCCCGCAAGATATTATTATTAGTCGAACTATTTGTATTAGTTCGATGCAACAACATGTAAGCATCAATTGTTTGCAAAAATTCTTAGTAAAATGCCTAAGTTCGCATTTTTCGTAGACAATGCATCGGTGTACAATCTCTTCTTATAAGTAAAAGAAGCTGTCCTAAGATTTTTTGCAGGATAAGACGGCAGTGACCACGGCCTAGTGGCTGTGTGCCTAAACGATAAATGTTATGCTTTTACCTGAACTGAGCGGTCAGTAAACTATGTCGGAAGTAAATTTTTACCGCACTTAAAGTTAGAATACCCACGAACGCTGACTCGGTAATCTCAATTCCTTACCTACTCGGCTACTCATGCGAAATCCTACCAGTTGTTATTCGAACTGTGTAATGAAACAATTGCAACAATCGCGGAGCAATATTTTGAAGTCCTTTCAAGCAATGACATGTAATTATTTAACTGAAAATCCTTACAGAGAGAAGAATAAATATATTTTGATTCATAAATTTATGCAGTTTTATTATTGATAGAAAAAGTCCTGGGTAAGCTTTTATGACCAACCCCTTGTCACCTTTTATAGCAGATAGAGAAAATCGTAATTATATTTTTCATCTTTACGAACCGATTGCAACCGATATATCCTATTGCATTCATATTTCTTCTTGGCTTAAGCCAATTATTAAACTGCACCTATACAAAATATTGGCAATGAAGGAAGCAAGAAAACGTTCATTTTTGGCGACTGGCAGGCAGAGAATTGGCAAACTAAAAATTAGTTTTGCATTTTTTTTTATTTTTTACTAACGACCCTAAAAATGTTATATTTCTTAATCATTATATATATATTGGAGAAATTTGATTGACTGGCCCGGTTTCAAGCTACTGCTCATCCGCATAAGAAGTCGATTGAGTTAAATAACTTAGTAATTAGAGGCACATTAAAAGTTTTTTTGAATATGTTTCATGTGCGTATGACTGTGTATGTGTATGGTTGGGGAATTCCATATTTTTGTTTTCGTGGAGTTGATAACTACTGTTGCAAGAAGAGGTTAATTTACGACGTGTTAGCTGCTTCACAACCAAAAACACTTTTGCGCAATCATTAAACGAACGAACGAACGAACGAAGCAGAAGTAAAATACAAAACCTGGCACCGACAAGCACAAAAAACTTTATTTAAACTTATTTTGTACACATATGTAAAGCTTACGTATTTTTATGTCGAGAAATATGCTTACACATGTACATACACATATAACAAGTGCCGATAAGAGTTGAAGCAAATGTTTCGTCAGAGAATTTTAAAGCAATGGTACGTTCCAACACCCTCATATCAGTCTGTTATTTTACCCACTGCTGAATATTTCAGATATACTAGTTATGTTATTCATTTTGCGACACTTAAAAAGAACATAACAACAAAATTAATATAATCTTTATTGTCAGCCTGAGATGTTAAACTACGATGAAAATCGAGTAGCGAAAGTTTGATAAAATTTTTCTGCTATTCGTTGACATTCATTTTCTTCAAGAATTTAGATATAGTACGTGAGTTTCGATACTATCCATAATATTCCATAAATTTTAATGACACTTGGAACGCGAGACATAAAATATATAGCTAACAACAAGTAAAAACGCTATAGTGGGATGCTGCCCGCCATTAAATACCCTATACTACTTCGCTTAGTACAGTTATTCATAGGACGACTTTTCTTAGTAACGTCTTAGATTGGAAGTGGTGGGAGAAGTAGTCCGATCCAAATAATTCTCAATTCTTTTGTTTGCTCTTGAGCCAAAAGGTGTCGGTACATGAAGTCTCATCAAAATATCTCGATAAGTGCGACATAATAAAACAGGACGGACAAATAAGCCCAGATCGATCCAGAAAGTGAGCCTGAATACAAAATTACAAAGTATAACACACCTTTGCACCACAAATAATATAGCATATAAGAAGGTCTTGGATAAAAAAACGTTTTTATTATTTCAAAAATTCGCCTAAAAATCGGTTACAAAGACGTCTAAATAATAGTACGCAATGGTGCGGCTCGGAAAATATAGCTTCGAGAAAAATGCAATTAAAACGTTAAGTAATGGCAGCTGTTACCAATTGCAAGTAGGAACTTTATTGGACTTTAAAGCTAGATAAGCAATTAGACTTTATATATATATAATTTATTATTATTATTATTATTATTATTATTATTATTAATTTCGCCAGAGAAATAAATTCTAAGACTAAACTCTTAAAAGCACTAGCATCTAAGGCTATCGGCTTTTATTATTAAAAACTCTACCGCACTTGAGATTCGAACCCACGACCATTGACTTGCTAGTCGAGATTCCTCGGCTTCGGCTACTCAGGCGGATATATATATATATATATAATTTAAGATGATAAAATGCAAAAAAAAACAAGTAAGAAAGTTATATTCGGGTGGGGCCGAATCTCGTATACCCACCACCACTAAGACTGTGCTTTTATATTTTATTATAAAAAGGTAAATGAAATAAAATGAAATGTATGTTTCAAGCTTTTACTTCACTAAAAGGTGTACTTAGCAAAAAAAATTAATCCACTACGTCGTGACGTCTACCATAATTAATACAGAACTAACATACTTAGCTTGTCTCATTCTACTGTGATGAAAAAATGAATCCCCTAAGACACTAAGTGTCCATCACAATTAAGTTGAAACTAACCAACTTAACTTTTCGCATTCTACTCTCCAAGTTCTTTTATTTGATACCCATGTCTCTGGTATTATTAAGAGAAAACTAATCCATCAGGTCGCCCTGTCTACCATATTTTTTTAGAATTAACCCCAGACAATATGTCTTCATTTGAAACAAAACAGTTTTAAACAATCCGCCTTTCTTGTCTTAGGATAAAGAAGCATTTTATGTTCAATTCGGCTTGGCCGATTTTTTCCATTTTTGGACGTAAAGAGCAGGGTGTTTTGTAAAGTAAATGTGGAAATTATTAGGCTTACACACACGGACAAAAACTCACAAATTTTTTTAAAAAAAACATTTTTGCGACCAGGGGAGTGCCAACAACAAACGCCGCCCAGACATACAGACGGACAGACATGGCTTAATCAATTCAGAATTTTACGCTAATCAACAATATATATACTGTATAGGGTGTTTGAAGCTCCCTTTTGGGTGTTGCATATATTAGGAAAAAAAAAAAAAATTATGATCCATCCTTCAGTGATGGGTATAAAAAGGTACAAGGTTGTATAACCACTTAAATGACGCAACAACAAAAATGGAAAGGTATTAAATCAGTCAGTATTCAAGCATATAAATGTCGTGAGTTGCACTTAATGAAGAGTATGATCAAATAAATAAATAATAATGACCTTATTTAATATCCTGTCTATCTGTCAATCATCAGAAACACGTGTTTTATTTCATAATCACGAAAGAGGAACAAAAAAAAAAGAATACTAATAGATAAACGCCAATGACTTTAACACTCACCTGTATAGGAATATTTTGACGCAGAAAGGCCACCGTCTGGTCCTTGAGCCCGTCTTAGGCCAAATTCTAATAGATTTACATGTTTACCAGCAACCATGCGATAACGTGCTGCATTTGTAGCCATTAAACTGAAAATCGATAAGAACCTTTTTAAATACTACACGAATGCTTAAAATTTATATATGTGCCAAGTTTTCCAATACTGATACCATCTAAAAGAATAACAAAGAAAAAGGCTATCATTCCGTTTTCAGAAATAAAGAAATAATGAAAGAGATACTACTCAAAACATACACGACCCTTGATTGACAACAATTTATTTTGTTAACTCGCTGAGATGATTCCCACGAGTAAAAGAGACGAAAGGACAAACTTGTCCTTAAAAGCAAAGTTTTCATAATCGTTATCTAATTAATAAGTAGCAACTTTGCTTCTTTGACTTGAAGGGCAGCGATACATTTTTAAAGGCAGAAGGCTCCGCTTTAAAATAATTTTTTAATCGATCGAATCGAACGAGCAGGATATCAAGAAAAGCAATAATAGGTGATTTTTTACATCATATCCGTCCACCAGTCCATGCGACAAAACATGTCTATGATACGTTCGTTGCGCGCAAGTAGAAAGTTCTAAGCCATGCGACTTAGTCACCAGAATTGCCTCCGGCCGATTACTACTTCTTCGCATTGATAGGATACGCACTTGCTTAGCAGCGCTGAACTTCTTGCGAAAATGCCCGAAAATGTGCGGAAATGCCTGGATGAATGATTTGTCTCAAAAGAGCAACATTTGTGTCTTTCAAGTGGAATCCGCAAATTGTCGAACAGATGGGAAAGTGTATTGCCAGCAACGAGAGATAACTGGAATAAAATATTTGCTATCATTTTCATACAGCGAAGGTGCATTTTCTGTAGAACAATTCTGATTTCATATTGACACAGTCAACGAACGTCTTTGGTCTTTGATCTTGGTATAAAAACTTTCAACTGGATAAAATCGATCCTCACTGCTCGAAAATCAATTGAACCATATTTGTCCATAAAGACGTCTAGTGCAGATAGGACGGAGCGTATATAAACGATTTTTGTGAGATTTCATGAGATATTTCGATTTCCAAACTCTTTTATTTGATAATAATATAAAAAAAAAAAAAAAAAATGCGAAACTTATCATATTTGAAATAGATATGAAAGCAAGTTTTAGATTGTGAAGCACTGCGCTGAGTACGCCTAACTACTTATCGTTTAAATATCGCCTTGATATATTTTTAACAATTTCTGGCATAAGTTCGCAAAAATTTGGTGAAAATTTTCAAGATTTATCGTAAGTAAAAGTAAGCATATCAACTCACCTAGCATAATTAACTAAAGTTAATAGAGTTGTCTCCAACAATTGTGCTATAATCAAAGGACCTTCTACTTTAATGATAGGCACTCTGGGAAAAGCCACTGTACCCTCATCAATGGCGTGTAAGGTAACATCTTTAGCAGTCAAATCACCCAAATAATCAAAAAATTCATTTTCTGTGCCTTCTGGCAATGTTCGTCGCAAATATTCAATATCTGGAATAAGAGAAAAGAAGTTTCTTTTCTTCCATACTATTAGTTCAATTTGATATTAAACTCACCGCTTTCGGAATAATGAAAACTCTCTAAAAATCTTAAGCATTCATCTAAACCAGCGAATATTGTAAATTCTCCATGGAATGGATTTGAACGAAAAAACAAATCAAACACCGAATGATCATCAGTTTTTCCGGATTTCCAATAAGCATAGGCCATTGTTATTTGATATAAATCTAATGGGAAAGAGAGACCAAAGAAAAAATATTTAAAAGTTGATCTTTAAAAGTATTAAGCATAGATAAAGCTATTTTTATACCCATCACCGAAATATAAGGGATATGTATATTCATCTTGTCGAAACGTTTGCAACGCCCAGAAAGAAGCATCAGACACTCCAGAAAGTGTATATATTCTTTTATCAGCACCAAACAATAAATCGATTTAAGCATGTCTATCTGTCCGTCTGTGTAAGGTCCGTTTGTTTGTTAACGTTCTCTTGGCCGCAAAAATGAAGCTATCGACCTCAAATTTGGCAGTAACAGTGGAAGTTCTTGTACGCAGGTTGGTATTGAAAATGGGCCAAATCGGTCGAAGGACACGTTCACAGCACCACGTAAACGCAGAACACCTCTGTTTTTTGCTCATTACTCATAAACTGTAACAAATAAATCTACAACAATTTAAAAGCATATTCTGTAAGGAATGCTGTGTCACAAAAATAGAAATGATTGACCACGCCTTTCCAATATCATAGTGTATAAAAATTCAATTATTTTTTCAATATCTTTATAACGCGAAGAAACAAATTCTTGGTTAGTTTCAAATGTTAAATGCGTCTAAAAACATCCGCCCGCTCGTCTGTTCATCTGTCTGTTTGCGCAACTTTGTAGTATTTGTGGTAAACATTCTCCCGTTAGCGAAAATGAAGATATCGCCAATCAAGTTGCTAAAGAATTTGGAATTAATCTAAACTTTTCAAACGATAGGTCTACAACGCACACATGCGTCTGCGACAAGAAAACTTTTTATTTGAAAACAGAACAAGTCAACTGCGCCCACTCCATATTACAGGGCATGAGAATTTTGTTCATATATTTCTTTTGCCTTTTTTTGGAGCAAACGGTGATGAGTATAAAAGATTCGGTCCCGATCCAATTTAATTTTCATACTTATTTTATTTAATTCTGTTACCTACACTTTAATATCACAATACAAATGATTTAAAGGAACGATCAAATTCAAAAGCATTAAAAAGACAAAGTGGCGTCACAGGAAGTGAGGACAGGGGCCTGTTAAGCGACTATCAATATGTTTGTCTACAGAGAAAATTAAAACGATAGCAGCAGAAAACGCGAGCAGCATTTCTTGAAAAAGCGCAAATCGCTTCTTGGGGATTATCTGTTATTATACCGTTAGTATACCAATTGTGGTACAGGGTATACTAAGTTTGTGCGTACGTATGTAATATCGAAAGGAACTTGAGATACGCCCACCTTTTACTATATCAATCGATTCAGAATCATTTTCGAAATCAGTCTAAACTTGTCTGTCCATCTGTTCTTCTCACGGTAAATCGAAAGAAAAATTAGCCTTACCAAATTTGGATCAGTCAGGTCTATTTTTGAATGAAAAGTAAGCCTTTATATGGCAAAAATGTGCAATTTTTGATATTTTATGATGAAGTTTGGTTCGTAAGAGTAATTTGATACTAATCTTAACTGTATCAAATGTGAATCAAGTAGGTCCATTTTTTAGACATCATCGCATACAAGGCTTGTTATGAAATATTATATCTTATATTGAGAAAGTGAATACATTGTCTAATTTTTAATATGTTATGAAGAAAATGCTCCCAGATTTGTGTCGATGTGTGCAACACCTAGAAGGCTTCAAACAGAGCCTTGTTTACTGCACCAATCCGTTTAGAATCGTCGTCTGATTTGATTTAAGCATGTCTGTCCATGTGTACGTCTTGTATTCTTTTGTTTAACCATTAAGCCTTTTTGATGAAATGTGGTACACTGACGTGCTTTAGTGCAAGGACAAACGTTATTGAAAATGATTCGCGTCGAACTACTTTCTCAACCACTCCCTACGTAAAGCTTTATTTCGAAAATTCTTTATATGAATGATTGTAGGGTAGTGTAAGGTATTTTTTTTTTATTGCAATATGACGAATCGCTTAGGAGATGCCCACTATTTGAGCACACGGTCACAGTCAGAAGAAGAGACGGAAATAGAGAAGTGGTGGTCGCAGCAGAATGGGTGTATGTCCAATCGATAAGTGTTAGGCCTTTATTGACTCGCTGTAGTAGGTACCAAGACCAAAGACTACTCTACCGCACTTGATATTTGAACCCGCGAAAACCGGTTTGCTGGTCGCGTTTCTTAACTACTCGGCTACTCAGGCGGGTGTGATTGCGAACCCAGGCCCACTATAGTTTTTACTTGTTTAAGTTGAATGTGATCCCAATTGAAACTAATTTCAATTCTCTATTTTACATTTATTTTATTGATCACACTTAGTTGATTCTATACGAAAATTTTTTTTTTCTAAGATGCGGTTAACTAGGGGTTGCACAATCACACATTTAATATCGCTGTCTATATAATTGAATCGTGGTCTAAAGATTTACTATTAGATATCGTCATCCCTCGTGTTTGTTTGTTGTCAAAAATATTCCGTTCATAATGCATTTTCTATACGTTCAGTTACGTAAGCTACGTTGTTTTTATTTCTGTCTTGCTTAACACGGCAAGAATTTATTTTCATATAAGTATAAAAAAACTTTCAAAACATATTACAATAATTTCTAATGAATTTTTATAACTCAAATAAAATTGAACGGGTTATCCTGATTTTGGCATCACGTCAGGTATATTTGTAGCCGCAATCGGTCTTGCGGTCAGGCGAGCATATCAGAACGCCTGCCTTTATGTTGCAAGTTTCGATTATCGCATAGTTTCACAAAATGCTGAGTTAAATTTGTTATTATTATCTTGCCTGCTCGCTTTGTTCTTTGGCATGTATAAATTTTGAGAATCGTAAATATAATTTTTATATTTTATAAAAAATTTGATTTGAAAATCAGAAACGCTTTTTGTGTGCGAAAAAAGAAAAATATAGAAAAATAAATATTTTCTATCCTGTGCTTTGAAGAAATCAACGAACCCGAGCAGCAAGTAAAGCTGCTAAGTTATAATAAAAATGAATTCACAAACATTTACACTTACCGGTTAACAAAGGCTGAACAACGCCATTTTGATTCATACGACCGCGATCCATAAATTGCCCGCCTGCGTTACATCTTGTTTCACGATCGCCCATGTTTAACTGTAGTTATTTTAATGGTTGTTTTAATTTTTTAACTATGATTTTATCATTGTGTGAAAAAAGAAACAATAAAAAATATAAAGATTAAAAAACAACAACAACAACAACAATTATATTTAAAGAATTGTTATTTAACGCATGTAAATCAATAATGATGGAGTTCAGCTTTTCGCTGGCTGAGTGTAAGTAAACTGACTGAAAATCAACAGAACTCAAATTCAAGAATACCCTTTGTTCATATTCAACAAAAAAAAAAGAAATAACAAAAGACCAATTAGCTGCACTTATCACTATATAAGAATATTATTATAAGATTTTTAAAAAGATTCCTCAAGAAAAAAAGAACTTTTGTAACCAACAGTGTAACAAAACTGTAATAAAAATATTATCTGATAATGGTTTTTTCAAAACTATCTCTATTTCCATCTATCTCTATTTCATTTAATTTCCAAGTAAACAGGATGAGTCTTGAATTCGGCTGCAGACGGATAACATATGCTCTACTTTCTAATAATACAACACCTAATCACGGGATATTTTTATGTATTCATTTTTTGAAACTATCATTTATGCAAGAAATGTTCAAACGTGTGCGATAAATTGTTAGTAAAAGATGCATCTAGAAGCTCTGTATAGTGTATATACTGTCAATCAGGAAGATAATTTACTAATGCCGATGTCCGTCCATCTCCCTGTGCTCTGTTACTGTCATCAATTCTCCATGCCAAACCATAAAATAGAACGCCAAGCACAGCACGTAAGTTATTCAATCACTTCCATGGTAAAACAAAAATTTAAATATGAAAAGGTTGAATCGAAAAACACCCTCAGAATGGGTTAAACAGTGAAACATTGTCAGAATCCTAGTTTAATATATTTTGTTTCAAAGAAACATTACAAATTGTTCCGAATATCATTTAGGAATACCATAAAGCTATTTGCCAGAACTATGTCGTATTACATATAGAAAGTCCTTACAAGTATATTAGAAAGGAAAAACCAAAATTCTCATGTAACCACGTATACATGCGTGCATATTCTTTATCGGCGTAAAATTCTAAAATGCGTTGACAATTGGAACATCTATAGATTTAACAATCTCCAAGACCTTCCAGAATGAGGAAAGTAAATTAGACACTGAAAAATGTCACCTGTTGTCTTAATTTAGCATCCTGAAACAAATCTGCAAATCCCAACAACAGCGGTTTTGTTAGCTTTTAGCATACCTAGCATATGCATTCGAACTATTTAAGAATAGATATGCAACTGAGGGGAAAAAAGATTTCAATTGTAGGGCAGGATCGCTTCAAAGTGAATAAAATTTTCATATTTTTTCTTTCAAGTGATGTAATAAACAGCAATTATTAGGCTTGTTGGTTCACGAACTTCAGGAACATACGACTATGTCTGCATATTTTTAAATTCCAATTTGTATTGATAATTATTAAAAAAGTTCGTGATGACGCACATAAAGCAATAAAGAAAGAAAATAATGATAAGAAAGAAAGATTATCTATGCGTAGTTTTGAGAATGTTATACAGGGCGTCCCTAAAAATTTATGTAAAATTTGAATTTTGTGCTCTAAAGTGTTGCCAACGAAAAAATAGTCAGCTGATGGATTAAGGTTATCAAAAATGGTACGTTACGCCAAGGAACAACGAGTTCTCAGTTGATCGCTTGAAGAAACACCACATTTGTAGTATTTGGTTATCAGAAATTTCGCTAATGATTGTTGAAAAATGCATGTGAAGCGTACCATGGATTGTTGCGGAATTTAAGCTGGAGGCATCAGCAACTGCGGCTTGTTAAGCAATATCATTTAATAGTGGTAACTATAGAGACATGGTAATTGAAATTTTAATGGCTAAATTTTTAGATATGAATGTGGTTTCGACAAGACGATGCCACATGCCATACAGCCGCAATTACTACATTAATTTTTATTCATCTTGCATGAAAGTTGCACCCTGTACTTGTCCGTAAACGACTTAATATTTCCATTAAAATATTTTTGAAAAATTCGTAACAGTGTGAGAGTTAGCTACATGCACCTTTGGGCGACAGCTTAACCGTTAACGTTAACGTTAGGTTAGGTGTGCTCGCAAATGCGTAGAATGTGTTATCAAACTTGATTTGTGAACTTTAACAAATACTCTGTGTTTCAAGTTTATTTCACTTTCTTATAATCATTCTTAAAGCTGATCTGCAATTACTGACCAAGTATATATATGTGAAGTTTCACCTTTCTATTCAATTTTACGACAGCAAACACAGATGCAACAGGTAAATATTTTTCACCCACTTGGTCGACCGATCATTGCTACTTTGAAACTTGGGGCTGACCATGAGCGTTTCGATTAGACGGAAATAGAAACTATACGTTTAAAATGATCTAAATTTTACGAATTTTTGATCCATTTTAAATATACAATGTATGCAGAGAGCTGCAAATAAAAAAAAATAATCACATTTAGATGAATAAAAATCGGAAATACATTCGGAATGAACGGTATGCCTCATCACCTATGTAGGTATATTATTTACATATATTAGTTTGTTTTGAAATATTCTAAGTTGAAAATATTGTTATTTTGAAAAGCAGTTAGCACGTTATAGTCGGGCAAGGCATAGCACACATCGCTTAAATATAAGAATTTAGTGGAAATACGAATTGTGGTCAGATAAATTAAGTTTTGAATTTCCGCATTTATTCTTCCAGCTAATTTCTGATTTCTAAAACTTGGAAAATTATAAATAATTATTATATATATATATATATCTTCCAAAATAATATTACGCGGAAAGCCTTAAAACTTGTCCAATTTTCTACTTTGGACTCGTTTTCGATTCAAAAAATATCAATAAAACATAATTTGGCGAAACATTTTAAAATTCCCGGTGGGTGTACTAAAAACGTAAATGCGTCAATAGGTCTCAGATGGGTACAGAGTCCCCTAAATCAACTCAAAAAATGATTTTGAATCAATTAATATCATAATGTTGCATACACTCGTACCACACTACACTAGAATAAGGAGTCTAAGATAAAACAAATGTAAGACGAAAATTTTAAAAGAAAAAATAAATTCAAATACTTCTATCATTGAGATGCGGTGGTAATTCAACAAAATACCTAAAGAAATTTTGCATATAATTACACACAATAGCTTTGTACCGAATCAATAACTCACTCACTTTTTGTATTTTTTTTATTATTTAGATAAAAACGAGCGTTGCTTCAAATGATTATGATTCCATTCGTGTTTGCGCGAGAACTGGGTATTTTTCAGACGAATCTTCCAGTTTTACTTATTTGCTTAGTTCAGGTTGAATGAATTGCTGTTTATTTCTGTTACTTAGCAGCCAATATATCTAGACAGTCTACCTTTGATAAATTTAAAAGGCGAAAATTACTTCTCAACATTCAAATTCTTCTACCGCCACACTTCTTAATATTAGGAGAAGAGTTTCTTGAAAAGCTCATCTATTGATACATGCGTTCATTGACCTCGGTGACGTCACAAATTGCGCCAGTCGCGACAATGTAACTATAACTTTAGTTAAGCAGACGTACAATATAATGCTAGTATATTAATTTTTTTGAAGGTTACCTGAAGGTCGGCGTAGTTCCTCTACTTTATTTTTCTATTCTGTTAAAAAGTAATGTTTTGATTTAGTTTTCTATTACTACGCCTTACCGCGCACAGCCTATAATATGCATATGTATTTTCTCATTCTCTTGCATATATTACTATAGATTTATTTATCATACTTTTTTTTATTAAAGTTCTGACGTTTTTTTTTTTTTGGTTTTCTTCACTGTTTTCTGCACTTGTTGAAAATATTCGTTTACTCTTATTATTACCACTACATCTTTTCAGCTTTCTTCATTCACTATTTGTTTGGTATTAAACGATTACTGTGCTTGAACTCTTATTTAGTTCTCAAATCCATTTATTTACACTTTTTGCGAATTATTAAATATATACAAATCCACTTGTGAGATAGGAATGTTAAACTGCACAATTTACGTTCGATGTCAAATTTGTTCGAGTGAAAGCAGTTTGTGCTAAGAAGTAAATTTCGATCATAAATTTTTCCGCTCACATGTTTCAAAAAGATCTATATAATAATTTGCAAATACGGACATATAGAAATTCGCATTTGAAAGAGAACGTTTAACTATTTCCTAAGCCGTATATTTAGTTCGCCTTTTTATTTCTTCTTCTTTTTCTTCTTAAGTATTCAACGAAACAACAACAGATGATTTCCCGAGTTGGAATAAAAAGTACTTTACATGAGCCTTATAAAGTTTGCAAGTAGTTTAGAATATTGGTTAACCTTTAGATAGTTTATTCCATATATCAGCAGTCGAATCCGTTATTATTTTTTCATTTTTTGTAATATGTTTATTATAAACGTTACATATTTCTTTAATGTATTATCATTAATTTTTATTTTTTTTAAATATTTTTCTAAATAAATGAATGTGTTGTAGGTGTTTTGTTTTGTATAATCCTTTCTTTTTGAGAGTAAAATTTACTCTGCTATGTGTTGTTATGAATGCTCATTTTGAATTTTCTGAGAGTAAAATTTACTTTGCTTACTTTGCACACATCTGTCAAATGCGTTTTTCAGCGTTGCCAGCTGCGGAGATTAATAATCAAATTTATTTGCAATTAAAATTAAACTGTACCCGCTTTTCCACTAGTGGGATATCGAAATTATGAACACAGCTTTTATTGCAGTGCATCAGCAATTCAGAAAGCACTACAAAAATAATTATTTTCCTCTTTTATTTCCTAATATAAATCAATTCATTGAAGGATTAGTACACAAATCTAAGGATGATTTTCTCGCACTTGTTTCTGAACAAGAAATTAGCTTATTAAAGCAAATTTTTGCACATATATGCACACTTGTTGATATATTTTAAGAATTTTTTTATTAATTTCTTAAAAGCAAAGTGGTATCGCGGTAGTACCTGTAAAAATCATAAAATCTCCTGTTTTCGTCGCACAATACTCAGCCACAACAAACAACGCGGGCGGCTTCACGTTAACCCTTTACAAGAATGAGCAACAAGCTTTTGGCAATTTGAGAATTAGTTTAGTGCTCCAGCTAATCTTCTCGAATTACACAGACGCTTGGGTGCAATATTAAAAACTGCCTTGCAACGAGATCCTATTGTTCTTATAAAAGCAGGAAACAAAAACCACTCAATCATTGCGACTGACTTTAGCCCGACCGTTGGCTAAGGTTCTTTTCAGATTGGTTCAGAAACAATTAAAGTCCCCCTACTCAGAAAAAAAAAAACAATGATCTGTGGGGGAAGCTTTTCAAAGTGCTATTGCATGCTTCATTCCGCCATCAAAGCACACAAACCACTTTAGCGTTGTGTTTTTACAGACTTTTCAACGATTTCTCATACGAATGTCTTGGAAGTACTTGCGATATATATCAAATAAATTTACACACAAAGATTTGGGTCAATAAATGTATATATTAATTTATAAGAAAATAAGGTCTTTGAGGTGGTTGATTGCATTTTAGAATCTTTGATTAATTTGAAGCACTATGGTTTGTCTTAAGGAGTTAATAGAAACCAATTGATAATGCAAACGTTGTAAATGTTCTAACAGAATAATGAAAAATTCTTATTCAGCAGAATTTGTGTGACTTGTTTCGACCATGTACTAATAGAGAATTTATTGAAATCAACTCTGCTCTCTCTCAATTCACAACACATGGTACTTCTTTTTATAAATCATGTAAAGGCAAAAGTCAGCTAACGGATTTTCGCGAAAATTCAAAGCCAAACCTAACCAAAAGTTAGGATGTATCATCATAAAAAGCAGCTTATTTCCATGGGAACCCTTATACGATATGGATTGAATGGAAAATTTGCCCATATGCACTGGATTTCATCCAGTTAATTTTTATACTAAGTTACAATATTGAAAATAAGCCGTTTTTTTTTGTAAAATCGTACGTTTCAGGCTAACAGTTGTCAGTAAGTAGTCAGTAGTAGTGCAGTTGTAGTGCATAACATTATACGTGTTCTCTTTTCATTGAAACAAAATAAATTTTCGTTTTTGCTTGCTATCCATAATACTATCCATAATAAGGATAATTTATCTCTTAATCTTGAATGTATTACTTTCTAAATGCTTTAAAAGTAAAAAAGAACTTGTAGTTTACAGTTTAAAAAAAAAATTAAACAAATCCATACTTTTTCCTGTGAAAATTAACGAAATCCATACTTTTTTCTATGAAAATAAAGAACAGCTGAGAAAAATTCTCCCCGCGACATTATTTTGTTTATGTTTCTATGGCATGGGTATGAAATTCCTCTGTATGAAATTTTTTGCTCAAAACTTAGTATGTGAATGCATGCATATTTATTTATTTTATTATTGAAATTTTAAAAAAATATAACTTTTCAACTTTTCTTATAAAACATATTGTTGTGTTTTCGTATTCTGTTTGTTGTGGCATCGGTTGTGAGACTGGTATGTATTCCCAACTGCGACGCATTTCCTAGCATCTTTGTCTGATTTTTCTGAACACATAATTGTGTGGCATTCACATGTATTCCATAGATCACAAACAGTCTTAAACACTTCTAAACACTTCAAAATTTTCGTTCGACACTGTTGGTGCGAGGAATTTGCTTTCAATTTTGTTAGTGCGAGAAATCTGCGTTAGATTCTGTTCTTTTTCATTACACTCTCTTGTGTTTGCATTGATTATAATTTTTGTTCAGGATCGGAATTCTCGGTATATGTACATATGCAGATTATGAGAAATACATCGTTAGCAACGGAATTATATCTTATAAATCAACTTTGAGGATATCTCCCTTTATTAAAAAATTTGCTTTCAGTTTTCATGGGTAAATTAAAAAATGAAAAACCAAGGGGATAACTGAAATGAAATAGAATTCTGTCCAAGTACAATACTAAAGAAAATTCCCGCAGAAAATTATTGGTTCAATATAGAACACTTCAAATTTGACAACTCATCAGGTAACAATTCCAAGAAATCAAAACTGATGTAATTAGCCGTCTCAAGATAGCTCATCTTAGGTAAACTGTAATAGTACATTGTCCCATAAGTTTTTTCCCTTTTTTTGATGGGAAATCAATAGACGCCATACTCCATCTCGATTAATTGACTATGTACCGTTGTCCTGGGAATGCACATGGAAAGCAATAAATATTTACATTTTTTAGGTAAATAGAAAAGCTGTCTTTCCTTATAAGCATAATAAGCATAAGAAGACATTACCCCTTAATCTGACGAGAGTTGTTCTTGTTGAATAACGGCGATGTTGAAGGAGATCAATATTTTAAATAAATTTGGCAAACAGATAGCACATCAACCTAGATAACAAATGATGCAGGCTTTTATCAAAGAAACCATTCTTTCTTCCTTTTTTATAAAGCTTAGTAATTTGTCCGATTGAGAGCATTGGAAAATTTTCACAATTTGGTTGCTGAGAGCAATTTAGTCATAGCAAACTATTAAAATGCGCTTACTTTAACTTTAACTATATGAAAAATTTGCCCGCTTGTCGAATCGTCACTTTCGATCCGGGCGCAGTAAATCAACGATTAATGCTGAACATGTTTCTGTTTATAATAAAGTGTTTAACTAAAAACGAAAACGACAATTTATCTCACTATCATAGCAAATTTAGTTGGTCATAGCAATTACTAGCATTGTAAATATATATTCCCACTTACCGAAAATTCTTTACTTGAAATACTTGATCCAAAGTCAAAAATGACAAAAATTTGTTACCTTTTAAGAAAGTCCTCAGTGTTGGTAATAATTTTTCTGAAGCGGAGTCTGCAAATCTAAACAATATATTCAACACTTTTGACCTTCAATACATTATTAAGGGCTTTTTTTGTTGAAAGTCCATCGCCAGGTTGTTGAGGTCCGATTATTTTTAAATTAAAATCTTTTAACATAGCCAGAAATCTAATTTAAAGGTGATGAGTAGTTCCGTCCTCATAGACTGAAATGACTTTTATTTACATTTTATATTACAAGCCTTCGGTTTAACAACAACATATTCGCATGTTTACGTTATATCTTCTATATTAATCCCATCTAAAAAATTTTCCACATCCATGAAATTTATGTAAATTCATTTTCGGAAAATTTATAATTAATAGGCGTCAATTCTGGGCGATTCCGCGTATAATTCTTCCTTTTTCCGTTCGCCGGCTCTGTATTGCCTAAATCGTTCTTTGCGCATAGCCTAAAAACGGCACTATCTATGTTGACCTACTTTTAAACAAAAGGAAGGAAACTTACCTCAACACGTAGCATTTGCTTACGCATGTTAACACATTCTCCAAAATCATCAATTAAATCTTTACACATTTTCTTGCCACGTTCACCACCGTACGCTTCCAGACATTCCATCATATTCATTTCAAGTTCTCCGCATTTATCGTAGGTCTGATGATTAACCAAGCAACCGGTTAAATCAGTAAGCGGCAAACGAAAAAACGGGGTTAGCGCCATCAGGAAACAATGCTTCAAAATATAAAATAATAATTAAGATCTGCACAAAAGCAGTATCACAAATTAACTAAATGACGTAACACGGATTCTCTGCCAAACTCTTGAGTTTACGAACAGTTTTAGCAAATATTTCTATTTATAAAAGCACTTACGATTAACTACTCGTTTTATTTGTGTTATAGATTCAATATATGCAAATAACTAAATAGCATTCAATACAAAAGGAATATCTTAAAAATTTTCATTAAATCTTGCAAATTAATCGATTATACTCAGAGTTATATAAAATAGTACGATTTCAAATAAGTATTAAAAATAGACTAAAAATACTACTAAAGCATAACGCAGAGTTATTTCTGACAATTATCTAAATATTTGAATAAAACCATTTATTCCAAATTACGATAAGAATTCCAACTATCGATCGGACGTTCCACCATATTATACTTAATCCTTTTACCTAAAACGCCACATAAACCTTTTTTTAATATATTTCAGTATTTGCACTAGGCTCACAAACATTTTACTTTTGGTTAGAATATATGGAGGGGGTTAAAGTAATTAGACCCCCTTAACCATTAATTTCTTATGCCGAGGTACGATTTCTCTTTTTTGACACAGAACTTTGGAAATCCTCACTTTTTTTTTATAGCGAGTTTTTCGAGATAAGGCTTTATGTAGGGAGCGGTAGCAAAAGAGGCCCTTACTAATCCATTTTCAATGGGGCTGTTGTGTACCGACCGTTAGTGTACCAAATTTCTCGTCAACATTTTTCAAAAATTTTAATCTGTAGGCTAGATAGAAAAATACATCAATACGCATCAGATAGACAAAATAAAAGTTGGGTCTACTTTCTTCTGAGTGTTACATACAACAGTACGAACTTAATATTCTACAAGTGATGTAAGATATTATAAATGGAAGATGGCATATTATCACGGTTAAACTTCTTAAAGTGTAGGGTGAATAGGGTAAAACGCATACTTTGCGTAGTCAAAACATATTTCCAGACAGCTGGCTTACTTAATATTCGCATGCTCTATTCTTTAATATTGAAAATGGTTAGTAAAAAAATAAATCAAGACTTAGTTGACTTTTTGGAAGACTGCGGAGTTTGCCAAATTTGCCAACTACGATATCTAAAGGCTCGTGGTAACGAATATCAGTCTATTAAAGAAACTTTTCAAAAGGTGAGCCGTGCTCTTATTATTTTATTTACTAATGTGATCAAAGTAATTTTGTCTTTAGCTAAATATTAAATACGAAAAGTTAGATGATAATTGTTCTGAAGAGAGTGCAATGAAAAAACCGCGAAAAGATGTGTGCTCCACCTGTTTAGGATTGTTCTCTAAGGAATTCCAACAATGTATTATTGAAGCAATTTTAAAAACTGACATTGAAAAATATGATTACCGCGACGTCGTAGTCGCCATTAGTTTGCCTATGATGTTGCAAATTAGGCAATTATCCATGTGGTATGGATTATTGGAACGTTTTAGCTCGTTTATTGATATGGAAAAAGCTCCTGATGTGCCATTAAAAGAAGCAGCTAAGTTAATTTTAAATCCGATCATATGCAGAGAATTGCATAGAAATTATGAAGCGAATGGTGTTCAAATTAATGTCACGTTAGCGCATAACAAAGAACTGGATGAGTTGGTAAAATTGCAAAAATTGCATGAAAGGGCATTTCCCCGTCCACCGAGTAGCAAACGTCAGGATATCTCTAGGGGCCTTATAGAAAAGCAGTACATACCTAAGCGTTTAAAAGGAGAGTTATTTAAGCAATTTTTTCCAGTACCCCCCACAGTTGTGGCCGAACCACTAAATCTTAAGTCCATTGAATTGTTGGGACCTACGATTTTTGTGGCAGGTCGATATTGTAAATTAACAAGAGAACTTTCCCATACGCCTTGGATTTTGAATGGCCACCGTGTGATGAAAGACAGTATCGAAGAGATTATCATTAGAAATGTTACACCATTGCTTTGGTAAATATTCTGTTTCTGCAAAAGTTTAAATGTAAAATTTTAGAAGCTGTTTCTTTTCAGTAATGATCAAAGTAAAGTTATTTTCATGTCAAGTGGTCGAGAAGATGTAGACGTACGTTGCTTAGGCAAAGGCCGTCCTTTCGTTTTGGAAATCAGCAATGCTTTTACAACTAAACTATCGAGTGCGGCGGCCTATCGCATAGAATGCGATATAGACAAATCGAAAAAGATTTCTGTACGTCATTTACAAATTGTCAAGAGAGAAGAGTTAGTGCACATTAAATCCGGTGAGGAAAAAAAACGCAAGTTCTACAGAGCTTTGTGCATGTTGCAGGAACCCGCAAGTTCGGATATTCTAGAAAAGCTTAACTTGCCGCAAGGATTTGAAATAAAACAGAAAACACCTATTAGGGTATTACACCGGAGGCCGCTGCACACCAGACCCCGCATGGTATACAGCCTTAAGGTACTTTTATAGATTTACGTACAATGAAGAAATACGATTTAATTGTGTCTTTATTTTTTCAAGGCTTGGGTACATAAGGAGAATTGTAAAATTTTGGTTTTAGATATTGTCAGCCAAGCTGGGACATACATCAAAGAATTGGTGCATGGTGAATTTGGGCGCACAGTTCCATCAATAGCTGTTCTTATTGACCGACCGATCGATATAGTAGCACTTGATGTTATGGCTATCGATTTGGATTGGCCCAAACCAATCAAAAATAGTCATTTCGATGAATAAAAGCTACATAAATATTTTTTAAAACACCCGCCGCGATTTATTTAAAAATAAATTTGGCAGTCGTATTAATACCGCCTCATTGAAGTTGTTCTAAATTTTTGCCAGTAATCGGCTCTAGGTTATGGACTCCTTGATCATCAACAACGGCGACATTAAATTTTGGTAAATTAATAATCAAACGTTTATGTATTTCGGCAACACATTTCTTTAGTACTTCATAAGCTTCCGCTTGTGTAATCTTGTCATCATAGTAACGATCAAATACGCTGGCACAAAACATCCCACCATAACCTTGACCCCCATATTTCACGGATTTAGCGTTAGCCAAGTAATCTATATAATGTAATTCTGGCAGAGACTCCTTTGGGTCGAAACTTAAATTAAAACAATTTAAAAGGGAATGGAATTTAATTTGAATAAACAACTTACCCGGCTACCAACATATTAACTTGATAGGGAGCACTACTTCTCAAGTAGTCAGCCAGGTTTTTGCGTGTAAAATGCGCAGCACACTTTGGACTCAAGTCGTAGCCATTGCGCATTTTATAAAGCGCTATATTCTTGGAAATGAACTCCGTAAATTGAACAGCGTCACCCGAGTCGCCAACAGTAGCTATCATTAAATTATTGGATATTTTGTGTATTTTATTTTCATCTGAATAAAATAAAATTCTTTTAATTGAAAATTTCTCAATTTTCGTTGTGTCATGATACTGATCGTGGATAAATTTTACTTTTGTTTACCTTGCTTCATTACCACAATAGATCTAGCTTGTGTTGTGTCGGCTGCCAGCATCACAAACGTAGGACCTCTTATACCCAAAATTGTATCCATCTTTTCCTACTTTTATTTTATCTATATCAGTACAAAACTTATTCAGAAAAACTAAATGCAAATATTTTTGATTTATCGGCAATGACAATTCTTTTTATATGTTGAACGAAGTTGGCTGCGGTTAAAAAGTAAACACATTATCTTAAAACAATAAGAAGCCGCAAATGTAACGCATCTTAAGGATCCGACACAATGACGATGATTCGGAAGTTATTATTATTATTATTTTAAATTTAGACTAATGAAATGAATTTTAGACTAAAAAAAAAAACATTGATTCGGAAGTTATTTACCTTATTTACGTATATTTTATATTAATCTAAATCTGAATGAAAAGTGTTAGCCCTACTCTGTACTATCTTATAAGGACATGTAATAAGAGCGATTTATTTTGAATTTAAAATATGTTTGTCAAACAAAAGCGAATAATCAATTGACTTGCTTTGTTTAACTGCGTCAGCGAAGTCCACATGGTTCTCTAAAACTCATTTTTTTAATTTTGTTTATTTGATTAATTAATTAGTAGATATTTTATTGTGGCATTCTATTTATTTATTGCTTATATTTAAGTTGGTTTCTTTATGGTTATTTCTGAAGCCATATGTATTTGTTCATATTTACATTGATTTATTTAATTTTCTTTTCAAATAATAAGGTAATGAGGCTCGTCATTGCGTTACGAAAAATAAATAACACATTATTTTGTCGGTACCCTAAGTAAGCCTATAATATAAAAACAATATTGACATTTTTACAGTTTATACAAAAACTTATTGCCATCTGCATTTCCGGATTTCCCAATTTACAAGAAAGTGTATTTTAGTTGAATTGTGCTTAATTTACATGTTATGAAGAGAAATACAACACTAAAAATTATCGAAATTGAAATGTCAAGTCGACAATGGTTCTCCAGTTCTCTCTTCTCTCTTCTGATAGTTTTGAGTGCGTGTCAATTTTCGTCGCGATTCCCACTTTATATTGGAGAAAATTGTCGAAAAGTAGTTCTAATTAATATATTTAAAAATTGCTGGTTTGGTTAATACCAGATTACGATGGCCGAGCAAATAATGGAAACAGTATCGGAGACCGTAAAAGGAATTGTGGATGCAGTCAAAAATGCAACCAACACCGAAACGATAACAAATGAAAAAAAAGTCTCAACACCTGAAGGTACGGCGATAGCCTATGGGAGTTTAGTAATTATGGCTATGTTGCCAATAGTCTTTGGTTCCATACGTTCAGTAAAATTACACAAAGCGAGAAAGGTTCGTGATTGTTATTGTCTGACTTAAAATTATAAAATCAGAATTAATCTAAATTGTAGGTAAGCGGTGAAAAGGCTGATACTATGAGCAAGCAAGATGCCATGTATTTTCCTATTATTGCTTCCGTGGCGCTTTTTGGTCTCTATTTGTTTTTCAAGATATTTTCAAAAGATCATATTAACCTCCTGCTTACTGGCTACTTCTTCTTTTTGGGCATTATTGCGTTGGCCCACTTACTTAGCCCCGTTGTGAACTCTTTGATGCCCGCTGCTGTTCCAAAAATACCATTCCACATACATTTTACTAAAGGTGAAGGAAAAACCAAGGAAGATCTCATAAATTATAAATTCTCCACACACGACATTGTGTGTCTCATCATATCAACCGCAATCGGTGTGTGGTACTTGATAAAGAAGCATTGGATTGCAAATAACATGTTTGGGCTTGCATTCGCCGTCAACGGTGTGGAAATGTTGCATTTGAACAATATTGTTACCGGATGCATTTTGCTGAGTGGGTTATTTTTCTATGATATCTTTTGGGTTTTCGGCACTAACGTCATGGTGACGGTAGCTAAAAGCTTTGAAGCGCCAATTAAATTAGTCTTTCCTCAGGACTGGATAACTAATGGCATTAACGGTTCCAATTTCGCCATGTTAGGCTTGGGGGACATAGTCATACCAGGCATATTTATAGCTCTCTTACTGCGTTTCGATCATAGTACGAAGCGCAAAAGTCGTATCTATTTCTATTCTACTTTAATAGCATACTTCATGGGTCTTATGGCTACAATTTTCGTCATGCACATCTTTAAACATGCTCAGCCTGCGCTGTTGTATTTGGTGCCAGCTTGCATGGGTACGCCATTGCTAGTCGCCTTAGTTCGTGGAGAATTGAAAACCTTATTCGCGTAAGTTACATAATATTATTTTAAATGTCATAATAAATTTATAATTTTTCTATGGATGCAGTTATGAAGATCATCCTGAGGAGAAGACCGAAAAGAAGGAAAACAAGGACAGTGAAAAGTCGAATAAAAAGAAAGAATCTAAAAAGGCGAAATGATTAGCAGGCCAGCTAAGTACTGTCGTCTCGCCCGCTAGTAATTTAAGTTCTATAAAGCCCCACAAACGCCTTCAACAGCGCCCTAATTCATACGCCTAAATTGTTCTAAATTATCCTTAAAAGTATCCAATGCATACAGAAGCCGATGTAAATGTTTTTTAATATATAATGCTTTCAACACCAGACATATTTAGAGAAGAATCATGCTTTATATTCATTAATTTAATATGTAAATATGGCAAAGTTACATTTATCAGACATATACGAGCAGTAGAATTTTTTTTTAAAGAGTTAATCTATTTTTTTACGCTTACCGAAGAGAAATTTTAATTTTTCGCTTATCCGCCTGAGTGGCCGAGCAGGCAAGAGTCTCGACTAGCAACTCAATGGTCGTGGGTTCAAATCTCAAGTGCGGTAGAGTTTTTAATAAAAGCCGAAAGCCTTAGATGCTAGTGCTTTAAGACTTAGTCTTAGAATTTCTTCTCTGGCTAAATTTATAATAATAATAATAATTTTTCGCTTATACACCAGAATACTGTTCTAATATTTTTAAGTTAAAAATTAAAAATTTAGTAAAAGAATAAAAAATTAATAAATAAAATAGGATCTACTGACAATTTTTAAACTTGTTGAAAATCGAGTTGCTCTCCAGTTCTACAAATAGTATCTTAGCTAAATTTGGAATTTATCACAATTGCGCAGCACTTTGTCATTATTTTCAGGAAGTGAGGTTAAATTCATTTTTACTAATTCCAAGACTCCACCACTCGGCCTAAAGTTGTTTTGTCAATTTATCAAATTGGGACCATCGAAAGTAGAAATGCGTCTCCGCTTTATATTCAGATTGTAAAGGGAATCCATTCATTTAGAAACAAAGTTCTAATTTACTACCTGCAGTATATTTTAAAGCACATGGAAGTTATGTTAATTACGCTTACTTAGAGGCCGAATCTTTGGTATATTGATTCGTCACCGAATTTAATAATGTTCGCCAATTTATTTATAAGTGTGAAGGCAGTCGCAGGCTAAGTTGATGCTGTTGTTGTCCAATGTCTAGACATAACGCTCTCAAAGAAGTAATGCTCTTAAAAATAGTGACGTCCAACTACTAATAAAATGCTGTGAAATTTTCGTGTATTTACTGGAGGTGATGAATATTCACGACTGGATATCGATTGACTGGAGTGAAATAAGGCTCTCTTCCTTATTTGCTATTTTTCGATAAGAGTTTATGGATCGTAAGTGTGGTCAATCTTTTTTAAAAGAGACAGGCCCCTATTTTTAATTTCAGGTATTATTTAGAACAATTGATAATAATAAACCTTCGCTTAGAGACTAAAGAAGCAAATAACTAAAAAAAAAAGATCTAATTGGTGAGAGTATTTTCCTTGCTTTCGGTAGAATATGAAGACTTTTTAGAGAGACTCATCTGTCATGTTTAGACTTTGTATAAATCCTGCATGGCCGATTGGTTGGTTGACAATTCCCTACTCAATATCTTGCCTTCTCTAGCCATTACTTTTCTCCATTTTGTCGTTTCGCTTTAAAATTACAATAATATTTATAATAATATAGACACGTAATAATAATTATACGATAGTACAACAATACTCGCACATGTTATTATTAACATAGAATTCAAGACATGTTTATGTGGTGAACATATACGTAATGTATAAATGCATATATAAATATAATACACAATATAAATGTAAGTATATATAATACAATTTAATATAAATATATATGTAATATAATACAGTATAATACAAAAATATTGTATATAATATAATAATAATAATTAAGAGTCCGAAAATATAAGATTTATAATTATATGCGCATGTAATAATAACAATACGATGAGATTTATTTATTTAAAAGGCCGGTATTTAAAAGGACGTTAGAAGAAATCTCGTTACTAAAATTCCGCACAAGTTACGTTTACTAAGACAATAATATTATAATAACAACATTGAACTGAAGACATGTTCATGCATTACATTTACGAAACATGTGTTATGTAATATTTTTATCTTCCTGTTCCCTAAAATTTGTACAATTTAATAAAGTAAATGATACAAAACCTAACAAGTTGATTCGATGATTGCGGCCTCTAAACATTGTCGCAATACCATCAGCCTAAAATCCTATACCAAAAAACTAAAGTGGAACAAGAAACTTACACCAAAAAACTAAAACAAGAACAAGAAACTTACGGCAAAAAACTAAAAGAAGAATAATAAACTTGCACCAAAAAACTTAAATCGAAGAAGAAACTTACATCAAAAAAATAAAATCGGAGAAGTCGATTTCTTTGCAGCAAAAAAATCTACAATTAAACTAATTAATAAATAATTTATTAATAAAATTTGAATAAAGCTTTTAGTATAATTGTAAACTTTATTAACTGATAAAACGTTTTCCAAGAAAGTTGAGAAATTTGAAGTTAACTTATTTTCTAAATTTATTAAATAGCTTTTAAAAAAATTCGGAAATAAATTATAAATTTTTTAAGCCAAACTTCGTTCAAAAGTTAAATAATGGTGAACCATAAACGTTTATATTAAAGAGCAAAGAAATGAAAGTGCATACATCTGCAATTGCTATTTCTGTTGGATATTTGTGGAATATTAGCAAATATTTGTGCCAAACCTTATATCGCAAATTTCAATTTTATCCTTACAGATGAACGCACGCCCTTATATAATATTATTAGAGCTAGACAATTACTAAAAATATATGGACGCAAGTTCGGCTTATTTTCTTAATTTTTATAATGTTGGTAGACAATGGTAGGTCTGACGGACATACAATCTCCATTGAATTTATTTCTAGGATACATAACTTATAACGCGTTACGCCATTCTTCGGATTAAGGAGAAGTTCATACCATATTATTTTATAAGAATAAATAATGAATTCTATGCAAGTATAAATAAAAACATACGGTTTTCACGCAATTCCATCAATTGTTGACTGCGTCTGGAGAGTATGGAAGCATAAGATGCAACAATGGAAATGCTTGTTGACATATCATTCGAACAATTTTCTTCAAGGTGCGCATATTTACTGCGCAATCTAAGCAAATTTTCAGTTCGCATGGAAGCATTTGTTAAGTCTGGCGACGAATTTTCCACAGGATTAATTTCGATTCTTGCTTTGAAATATTCATCACCAGGCTTTGTATCAAAGAAAGCAAAATGAATTTTTTATTAAAATGAAAATGTTTAGTAATTTTAAGTCGATTTCCTCGTTAAGAAGATTTAAGAGGTTAAAATACAAACATTTCAATAAATTATATTAAAATAATTTTTTTTTTTTCAATATCAAGGAATAAGCGAAGAGAGTGTACGAAAAGGTTACAATTGCACCAAGTTATTAAAGAACCTACGATATATTGTCATCCTTATTGAATTTAAAACTATCGTTGGATGGATTATTTCGGGATGACTTCATGATTATTAGGGGCGGCGATCGTTTCATTGGAGTATTTCTTCGTTTTATAACAAAGTCATCTAGCAATACTGTCGTATCTACAGTACCCTCTGCATGTTTTTCGTTTATTGTCGGTGAATCATCTCGCAACAAATCCATTCTTTTCTTTGGACCCTCTGAATACTTATTACTGGGAATGGCTTCTAACAAATAGCATTTACATTGTTCGTTTGTAAGATCTTTTTTCTGCCTTTCCATAAGTTTGCGAAATTTATCGACTTGCGCCGGTGTCATGCAATGCCCATTAATTAAACCATCATATGGAGACGCCAAATTCTGCGATGAGAATTTCATAGTCAAAAGCGTACAAAAAAACCTTCATACGATATACCTTTTTAATATCGCTTGGATTAACTTCTTTCGGGCATTTTAATTTGTCGGATTTAATTAAATCTTCCTCACTTCCAATTTTTATGGACTCCTATAGTGCAAGGAAGGCAACGAAATTACGAGTGAATAAAAAAATTCAATTTCTTAGAAGCTGAACTGATTACCTGTTCTACATTTTCTTTGTCATCGTTCGTTACGGAGCGCCTAGTGCAAGACATTCCGAGGAAATTTTTCTCTTTCTCGTCTTCTGAACCTCCAATAGAACACTTACAGTAGATATTGAATGCATTAATTCAATATAACAAATGGATTCAAAATAACTTAAATAAATTCACATTTACTTTTCGTGTAGATTGTGTTGATTCGTAACGGTTAATAGTCTTTGCTTGGTCCGAAGGTTTACATTTTTTATACTTCAAGGAGGAAGGCGAGTGGACCGCTGTAAGTAGTTCCGGCGAATTCGGCTAAGGATAATCACGTAAAAGAATTAATAGAGACAAAATTGATCAAAATAACTATTTACTTTATCCATTTTTGCCTCCAAGGTTTTCCTATGATCTGTAAAATTTGAGGCGTAAGTTTGCGCCAAAGACAACGTTGTCAAACTTGGTTCGTTCTCCTTATATTTTTCACGCAATTCCATCAATTGTTGACTTCTAATTTTCTTCAATCTAAGCAAATTTTCAGTTCGCATGGAAGCATTTGTTAAGTCTGGCGACGAATTTTCCACAGGATTAATTTCGATTCTTACTTTGAAATATTCATCACCAGGCCATCGCAACTCATCTCCCGCAACTTTAATTTTGGCTAGAGCTCCAGCTTTGCCGATATAGTTGATAATACCAACATTTACTTTTTTAACGTCATTTTCTGATAAATAGAAGTTCTTTGCAGATACCGAATCATCAAAAGTCACACCGTCTGCAGTCATTTCTCGCGAAATGCTTGATTCTGTTACCGTAGCTACATCTATTAAATCATTCTGCCGTTTATTGCGAGCACGCCAATCTTCAACCTTGCGCTTCGCATTCTCATCAATCGCAGACGTCGAATTTTGCACCACGCAAAGGTCAGTTATTTTACCTCTGATGGTGTTAGTTTTCTTTGTTAATCTCCCATTATTAGATAGATATTGCAAAATTGAAATTGTTTTCAATTTAGGAATGATCTCTTGAAATTTTGTCGGCTCCTCCAAGGCCAATTTAGCCGACAATAAGCGTTCGCGAGCATCAAAAAATCTGCCTTTGTGATTCCCGACAATCAAATTGCCCCAACAGCGATTGCCTGGCGACTTAAATTCCTCGACGAAAGTAATCGATGCGGCATCCATCAAAAATTGGTCCAAAATGTCACAGGCATTTTGCCGCCAATTATCTTTTTTCACAAGGACTAACTTACCTTCCATATCGTCATATTCAGTTTCAGCAGGCAAAATATTAGCTAAACCTCCACATCGAATGTGGTCAATCTGTCTTGTCATTTTCGTGGGAAGACGGAATACATATTCCTCTTTGGTCCGAAAAGGAAAACCATAATCTAATGCCCAAACAATAAATTCTTTTTGCCATCCGGCCTCGCCCAATATTTCAGCGCGTATGATTTTATTCCAAGCGACAAACTTTACTGCTATTTTTTCGTGTAATTTCGGATGATAATTGAAATCTCTTGCTTGGTTATTATGTATCAGTTGTAATTGCTCCTCGATTTCGTGCAATTCATGAAAGTCGTCCGCTTTATGATACCAAAACAAATGCGGATTTATGAAATGGGTGACAACAATAGAGTTTTCTTTCTGCATTTCTAAGAAATTTGGAAAACACATTTTTACATATAATACATAAATCTGTATAAATCTATATAATAATTTATATATCATAAGAATACCTGAAAACCTTAAAATTAAATACCGGTTAAACTTTCCGAACTCTCCTTACTCAGCGCGTGATGTATCAAACTAAGTTATAGTCATAAAGTGACTTTGCTGAAGCGTTGCCAACATTCATATTTTAAAATATTAATGGAATGCAATTTCCTTTTTATGAAAATGGGGAATATTTTTCATTATTTTGTTATAGGTAGTACATAAGTTTTAATGTGTTATAAGTAAATGATGGACAAAATAACGGCGTTACAGGATGGAATCGAAATTATGGGCAATTTGTGAATGCATCTGCAAATTTTTTTAATTCCCAAGTCAATGGTTAAGCCCCTATAAATGCGAAAGGATTATTAACGCTACATACTGATGCGTAACGCCATTCTTCGGATTAAGGAGAAGTTCATACCATATTATTTTATAAGAATAAATAATGAATTCTATGCAATTATAAATAAAAACATACGGTTTGAGAAGTAAAACTACAGAAATCCAAGTATATGTAAACAACAAGTATATCAAAAGCAACAATAAGAAAACGAAAGTAAAACCGAATTAAATCCTGTAAATCATTAATGAAATAGAGTGAAGAAATATATCTTGAAAAGAAGAAGCATGGAGGTGAAGTTCAGTGATACAACAAAACGAAACAAAGGAATTGCTAAATATTTTGAATTGACATATATATTTAAAATAGGAAACAAATCGCCATTATTGCTTATGTTTTCATTTTTTATAAAATAACGTAGAAAATAGAATAAAATTTTTACTCATTTAACCTAAAAAAATGTGGTGTAGTACAAAATAAACATAAATTAGTTAAAAAATTTCCAAATTTAAAATAAATTGCACAATATACAAGTTGAGACAATGAGGAGTCATTTTTGTTTTTGGGTTAGAACTATACAGTCTCCACAAATAGCCGCACAACAATATTATTTCACAGGAAAATGTAAACAAAAACGTAGGGTTTTAGAATCAAAATTAAGAAATCAACGAGTCGAGACTCTTGCCTGCTATAGTTTTAAGTTAGTTTAAGTTATTTTTATGTTGTATCTTTCCGTTGTAGTAATTGCTTTAACATACATGCATATGTACCATTATTCATTAGTTGTTTAACCATCAAATATTTCGGTCGTTTTAACAAACAAAATAACACCGTATATGACATCTGCAAATAAAATCAATCAAACATTCCCGCAATCTTCAAATTCGCCGTTTATTCTGGTTTTCGGTTCTGCAAGTGTAATTCTCAGTTCGTTTCGTTATTAATAACGAAAAATATTGGTACGGAAAAGATTGCGTCATACAACAAGTAAGAAAATTGTATTCAGTCGTGAGCGAATCTTTCATGCCCATAAACGCTATCCTAAAAAAAAACCAGAAACACGGAGAGCAAAGGTGTCCACACAGCTGTTGTTACATAGACGTGTGAACGTTGTAGGCGTGTTCTTCGAAAAGTTTGGTTCATTTTAAAATCCTTTTGCAAGTTTGTAGGCGGTATCTTCATTTTTACGAACGGAACGATGTCTACTACATAGTTGCGCAGACACACAGATGGACAGACGGACACATTCAGGCGCAAATTTGAAACTAGCCGAGAGTTATATACTTTCAAGCTTGCTTCTGTGCTTTATAAAGGTATTGAAAAAAAATTAAATTTTGATTTATTACTATATTGAGTAGACATCGTTAATTTTTTTTTCATTTTTAAATTTATCCTCTATAGTTGATGAGTAATAAACAAAGAAAACAATTTTTTATTCCGTTTGAAAAGCAGGGGTATTCTGAGTTTACCTGGTGCTTGGCCTGCTATTTAATTACATTCAAACGATTTGGTCCATTTTCAATTCAAATCTGCGTGCAAAAACTTCTGATGTTTCCGCCAAATATGATGTCTATAGCGTCATTTTTGAGACCAGGAGAATGTTTACAACAGACAATACACAGACGGACGGACGAACATGGTTAAATCGATTCAGATTTTGATGCTGATCGAGAACATATATACTTTTTAGGATCTCTAATACTTCCTCCTGGGATTTGCAAACTTTTTGACAAAATAAGCATACCCCTCACCCTTCGGTGATGGACATGAAAACATGAATATTATTGCCGTTCAGAAATAGTGAACGACAAGAACTCTTATTTAGCATAGACTTTTTAGTATTTATTTTAATATTCGCTTTGTCCAGTCAAGGTGAAATTGTATTGAGGTGAATTTTTAATTGGTAGGAAACATGTACGGGAACGCTAGATGAGAATAGTAACATCCTAGATATTATCATACATACATATATATTTTTCGGCTGTGTGGTACAAAAATATTTGAAAATAAACTGAAATGTTACTTACGAAGATGCGCTTGTTTAGGGAAAAGTTACAAATATAGAAAATTTTTATGTCGCCAATTGTATGTTTTATATGCAGATTTACTGTGGTAATAAAATTGTGATCTTGTGTTTTGACGAAGCACAACGTACATTACGAATAAACACTTACGTTTTTTATGTTAAAAACATCGGAAAGGTGATGAAAATGTATCAGCACGAATTCAGCCCAATGAATGCCGCCTTTTATCATTATGTTGCAAAATTTAAGAATTTTGCAAACTCCACTTTTTACTCTTGTTTTTTTAATTTTACTGTACACAATTATATTTTTTTCAAATTTTCATGTACAATTTAAGAATGCTCTGCTTCAAACTTCACGCACTTGCTTTGCATAACTCGTAAGAAAGTTCTTTGTTATGCAAAAACCGAAGTAAAGAAGAAGAAGAATAACAACATTTTTCATTTGAAATGCTGTCGCGAATTTTCTGTTAAACTAACAGACAATTCAACAAGAAGAAACTTCCAAAATCTATCAAAGTAAAGAAATTCACAAAAGAAGGAAGAAGAAAAAAAGTAATCAAAGAGAAAACCTTCAAGAAAAACTTGTACCACGTGTTAAATCTATTTATATATCTTCTATATAATGCATACAAGATCTTTGACATACATTTCCAGCTGTTGACTTATAAGAGTCAATGAAATTTAGATAACTCTACTAAATATTGTCTATGTTCGTACATCGTTCTCCATGTGTATAGTTTTCTCTGGTGTCTTGAACTTTAAAACTAATATTTAAACCGGTAAAAGAAATTGCGAAAAAAATCACGACGTAGAATTAGCACTGACATATAAGGACATATTTGCGGATCCATTCCCTCAATACTATTGCAACAACCTAGCTATTTTAACTTTATAATGTATTATAAAGAATTAAGGAAAAACATTTTTGAGAATGTGTAAGAATGTAACTGACCGATACCGCAAGATTTTTAAGGCATTTTTAAGTGCAGCAGCATTGAGTTAGATTAGCCCATTCTCTTTAAGAGCATTGCGGACCTGATATTATCCCATAAAAGGAAATTGCTCTCTTACTCTTTTGAATTATTTTTTATTTAATTTCGAGTTTCTGCTTGAAGTATTTAGATAATTATTATTATTTCTATAAAAATGAACAGAAACTACACATCTTTCTATGAAAACAAACAAAACTCAGAAAAATTCTTTTTGGAAAGAATCCCATCAAAATCAGATTTTTATTAGCCTATTGAATTTATCAAGAGAGGTCTTTGGTGTTTATTTGAAAATCTTACTTTTAAACTGGAGTTAAAATTTCAGTGCATATATTGCACTTGATAGTACATCAAGATCGAGAAAAATCTCTTTAAATTTTTAATATATATAATTTTGAAGAAATATTTGCTTTACTTTAATTACTGCAATGGCTCTGACGTCTTTATTAGAATGGAATCATTATATTTGGTACTTACTTAGAAATAAAGGTAGTAAAAATTGGAAAGCGTGTGGACCGAAATTAGTTTACAAATTCAAGCTTTTAATGTTTAAGTAGCCAATTTGCACTTATTTAAAAAAAAAAAAAGAAAAGAAGAATCAATTATTACGATCCGTTCATAACTTTTATTTATCTTTTACAATCTATGGCAGATAATTTATTAAAATAGACAAGAAAATGCAACTTTACAACTATTAAAAATTAATAATCTACTGACTTAAAAACCCGATTAAGGGTTTCATTTTTAGCACAACAGAGAAAACAAAGGAAACGTAGAATAACAAGCAACATAAGAAGAATAATAACATTCTTAACAATGTATATACACAAAAACTGATAGCATGTAAAATAGACAAAAATTCCCGCTACCACTTTTGTCAAAATTCGCGCTTAAAAAGCCACTCAAATGTTTAATAACATACGCGTAATGAGTAATGAAATAATTTTTTCCACGCCGAATATTATATAAACGATGATAATATTTCCGATTGAATGCTATACAACGTTGAAACATTTATTGCGTCTTCTTTATGGCAGCTATAGTATTAGTGGTACTATTCATAATTTGTTGTGGTTTGGATTGTTTCAGTTTATCTTCGACACACTGTTTATACAGATTATTCAGATCAAAGCTAGCTCGAACATTATCAGCCGAGAAAAAGAATTTTAATAACTTTCCTTTGGCGTCTACTTTTGGATGACGTTCTACTTCTTTGCCATTCTTGAAAAGTATTACGGTGGGAAGTTGCCGTGACAAACTACTATCCGAAATGCGATACTTTTGTGCTATCTCCGGAAAACGGCCGATATCAAATTTGCCAAATTTCAAAGTATCAAAATTATATTCTGCTGAGAGTTCAGCAAAAATAGGCGCAAAATTTACGCAATTCGGATTCCATACAGTGTAGAAACACACCAACCAATTGATGCGTTTATTTTGCGCCAATTCATCTTCAAAGGCTTGAATTGTCCGAAAGTAAGTAATATGCTCGGGACCTTTGTAGGTTGGCTCTGGTAATAGCATTCCAACTAATATGCACAACAACAGAAAAGCAAGACCGTAACGAAAATCGCTGTAAGCCCATAGTATAGCATTAGCAACCTTGGTATATATAAATGACGACGACAAATAATTTATCATGTTCACACTGCCTGTTTTTCTTGACCGTATCATTATTACTATTAATAGGAAAAACAAAATTTCGTTTTCCCTGCTATCCAGTTCACACATATCATCGCCTGCAAACACCATGGAACAGATAGGCTTGGTTTTTTTGGCAAGCAAATACGACAATGCCATTAAAATATTCATCCAATAGTATGGTTGAGCTAAAGTACGAAACTGTTTTCCCATCGACATATTGCTCGGAAGAACACTTGCAGTTGTTATTTTTCTTATTTCAACAATAACAAATAGATGCGCCAAGTTTAATTAATAATTTCCGTGTTTGAGCGAAGGTAAACGTTAGCAGTTTTTCAAAATTTCTTCGCAGGAAAATATATATAGGTAAATGATAAAATTAAATCGTCAAGTCGATCAGCTGTAAAAGAAATAATTAACCCCTTATTGCCACACCTGAGAAATTGTAGCAAAATATTATAACATGAATAGAATAACTAAAATACAATATTGTCAGCATATACCGGGTAATAAGAAAATAACAATAATAAAATAAGAAAATAATAAAAATAGCAATGTTGTCATTATTAGAAAGAATTTTGTAAAGAATTAAGTTCATAGACTAAAGGTTTAATAAAGATGTGGACATGTAATCATTACGGATGCAAGATGATTCAGAATCAATTTAGTAAATAATTTCAAATCGATTTGTTTAATAAAAAGTTTGACCGAAAGAAAGTAAAAACGATGCGTATAACGAAAAAGACTAAAGAGCGTGGTAGTACAGTTCAAAAGGAGAACCACTTGTAGAATATGCAGAAAGTAAAGCGTGGTAGTCCAGTTCGAAATAAAAATTTATATACAGGAATGTTTAATTTTTCCTTCTTTTATTTCCCATTGAATAATGCGTTCAACTACAAAAACACAGGAACGAAAAGTGTTTTATTTAATCACGGCTTAAATACACATTTGTAGAGCAATTTTTTAAATTATATTTCATTGTAGTTCCGAATGGTTTATTGGAATCAATATTTTGCAAGCGTATATTGTAATAAATTAGGGATAAGATGCGTTTAAATATTTGTTTGTGGGAAGATTCCCTATGAATCTTTCCCAAAGTGTAAGTAAATGTTGTTGGAATTTAGCTCTAAGCTGCTCGGCTTCAATGCGCCAAGTCTGTCTGCTTCTTTATAACGGCCAGACGAGCTAGGCATGAAGCAGTCCCTAGTAAAATTTATAAGGCGAATGGAACGCCTGTGAGTCTTTAGCGAATTGATTGCTTTTGAATTGCTTTGATACAATTGCTTTATTCATATATTGATGGGTTATTTATACTTAAATTCTATGCTAAAGTTATGCTTATATTGCTAAAGTTAATTGTTTTAATTGGGGACGTGTGTCATAATTTTCGCACTTTTTGAATATCATTAACGCTGGTTGGAGGCTCTTTCTAGGTTAAAATCCATTTTTGGTTGTATTATACTATTGTTGTATACTATCTGTTTTGCAGGGGTTTATGTCTTCTAGCGATTCTTTGGTAGCTTCAATTTCTAATAGTTCTTTTGCTGTTTTATATATTTTTTTTAAATATTTCTATTTTATTTAGTAAATCTGATTGTTCTGGTTTTGTATTGGTTCCAATTATGGTACGGACTCTTGTTGTATAATTTTCTAATTGTTCTAGTTTGCTTTCGACAGTTTCTTTCTTCGAAATTTTATTGCTTAGTTTTTTGAGGTTAGAAATTATCCTGTCTATGGAGATGTTGATTTCATCTATCCTTTGCATTAAGATTTATATGTTTAAACTTTCAATATTTCTCATTTATTTTTCAATATTCTTTCTTCATATATTTTTCTCTATCTAATCTTCTTAGCTTTGATATTTTCTATATATATTTTTAAGTTTTCGATACTCTTTTTGGATTCATATATATTTATTTCATTTTAATATTCTTTATGTATTTCTTAATTTTAACATTTTTTTTGTTTTTAATTTTGGGTGGTTTGAATATATTTTTTTCTTGAATCTGTATATTTAAATTTATTTTTTATTAGACGTTCAGTGTCTCGCTGGCCTGCTTTGTGAATTTCTTTTTTAGCTGCTGCGTGCGTGTATTGTTAGCTGTAGGGCTCAACATTCGACCAGCAGACTTTTGCTCTTATCGCATGTTGTGATCAACAGTTACTGCAGCTAATTGTTGGGTGACATCGTTACGGAGTAGATGTTTAATTTCATATTCCCCTCGACTTTCGTTGAGTCTTAGAATTTTACCGGATTTCAACTTTACAAGCTTTTTATCGCCCTTGGTTCCGTCTGCAATAAATTTAGGGTTATTAGCGTAAAATGCTCCTTCCAATTCATTATATATGGATATTACCTTCTCCTGAGTTCCATTTAATCGCCAAATTATCAATCTTTTATCCCGTCCTGTACTAGCCATAAACTCATAATCGGAATTCCGACTTGCAAAACAAAAGGCAATCGCAGTCACTTGCGATATATGGCCAGACATTTTACAGATCAACTGCTTTGCGCGAAAATTCCAGCAATAAATGGTTTTATCAGAGCCGGCAGAAAAATCTCCGCCTTAAGCGCGTTCGAATTGAAATGAACCAAATATGAAGCTGGAATCAACGCTGTTGCACACCAAAAGCCAGTCGGCATTAAATGCAAACTTAACAATTGGTCCGTTGTGTTGACTTTTCCATAATTTTTCCACTTTCCCTTCTTCCAAATACCACAGGCTTAGCAAACTGCTGCGATGTGCAGTTAATAAATAATCGCTTCTGGGAGCCAAAGCATAGCTGCAGATAACATCTTCATCTTCTTCACTAAAAGCTTTATCGCCTTCAGTTTTTACACATACAATTATTTGAGCAAGAGGAAGTGTTGTAAAATATATGAGCAAGAGGAATAATTATGAATTATATGAGCAAGGGGAAGAATTTGTCATGTTGACTAAATAGGCAAAGAGAACGATTCCCCGTCATTATTAGCTGGCTTAATTGTTTTTCCATGGTCGGGGAAATTCACTTGTATGCGTGCAAAGCTTTGCAATAATGCACGCTGAGCATGGTGAAAAGTAGTAGCGGTGATTTGAACCACACTACGTTTACATTATCAGAAAGCTTTTTGAAAGACTAATTTATTTTCGTTTACAATGGCATCCAGAATCTACAAATATTCTTAGCAATTTTAAATTTTGCTTCAAATGCTCTAAATTTGCCAAGACTACTGATCTGCTATTAATCTAGCTTTTGCCAAAAGCCAACCTCTTGTCGCTTGCTCAGTTAAAATCAGCATTTTGAGATCCAGTCTTCTCTTACTGGGGTTGACTACAAGGTTCCGTGATTTGATATAGGAGTTATTAGTTATTAGAAAAGCAGACATCTACGAATAAAATGCAAAAAAATATTGCCAGGGGGTTGCCGTTACTGTAAATTCGAACTCGTAACACTGTCTTTTGTTATTCTGTCAAAGCGCATATATAGAGAAGTTTCTTTATTATTGTTGTTGTTAAGAAATTTCTACATTTCACGTTACTGGTGCACAGACCTCTCCATTTACAGGCCTTATTCATTCTTCCTTTACAAACCAAAAAATAAAGTGTCTTCCTAAAAATTAAACCAAGCCACTGAAAATACAGGTGTAGAAGTCAAAACCTTCCCCTTCATTCCTCTTCAAAAAAACAAAAAAAGTTTAAAGAATTAAAAGAATATGACTTCCTTTACGGAATTGCCAACTACTGATGACTGCGTTTTTACTTGCACTAATAGATAAAGATTCTACTAAGGTGTAACGTGTGTCATAAACACACTGATGAAAATGTTGTGTTATTGACTTTGCAACAAACTGTATGTTAAACCGATGCCAAGAATATATCCTATCATATAAAATTACTTCAACAATTGGATCAGACTTGGATGGTCATTTACTATTTGCAAATTGCGGAAGCCATTAACACCTTACTACGCTTAGTGAAATTGCGAGCATGGAATTTATTTACTAGAATTTATTTTGTTTTTTAAAAGCACTTCTAAGTTTAAATTCATTGGGGAATTTAAATGTTAGAATGTAATTTTGAAAATGTAAAAAATTTTGTTCTGCATGCATTTTGTCAATAATTTTTTCAATACCTATTTGTTATGGCTTTTCCAATTTTCTTAGACAACCAACATTGAACAATCGTCCTACTAAAAAAGGACCGCGCGCAGAGTGTTAAACATATTATTTTAAAAAGAAATGCAATGGACGTGGAAGAAGCGAAAAACGTCCTTCTAAGATTATTCAGGAAGCCTTTGATATCGCCTGTAGGTTTTTGTCGAGCTTATATCCTTAGCGGGCAACGTAACATTTCTAGAATTCTTCGCGTTCACAATATCTTTGCTCTGTTTATTTTTAGTTTTCCTCTCAGGGTGATCGTGATAGCTGCAGGATATGAAGTTAATTTTGTATTACCCTTTGTATTCAAACAGAACCGTGAAACTTACGCAAATAATGTTCCCATTTCACCACGTAATAGAGCGACTAGCAATGGCGTACTCAAACAGGTTGGTACCAAAAACAATCTTGCTGGCTGAACCTCTTCAAACACAATACGATGGATAATTGTAGCCGTTAAACCTATAAAGTAGGCTATCAAAGTGGAATGGAAATAGATGTCACTTTTGCGGTCAGTGCTATGATCGAAACGCAGTAACAGGGCTATAAACATGCCTGGTATGATGACGTCGCCCAAGCTTAACGTGACGAAATTGGAACCATTAATGCCGTTACTTATCCAGTCCTGAGGAAAAACTAACATAATAGGCGTTTCAAAGCTCTTAGCTATTGAAACTATAACATTGCTGCCAAGAATCCAAAAAATGTCGTAAAAAAATAAGCCGCTTAGAAGAATGCAACCTGTAACGATATTGTTCAAATACAATATCTCCACGGCATTCATAGTGAAGGCCAACCCAAATACATTCTTTGCTATCCAATGTTTCTTTATCAAGTACCACACGCCAATTGTTGTGGAAATTATTAGGCACAACACGTCGTAGGTAGAGAATTTGAAACTTATGAGCTTTTCTTTGGTTTTACCTTCGCCTCTGTTAAAAAGTATATGGTATGTTATTTCTGAGATCGCAGCCGACATCAGAAACTTAACTAATGGTCTGGAGGTATGTATTAAAGCAGTGACACCAAGGAGGCAGGAGTAACCAGTAAGCACGAGATTGATATGATTTTTGGAAAAGACCTTAAGAGACATGTAGAGACCAAAAAGGGCCAACGAAGCAATAATAGGAAAATAAATGGCCTCCTTTCTGCTCATAGCATCGGTTGTTTCACCGCTTACCTGTAATTGAAATCGTTGATGACGTTTCTGTTTCTTTTCAGATGTTGAATGATATGATGAAACTCAAACCTCTTTTTCTCTATGCAATTTAACTGATCGCTTAGAACCCAAAACTATTGACAGAATAGCCATTATTATTATACTAACGCATGCGAGAGCAGTAGCTTTAAGGTTGCAATCGTTTTTCTCATTTGTCGTGACATTGCAATTAGTGACGTTTTCGACTGCGCGCATTACTTCCATTACAGTTCCAGATAATGTTTGCACTATTTTGTTGGCCATTGCTTTATTATATTTTTTCTCCCAAGTAAAGAATTCAAAAATAAACGAACAATTTTTCAATATATTAGTCAGACTGATTTCCCAAAAATTCGAATTCTTATACTCTTCTTCTTCTTCTGTTATTAGCAAGTCAATAACTGGGGATACGGGGATTCCTATACAAAACGTCATCCAATCGTATATGTATATTACATATTAAAACGAGGAACAAGGAAAGACATTAATTATTTAATGAAGGGATGTAACTATATAGATGAAGAATAGCAAAAACAAAGGCATACATAAAGTAATAAAACAGAAAAACAACATTGTGTCGAACAACAAAAACTAAATCTACCCAAATGCAACTCCCTGCAACCAGAAGTACCCTATCTAGAGCTCATGAACAAACTAAGTAACAATACAAATGAAAGACAAGCCAAAAACATTATTACAAAACTTAACTTAACTTAACCTAAGCTAAACCCACCCAAATGCAACTCCCTACGACTCAAGAACAAAATAATTAATAATACAAATAACAGACATATCAAACACTATAAAAATTTAGAAATGAAAAATTATAAACCAAATCTAATTAAGACTATGAATACAAAATTGCAAAAATTTAAAAATGAAAAACTACAAACCAAATGTAATTAAAAACTATGAATACAAAACTACAAATACAAAGTAAATACATAAAAATTTACTTAAATTAATTAATTAAAAACTACCGTTTACTTCGTTAAAATTCTCTTTCATGACAGAAAATTTTTAATTTCAGTTTTCTCTACATTAACAATGCCTTCTCTAATTTTTCAGGTCGCAAGCTTTTCCTACGCTGGAAAAAGAATTTTTTATTGCTCCAGGGGGAACGAAGGCGATTGACCAATTATTTATTATCATTATTATTTGGTACTTGCTATTTTTAGTTTTTTGTTACGTTTTAAAGTAAGCTGGACAGCCCACCGTTCTTTACACATTAATCAAATGCAGCCAACTTTACAACTCTATAAAAATAAGTTCCACATTTGTTTACTATCCACACAATCATGAAATCAACTTCCTTTATTCGAGTTCTCTCTTTTTCTTCAACATGGCCGATCAGGTAAGACGGGGCTATTTGTGTGATATTTTTTTATTTTATCGCGATTTTCAACATGAGAAAATTGAAGAATGGTGTAAATGGAGTAATTTTCAAGGCGGAGGGAATAATGAAGGAGTGCTAATTTCATTTCAGTTATAGTTCAGTTAAGTGTGACAAAAAAAATCGTGTACAAAATAACAAAAGAATACTTTCAGCAGCAGTTAATAGAGGATTTTATTTTACTTAAGTTGCTTACAAATTAAGAGAAGCATTATTTAATATTTATAAAAAAAAATGATTGTGTCTGCTGTTTCATAATATATGTATAAAAACTGTAGCAAACTGAACGTGCTTTTCGGAAACAATTCAGTGTTCCGGTAATACGTAAGAAGCCCTTGAATATTAAGAAAAAACCACGTTTCCATCGTAGCATTGGTCTGGGTTATAGAACTCCGGCCGAGGTGAGAACTTACCCAAAATTAATGCTTGTCTGTTTTGTTTTCTTTGCATGTGTGCGGTTTGTTTATATTTTACCTAAAATGTGAAAACCTTAAAATGCATAACCAAACCAAATCCTTATCCTACATAACACATTTATGTTATCTATCACGACGAACATTTAATTTGGCATTGGCCAGAATGAGCGAGCTTTTCAAAAGCAATTTGGCATCAATTTAAACAAGAAAATAAAGCCCGGCACTACTAAAAAGAAGAGTCTTCGTCGCTACCGTGATATTGGCCTGGGCTTTAAAACACCTCGTGAAGTAAGTAAGATTCACAAATGTATTCTATTTGCATAAAAAAGTTCATAGTAAGATTAACAGATTGTTTTCCCCCTTTTCTTTAGTAAATTTCATTTTTTTCTTTATTTTTTATTAAAGCTCAATTAATTTTTATTTAGGCCATCGATGGAACCTACATTGATAAGAAGTGCCCCTTTACAGGTAACGTAAGAATACGCGGTCGCATTTTAACGGGCGCCGTGCGTAAATGCAAGATGCAAAGGACCATCGTCATACGACGCGATTATTTACATTTTGTGCGGAAGTACAGCCGGTTTGAGAAACGGCACAGGAACATGAGCGTCCATTTATCTCCCTGCTTTAGGTAAAAGTGTTTCTTTCAAACCTTTTTTTCTTTTTTCTCCACAAACTTTCTTGATGAAAAAATCATGACGGTCTTCATAAACATAATTGCTGAAAAGACTTGATCATTAAACTAACATCTGAATTCTTGTAACCTGCACCACAATTAGCCTGTTTTCAAAGCTTTATACATTTTTTGCTTGCGCTTTAAATCATACTTTATCCGATGAATTCTGTGTGAACTTTAAAAAATTTCTCTAATTAAGTAAATATTTCATGGCATTGTGTTAAACATGCGTCTAAAACAATATCACAAAGAAAGATTCAATTCAATTTTTTGTCCAGCAATTGAAAATTCGGTTTTTGAATTACATGCTGCATCTACACGTTCATCAAAATAACAGTAGGTGGGTAGTTTCGTATTGGCAGAAATTTGTTGCAACAGAAAGTGTAGAAGTGGTGTAGGCTATTATGCCAGTCGAAAAGACTAGGCCCTATGTCTGTTCTGATATTTATAATTCTTTTGTTATCGAATAGAAGCTTTAATATTGTTATTTTCTTCTGTTTTGCAGGGATGTTGAAATTGGCGACATTGTTACAGTGGGCGAGTGCCGTCCTCTATCTAAAACTGTACGCTTCAATGTTTTAAAAGTTACCAAGGGTCAAGGTTCTAAGAAAAGCTTCAAAAAGTTTTAAAGCATTAGATGTACAAACTTAGATAATAATAAAAAATTATTCAAAAAAATCGTTTTTTAAACACTTTCAAGATTGACGCCTATAACAAGACTTAAGAAAATCAGCTGATTAAGCCTTTCTGCGTCTCATATTTTCCTCCAAGGTGATTATAAAATCATAAAGGCCTAGTTAAAGAAAAAATTGCTGAGAAAAACTTGATAAACTTTCCCATTGACACATTTATAGTTTTCTTGCTTCTATTGCTGGATTATAATTGTAACAAATTAGCAATTTTCTACAATGTAAGATATTTTAAATACTTACACGGATTACAACCATTTTACCTAAACTCAAGACCTTACAACGCAAAAGTGGGATGAATTGGTCATCAATGATGAGTTCTATATATTTAATGTACAGACATCTTAGTTCGATTAGTAAATAAGGTCAGTTTGCTTTTTAAGCTAAGCTCTAATATTTTCTTCAATTTCTTGCGAGATTTGAACTTTTTAATAATTAGCAAGCGATTCACTTATAGAATAAATTTTGTTATACTTTGGCAGCGTTTGGAAGTTATCCAAATTTCTCAAAAACATTTTTGGATGTCGGTTAAAACATTTCAAATGTGTGATGCTTAGACGTATAAGTGAATGCAAAAGAGAATGTGGTCATGTTCTCAAAACTCCTTCCAAATAGATTAATCTACCTTTGTGCTTTGTTGCCACAAGTTCAAAGTCTATTAAAAAGTATCTTTGTTTAGCCTCGTAGTTAAGACAGTTCTAAAGAAACCTTAAACAAATTGCTGATGAATTGATTATATATGTATATGCAATATATTGTACTCCTTAAGCTTTTATTTATTCTTTTTACTCCTCCGTCTCTGCTATATTGTATAAAGAACCCGTGGCGCACCTATGCTCTTAATTAGCGTCAGATTCTTTTGGGTAGTTTCCTGTTGAAGAAATTGGAAAGAAAATGGGATCAACGAGTGGCCACATATACGCTTTATGAAAGTGCGAAGACATGACCTGTGTATAGTGGGGGAAAACACTAGCTTATAATTAGATATTTATCTCAAACTTGTTAATATTAGTCTTTACAACGACCATTGTAGGTTTTTGCCCAAAGATGATTGCTGTCGTTAAGTGACATTAATTTAATTAATTTCGTATATGCAGTCTCTTTAGGCCTGTTTGAGACTTCTACGGTAAATGGACGTCCAGAATAATTACAGACGTATAAATCGGTTTAGTGTATCATGGTGGCCGAAAAATGAAGCAACACAATTTTAAAAGAGAAAACAAACAAGCAAAACTTTTACGACAGTTTGAATTATTCCTTTGAAGAGCCGCTTTAATTTAGCCAGACTACTTCTTGGTAATGTAAGGGACTTCTTGCGAGGGCCCAAACTACGCGATATTAAATCCAAAGGTTCGAATAAAAATTTTGTATATCATGAATCTGCGAAAAAATCGTCTGCCTTAGCCTCAAAGAGCTTAAACCTGGACGAGATGTGCATATTATATTAAGTCTCTCTGGCTTTATTGTTTACAATTCAAAAAAAACGAACCAATACTAATGCATAACATTTAGCTTCAAACAAAAACATCTGTTTTTATTTCTGCAAAGACGTGGGCCCCTATATTTGTTGTTGCCAATGCTTCTGCAAAGATGAGCCCCTATGCATTTTGTTATTGCCAATATCATGTGTTGCACACAAAAACAAAAAACATCTGGGCAAAATAAATATTCGTCCCAATTGAAAAGAAAAGTTTGGCAGCAATATTTAATATCAACAGAGCCTCTCATTGCGAACACTCTGCCACATCAGTCTACCTATGCTTAAATTTTTTCATCAATCGCTCTCAACTTCGTTTCTGGATTATGGATCTAACATTAACTTAACTGGTCCAATCCATCTCTAAACAAACAAAAAAAAAAAAAAAAAAAAAAAAAATATTTAATATATTCAACATACCAAAAAAAATATTTAATATGAAACGTATATTTTTCATGGATTGTTTTAATCTGTTTGGAAAAGTTTTCAAATAGTGCAGCGTTGGTTTTAGAAAAGCAAATACAGTCAATAATTGACGTACGTTGCCTCAATAGAAATTTCTGCAACACTTCCAAGAAAACGGTACAATTTCTGGAGATATTTTTAAAAGCCTTCATAAAATGATTGGGATTTATTTAGCTCACTGACATTGTGGAGGACAAACTGGTCTATGTTGAATCTAAAGAATTTTGGGATTGCTAATATTGTATTTTCTTTACAATGTCCTAATCTGATAGCGATAATTTTTGATTTCTCATCTTGATGTCGATTCGTTTTGTTCTTACTGAATTTGTCCTTGCCGTCATAAAAATGGCATATCATAAAGATTATATGCAAAATAACTATTAGAAAATGTACTTTTGGAATGTCCGTTTGTATGTTGTAAGTTCTTTTCAAAACTCCGAATTTTAGATAGCAGAGTGCAAAGGATTTTGTTAAAGGTCAAATCAGCTTGAAGTTTGACGACGCTGAAGGTTTCAGCGACATCGACTTGACGAATTTTGGCTATTATTATTTTTGTTATATTTTGTTATATTATATTATATTAATAAACGAGGCTTTATATATATTATATATATTTTTCGTAAGTAAATAATTTTGTAAATGTATTTCATGAACATCTCTTAAATTCAAGGCTATTTTATTACTTCAACTATTATTATAATTAATATAATTTTTTATATTTATTTTATATAATTAATATAATTTTAAAGTAAGTATATAAATAGGCAACGCGCCTATCACGGTACCTCAACGGTGGCGTGGAAAACCGTGATAATAATCGAAATATATGATTATTTTTAGCTTGACCAAGGATCTTCTGGTACATTTCTTTTTCGTTGTCCTTCGTTGGCCTTCGCGTCGAGCTTTAATAATAAGTTTAGCCAAATCCTAAGAACATTTTATATGGTGGTAAATACTGTGAATCCAAAAATAAATGTAAAATATTTTGAATGATGTAGCAATGCTTTCTAGCACTAGCACCATCATGGTGGGTGTATAAAAAGAACATATTTATACTATGTGAGCTTTGCGATAATTGTGCAACTATGTGCCTTTAAAATCCCTAAAAAAGTGCAGTGCAAGTATTTCTAAAGAAAAAGTTAACTAGTTTTGGTTTTGCAGTATATACATTTTCGGATTGTCAACCAATCCAATCCATAGGTTTGCCTCAGTTTCATAGCTCGAAAGTGATATTTGAAATTTTCCATTCGGTTTTCTCAACGGCTATCGGAAATTTTTTTTCGTTTTAGTTCTATATCAATCTTGAAGTCGTGCTTTTCTATTTGTGCAATCAAAATTTTTCTCTCAGAGCGTATAAATTCTTTCAGTCTTTGCTATTCTTTTTTCAAATAACTGTTTCAAATGGTTGTATTTTCAAAGCCCGAGTTTCTTCGTTGTATCTCGTGTTGGACTTTTCAAAATGATAGATTTGTTTCGCAGTTTTTGGTTGTTCTTGAATGTTACTTTTATTTATTTACGAAAATTTTCTTCTTAATACTAATTTTTTAACATTTGGGAATTTTTTTCGTTATTTTCTTCTTTCCATGTCCATGAAAATGTGCTTTACGCAAAAATGCTTTATTTTATTTTCCCGTTAAATAAATTGCTCGATAGGAATCGTACGTTTGGGAGGAAATATGAGAGTCCGGCGAGTTAGAAGGGATTGAGCAAAAAAATTACCGACAGGGAACTTAGATCAAATGCATCTATTTTTTTGGACTCTAACATAAACAGGTGTTATCACAAAAGCAAGTTCATATATGGAGACAAAGTCTAATCGTCCAATATTCGGACTTTCCAAAAAATTGTGGCTTTGCATGAAAATAATGTGTAAATTTTAGTGTATTATTACCGAAACGAGTGAACTACTAGGCGTAGTGGTGTTCTTATTTGTGTTTTTCAACTGCTTGGTTTTATTAAAATTTAAAATAATATTTTTTAGAATTTTACTCGGGATTTTCACATTTTTTTAAATTTAGTATTTATTTATGTATCTTTATGACATTCCATGAGCCCAAATGGGCGTGGCTAAGCATAAAATTTGGGGAAAAATTTTAACATTACAAAGCATTGTTCAAAATTTTGGCTTGGGTGTTTTCGAGGGATATTGATTAAAACGAGAGCGTAAGACAATGTTACTTTTGATATTTCCACGTTTTTCGGTCCGGCCCAAAATGATACCTTCAGGTATTTTACCCCGTTTTCCGGATGGCGCTGCTTCAGTCACATCGATAATACGAGGATTTTTACGATATTTATACCACCAGTATTCGAATAGCAGAGTAATGCAAGCCATACCAATGCCCACGAATATAACGATAAATACACCGCCAATGTTTTCAATGGAAATGCCATCTGATTGATCTTCGGGTTTATCGCACTTGGCCTGAATTTCATCATTTTTCCACCATTTTTCTTTGAGTTTCTCTAACTGACGTTTATTAAGCAAAGTTAGGATGCTGTGATGGGATGTAAAAAATCGATTACGTAAGTTAAGTATCTTTTAAACAAATAAACCTACGCATTATTAAACTGATCCTTTAAATGTGAACCCTGCTGGACGGCTATAGCATACGGTTTCCGTGAAAACTCCTCACCTACTACTTGTAGGTCGCAATTTGTCATTACCAAGTAGCGAATATCGGTGGCATCGCCTAAAAAAGCAAAACCGGTTGCCGATGTTGAATTGCGCACCCGAGCTATAGCTTCCTCCAAATTGGCTGGCAATTGAGCTTCTTGCATAGCTTGCCACATTTTTGTGTACTTATCGCTAACCGGGTAGTCCCATACAGCCAGCTTAGATCGTTCGAGCGGCGTCAGGGAGTCATTCAAGGACAAATCTTTCCATATTTCATAAAACATTTGCTCAATATTAGCCATACGTTCAAAATACGTCATAGCTGAGGACCCATTCAAAGGGGCATACAGAATTTTATATTGTTTTGCCAAATCATCTAAGGACTCTACAGGTGTGTCTAAACGCGACACAGTGAGGAAAGCGGCGAGATTGGCAGTATAAGAAGCAATGATAATAAATCTACGCACAATAGTTCGGATGAAATTAATTAGTGGCCAATTTTGAAGAAATATAAATTTTTACCCAAACAGCCACCACGTGGCTGCTACTAGACGACCCGATAAATTTTTCGGAGCTTCCCCGCCTCCTTGTGGCGTCAAAGATGTCATGCAGAACCATAGACACTCCTTTAAATTAAATTCTCTTTTCTCATCATCGTCTTTGTATTTCTCACGATTATTTTGATAACTGTACGGACTCCAACGATCGAAAATCCACATCAGGAAACTAGTGAAGAAGTAAGCAGCTAATATGCAAAGCCATACATTCGTTTCAAGTACCGTTAGGAATTTAAATAAAGAACTCGGTGTGCTGGGTCGTTGCATCATTATCGTAATACCGACCAAATCATAGTAGGGTACTGTGTAATCTATAACAATTTCACGTTCGGCCATTACAGACATTGAACCCAAACCGATATCGGCTTGTTTATCAATCAGTTTCTTGACAACACCATTCCAGTGGCCATTTTCATCCATATTTCCAAATTTTCCATCTTCTACTTCTTGTATGGTGTAATCAAAATGAACAATTGCCGCAATTTCGTTAATTAAATCAATGCAGTAACCCTTGTAGCCTTTGGGTGCTTTTGGATCTCTCATTATAAAGGGAGCTTGCTAAGCGACACATAAAATAAATAGAATGAACGTACCCTTAAGCACAAACAGATGAATTGAATTGGGAACAAAAAAAGGCTACGGACAAATCATTGTTTGTACAGATACCCAATGCTTGACTTAAATTATCTTTTTACGCCCACCATAATAATCAGGGTATTTCGTTTGCAATACATAGGTAATGACCAGTACACTCTCCCTAAAGACTTATTTCAGACGTACGTCCACAAGTCAAAAATGTTGCAAAAACGTTCATGATCGGCTAGACTAGACGTACCCTCAAGGCTGATCACATTGTAAAACAATTTCGCACATTTTTGCCTTTGAACGAATGAACTTTAGACAATGTGTACTTACTTGATTAGATTAGAGAACACATATACTCCTGTTTGTGGCATTCTATAGCACATATGTTATAGAATGCATTAAGTTTTTGTGGTTATGTGTAATAATCAGAAGGACTTAGAACTGGTGCAGCTCTTATTATCGGCTCAAAATTATTCCCCGAATCGATTTAAACTTCTCTATTCATGTGTTTGTGTATTCAAGCTGCACATTGCAATTTTCGTTTTGTTTTGTGAAATTAGGTATGTTCACGCTAGTTGATATCGGTACGAACGCTATTGAAAATGGATAAATTGGATCACTTTTGTGGCCGCTCCTCATATAACACTCTATTTTAGACAAGTGTTTATACAGGAAAAAACACAATTCTCGTTTTTCTTCCCCAGTAATGGCTAAATGATAGCATTTCCACATTTCGAATTGACGTGAAAAATTGCATCGGATGTGGACATCTTTTGAATCATGAAAGTATTTCTACGAAGAGTAATGCTTTACACGGCAAATGCTTTCAATTTTTTATACCTTTTGTGATGAAAGGTAGTCTACAATGGTAACTTGACATAAATATAAATTTCAGTAAATTTGGGCTATGTAGATCAAGTTTTTGGCCCCCCCCCTTAAAAGGGCCCTTACGCAAAACAAACCTTTATTTGGGAGAAAAGTCTACTTCTTGTGTATTGTATAATGAGAGTCCGTCCACGATAAAAATTGGTTATGAAATTAGTTTGTGTCAAGTTTGGACCAAGTAGGTCTATTTTTTGGAACCACCCTCTTTAAAATTTCTCATAAAAAATACGTTCTTTTGTGCCAAAAATGCCTAAATTTTAATAATTGCTCCACAATAGCTATTCGACATGAGATAAATCGTGACAAATTTGTATCATAAAAACCTATGTTTTAGATCCGACTGCAGGTAAGTATGCTAGGCGTAATATCCAGAAGCACTTTTGTTAAATCGTCGATTCATAACCAATTTCCGGATCTGTTTAAGCTTGCCTGTTTGCCTGTCCGTCCGTCTCCCTGTTTTATGTTCATGTATGCAATCTACAAGTCGCAATTTGTTGAAATTTGTTTCCACTAGGAATTAAAGAAATCGAACGTCAACAGAGAAAATATATGCTCAACATCAGGCTTCCATTCTAACTGTTGTGACAGGCGTTCACCTGAAGGATAATCATGTAGTAAATTAGCTTCCGCTGTTATTTTCAGCTGTTTGGCAAAAGCGACTCAATACACAAGCGTAAGTTGGCTTTAACATACGTAATTACCCCCTGCTTGTGCGCTAAGTGTCTTCATAAGTAGTTAGTTCTTACATGAAAACGGGGTACTTGCTGTATTATAAGGAAAATGAATGGATAGTTTTATAAGGCGAAGTGACGTAGGGTATTTAATGGTGGTTTTAGTTAATATAACCAGTCAGTCAGGAAATGTTTCATATTCGTAAACGACGATTATGGTCCAAAAGAAATGAGGAAGGAAAAGCTAAGAGATAGACAGGTAGTGGCCCGCAGCATAGTGCTTACGTCCAATCGGCAAGTGTTACACCCTTTGCTGCCTAAGCACTTGCCCGGTTAGAATGTTCTTACATGTTTTTTGTCTTATGAATCTTCGTCACGTTATGGTATTTTCGAGAATTTGTATAACTTCTTAGGTATATCATGTTTGTATCCCTTGATGATTTCTGTTCAAACGGAACATATGTATTTGCAGTAATGTTGTATTAGTATTAGTATCATTTTATAAAAATGTTATGTTACTCACTCCGGTATGAATAACAAGTAGTGCAGTTGCATCAGTTGTATCATCGTACAAGCGAAAAATATTTTCTTACCAAAACTGTATAAACGCGATAGACCGTATCTGCTGTTAGATTATTTATGGCTGTTTCGTCTTTAATCATTAGAGGTGTATCCAAGCCAGAGGTCCAACGTCCGATTGGTTTACTATTAACGGAATTTCCTCCACGTATCTCTACCATATCTATATCCATTTCAAATTTGACGTAACTGTAGCCATTGAATGGCTTTCCTTGTTCGCTTACCAATTCAAATTGTCCGTAAGAAGTAGGTTCGCTAACCTGCGATATAATATTTAAGATTTATACACACTTGTGCGTATCTGAAATTATTGAAAACCTTAATGAAATATTCCTTTAAATCGAGATTTCTTATTGGAGTGTTTTCGCCTTGGTAATCATCGCAACCCATATATATCATATTTTTAGGCCAAGCATTCGCTTGAATCATGTCTCTGTATGAAATGTACACACTGCATTTGCTGTACAATCAATCGAACGCTTGCTTATCACTCACCTGACGGTTAAAAAAGCTCGCAAGGCCAAGTCAAAATAAAAAACAGTCATAATTTGTGGCGTTTCATTTAGGTTATAGGTCGTTCTTAGCTGCCCTAAGCGTTCGCGTCGCTGAGCATACACAACGGGTTTCAAGTACATTAAGGTAGCATTATCACGTTTACTGGCGATTTCCCCTTCATCTTGGGTGATTACATGCCAAGCGAAATTACGTTGAAAATATGCGGATTTTACTGCTTCTAAAAAGAGAGAGAGAGGGCAATGCATGCGGAGGTGGATAACAAAAACAAAGCAAATATTCCAAATTGCGAAAGACAAATGTTTTTCTAATTCTAAGAAATGTATCGCTAAATATTTGTAAATGGAATCGTACTTTAAGTACAGTAAGTGATACTAAGTGCTTCTAAAAAGTACTGAATAAATTCAAGTTGTGAAGTATGTACGTGCAGTAGTTCTCACCTTCACTCTGAGTCAAAACAGTAGTTGCGAGTTCGAATGGAAATATGTTAACGAGTTGAACAGATGTTGGACTCTATTAAAGCGATCGCTGAGCTAAAAGAGTAGTAGTCCTGCAAGCTATTCGTCACTTATTTTTCATCACAAAATACTAAAATAGTGAATTCTATCTTAATGTTACTGTTTTCACAACGCAAGCACAACGGGAATTATTGAAAACGTGTTTTTCCTTTCCAAAATTTCTGAAACGTGTGCTGTTAAGCGGGACCCATTATACACAAATCCTGAAATTTTGTTCATACTTCCTCATAATTCATAGTAATTGAGACAACAGAGACAATGACGTTGTACGTGTTAACAGCTAAAAACGAAGCAAACTTTAGAGTATCAAATACATTTGGCTACATCTGTACCCTGCGAGGTCTACGATGTATTACGTTTATTCACTCGCTTAGCAAAAGGCCAAGCGTTACGTAAACATGCGTGCGACCTATACTTCATACCGATACAGTACGTAAAACTTCACGCTCTCATTATATATACGTTCAGAAGTGTTCAAATAAATAATAATAGACAACTTAGACTTAGTTTATATATCAAGTTCTAAGATAATCTATACATGTAAACATGTTTTCATTCAAAAATTGAAAAAAAAAGAATGAGAAAGAGAAAGAGAAAGCGAAAAAAGAATGTTTGACAATATCTTAAAAGCAACGAGACTACTTGTATGCTTAGAGTAAAAATATTCCCGACCAGCCTACAACTAGGTATGAACATGTCTAACGGTTTAATCGTTTTATACGTACCCAAAACTTGCCCTATTGTTCGTAAGCTGCCCAATATGAAGAAATTATTAATATCCAGATTTCTTAATTTCTCAATTTCTTCAGTTCGCTCTCGATCGCCTTGCGCAATCCGAGCGATGACATGACGCGTTTGTATATTCTGCAACAGTGACTTGTACTTGTGATCCATTATAAAAGTTTCGTCATATAGTATGGCCGCATTTGTAATATTCATTTTGCGTACTATACTACGTACGACCTCAGGAATAAGGTCAGCCGGTGGCATAATTTGCAATAAATATTTTTGCTTATTAGCGTCTATATCGCGCCATTGCCTCAAATCGCCTTCTTGACCATAAGACGCACTTATCGTAGGTAGGCCCAATGCTTGTGTAAAAGATTTCACTGTTTCCGATGGTACACCTGTTAAATAGAAAAGAATTTATTATATCACGAAATTGGAAACGATAGCCGACGGTAGCTCGCCTGATTTTGTGGTGTCAAGTACGATATGCGGTGGCTGTTTGTTTTCAATGCTTGCCGCATACCTAGTACAAACTGTAAATGTGTGGATGGATTCATATAATGTAATTTTAACTAATTAATTTCACATCAGAAAATTGATTTTTTACTTGTTTCCAGCAAGTCTTTAGCATCGGTTTTATTCGCTTCGATCCTCTCAATTCGTAACGTTAAACCGTATTGAGCGTTTTTCTTTAAATATGTTTCAACGACCTCAACCGCCTTCGAGGCTGGATCGTTATCAATTTCGTTTATAAAAACTTCATACATTTACACATTAAGAAATTAATTAAAGAATAAAAGGGTTAAATAATTTATTCAATTCAATAAACACTTACAAACATTAATATTTTGACTTGTCTGACCATTTACTTTACAGTTATATAGGGCAAGAACAGCAATAGTGGCTGTAAAAGCTAGCAAAGCATTAAAATTCCTCATAGCAGAGTATTTTCTTTGCGTCTTCAGCTTTCGACATAATAATCAATAAAATTCGCTTCTTTTTTCTTTTTTTTTTTTGAAGACGAAGACTACCTATCACTTAGCAAGTCCTGAATCTACTGACAAGCAATACATTGTTGACGTGTTAACTTGCAGTTCTTCTATTCGTGATGAAATTGTGTTATTTAATGACTTGAGTAACTTTGTGACCGATTAAATTTAATTCTATATCGAACAAAGACACCTATGTACTTATTAATGTTTGTAAACAATGCATGTATGCATGGAAGGATCCGTATTTACCTCATCACTTGAAGGCAAATTTAAACTTACCAAGCATGTCTGAAAAAGGCAGAAATCTTGTGTACTATAAGTTACGGTAAATAACGATAAGAATGACGTTTACGTCTTTAAAAACTTGATTGAATTGAAGCCTGAAAGACCTTAAACATATTGAGCTTTCACGATAAGAATGGGTTTTTGTACATTCAGATATAATTTTTCCTTAAATCGCACTGATAGCAACAAATATGTGTCTGAGTGGCCGAGTAGACAGAAGATATCGATTAACAATTCGATGGTCGTGGGTTCGAATGTCAAGTGATGTAGGGTTTTCAATAAAGCCGGGGCGTACTAAATGCTAGATGTTTAGTCTTAGAATTAATAATAAAAGATGAAAAAAGAATGAAAAATGTGTATCGATTTGCATTCCCCCAAATGGGCCGATATGTGAGTTGACTATATTTCTTTTGTTACTCTCGGCACAATTAAATAATATCTGTTTGAATAAGTTTTGTAAGACCCGAAAAGTTACAAAAATCTTCTAATGTCGGAGAAAAAGTTTCCAAGATTTCTCAAACCCATATATTGTTGCTGAGTAATGCATTGCCTGCAAACACTACCTCCGGTTTCTTACTAGTTACGTAATCGTGTGAAAAACCTGGAGAGAAATGGACAGAGTGAACCCCACACAAATTTTTTGGACAATCTTAATTCTAAGCAAGCGGACCCAATGGAATGGAAATTGTTTCGTAATGGAGATTCTCGTTCTACGCGAGTTGAATGTCCGCGTTACAGCAGCATTACATTAAATAATTTTATAGTCAGAGATAAGTCGAGGGGAATGTCAGTTAGTCGGTTGTTTAGTTTAGTTTACATTTTAAAAGTCCCTCAGCTCTTAATTGATAGTAGGCAAGAAAGCAGGCCGGCAAATGGCTTTTGTGTTGCAGCTGAACGAAGAGAGAGTTAGTTTCCGCCTTAAAGTTCAGCATGAACCTCAACGTAATTTTAGCTCACACCGCGATATTTACAAGAGTTTGATCCCCACCACCGCACTAATTAGGTATAACCTTGATATCAGAAAATTTTTTGTTCTTCTTCCTCTTAATTTACGATTTACAGTTTCGCACTTCATTCGTTCTCATATGTTGAGTTTATTAATAACTTTTACGAAAAATTTTATTTCTCTAATCCCGTCCTTAAGCTTTTCTTATACACCATTTGTTGCGCTAGGGTGTATTAAGTTTATGCGGATTTATACAACATCCAGAAGGACTTGAGATGGACATACTCTTTATTATGCCAATCGATTTAGAATCACTTTCTTAATCGATCCAAGCTTGTCTGTCCCTCAATTGCTTCTGTAGCTTCCAAGCTTTAAGTGCAATTTTTGAGATACTTTGATGAAGTTCGGTGCACCGACATATTTTGGCCCAAACATGAACGTTATTAAAAATGATTCAGATCGCATAGAACGCCTTGTTTTGAAAAGTCGTTATATGAGTACCTGCGCAAAGCCAAGTGCCGTGGAGCATCTAATGGTCGGCCCCGACTCACTATAATGTTTTTACTTCTTTGTTAAGTCATTGTAATCAGACATCGCAATGACCATAAACAGTTTGCTTAGGTGAATAATTCGCATTCTCCTATGACTGGAATTATGTCCGGTTTACTGTGTGCCTTAGTTTAATAAAGATTTCATTTTGAGTGTCGTATTATTTAATTTCTTTGCGGATTATTTTTCTAGACCATATATTGGTGACGAGAATAATAAATATTTTTTTTCTGAAATCTATTTTTTCTCTCTGCATCACGTATTCTCCATAACTTCTACGTATGCGATGATAATAACAGCTTCGGTGCCAAAACGAGTGGGACGAACCCTACTCGAAGCGGAACGGCTCACCGGAATATTGTAATAACAGATAACACTATTGATTTTATGAACTTGAATATAAACTTAACTGTCGCTTACACACTGACGGTATGTCTGCAAAAGTCTGCTTCACGCTACAAATATCGTGCACTCTAGTTTTAAATTCGCATTTGCCTCTTTACGTTAAACATATTTTTGAGTATTCTATCCTCATGTCGCAAGTCAGCTGTTGTATTAAAGTTATTTCCGATTGTCCGTCCATTATATCAGACTGATTTAAATTTACTATCAACTGCTTATACGTTTCGTTTATATGATCCAAATGGGAGACCGCAGCATCAATGCTCCTCCTTTCATGTCATTTTCAAATGCCTGGAATTTACATTCCAGATCTGTCATTTTTAAAAGCACCCCATCCAAAGCGTCTAGATTCTTAATGGAACGGTTACAGTAGAAGGATATACAAGTATATACATTTATATCGCGTGTATAGATCAGTCTATGGCAAACAATGATTATTGTCTGCTCATTTCGATATTGGAACACCCACTTTGAAATCCTTTAGCGAATCCATGAATACTTGCAGATGGAAATTAGCCTCAGTCTTAAAACCGTATAGAAGCTCTCTAGAAGCTGACGAATCCTACTCGTTGGCGATTACTATAATTGCTGTGATTGGTCGGCTTTACAGCAATGTGATTAGTTGAGTAACCTTTTAACCCAATTTTATTCACGTTTTTCTTTTAATATTGCTTCCTGCGCATTTTTAATAGCTATTGTAACCATGACATATATTGACGTCTGCTATAAAAATTTACAAATCAATATCAAAAAGAATGAACACAAAAGGAGAAGAAATAGTAATAATCGTGATCGATCTTAATTCACACACACACACATACAAGCTCTCTTTTAACCATTAAGTCTTATTGTAAATGTTAGTATACTTTACGCATAACCGATTTCGGGCATCAATTTAAATCAATTTCCACAATTAGAATGCGGCTTGATCGCGTTTCTTCACTTCTCTAATCTCTTCCGTTTTGGAAAATGGCTAACCTTTTCCCATTGTCGACTTTTTATGTATCGCCGTCCCGTTCTCTTTCATTTCCGGAATTTACTGCCAAATTTTACATGTCACTCTTATTTAGTTCAAGTGCTAGTGCAACTCTATATAAATTTTTTACTTAGCTAAAATTTGAAGTCACAACTTATCGTCCTTGATGAGTTTCTTTAAATTTGGACGTTATCCACTCACCAAGACTCTTAAAAGCTAAAGACATTTTTAGGCCTTAATAAAACCGTACATTTTTAATACATCGATCTCGCCAACTTGTGTGTGTGTGCAGCAACCATCAACCTGACAACGTTCTCATAAAGCCTGTCATTTTTTTAACCGATCTTATATCCAAAAACTGGAAATGTTATCTAGGGAGACAAAGTTGACTTTAAGAAGTAAGAAACTTATGTACCTCTATGGCCGAATCACTCACTATCAACATTTATAGCCCAAATAAAAAGAAACCGGGAAAATTGAAGTATGTGCATTTTATATTAGATGGGTGTGGTCGGTTTTCATACTTTTGTACAGGCCCTACAGCACCAATCGTAGAATATGCAATGGAAATTGTATCATTGTATCTTGTGCAATTCATAAGCACTGACAAAAAACTCCTGTCTTATCTTGCTTTTAAAAACAGAAGCGTTCTTAGTTGATGTTTTACTGCAGGCATGTTCTCAGATTAAGTTAAATCCTCCTCCAAGAATTTCCAATATTTTCGTCAATTTTGAAACCGACATCTTAACTTTGCCGCTCGCAGTACTTTTAACGCAAACAAATACGCAGACGAGCAAAAAAATTAACAGACATAGCTAAGTCGATGCAGAATTTGATATTAGTTCAAAATATATGTATTTTAAAGGATTTCTAAAGTCTTTCTGGGCGTGGCGTACGTTTTGACAAAACAAAAGGCCACTAAATCTATCTACGTAAAATGGGCGCGAACGCAAACTCTTGTCATAAACCTTAGACCATGTGTGTTGCTCACAATTCATCTCTCGAATTAGCAATATCACCGTAAGGGAACCAGCACCACTCGTTTTGCAATGTTCCAAATAAAGAATATGCATGAGATAAAGCTACACATACGAGCCTAAATGCTACACACCGTGTGTAGTTTGTCACATGCCCTTATTAAGTTTACCAAATATTCATAAAATATGTGTGTGTCTACCTTTTTATGGCAGCATCAGTACTTATCAAAGCCTATCGTTTAAACATGAAATGATATATGACGTAGCTCTCTCTACTCTAGCGCTAATCTCCTGTTTCTATAATCATTCAGGTTACTGATTATGTAGTGTGTTAAGCAGGTTTCATTTTTGCCTCATAAGACGGGGATGTGGAAAAAGTGAAGGGAGTATTGTAACATAAGAGAGGTTCATTGCTTTTCCTAATATTTCGAACACACGCCATTATCAGAAAGAAAGCATTCTGGAGATGGATTCATACTTGCGTAACTAAAGAAAGCGTAAACCAGAATTTAACGATTTTCATGAAAAAGTCATATTCGGCCACGAAATGACTTAAGTAAAATTTGCAAAATTGATTTTATTTGATCAAGCCGCCCAAAATGAATTCTAAGTGGAAAGGCTCTGTCGATGGAAAAATGCTGAACTTTTTTTCACGAAACGGTTCCAGCTAGGAGTAAACTGTCTTCGATCCGTAGTATTAAAAAGATTCAACGTATCAGGCGAGCCGTGGAAGAATCCTTGCTATTCGAAATGAATTTCGCTGTAGTGCATTCCTAATGAAAATCTACAAAATTACTCTTTCGTAAGCTATGTCAGTCTGACTGTTTAACAGTTGGAAAAGCGCTTTTACTGCAGCATACCCCGTCTAAAATATTGAACAAGAAGTTTTGTTCACGTGAGGTTATGTTCCGAATGCAATCGCATACCAATAATAACAAATCTCAATCAAACACACAAACTTCTTTGCTTCAAAATCATTCAACTATGTTTGTCCATACTTTGCATTGCCTACATTATGTCACTCCCAGAATGTATATTTTATAATAATAGCTCATTACGGGTGCATTGGGTTGCATAGTAATTTATGTTTATAGTACAGTGTGTACTTTCATATATTGTGATTAAAATATTAAAAGTAAAATCAACAAATTTGATTGGTGAGTGACAAAGGACTTCGCTCACGCCAAATATAAGTTTTTTGTTTTTTTTTTTTTCAAATAAATGTGTTCACCTTGTTCCACCTTTAAATGCTATTTATTTGGTAATAATTGCAAGTTTTTTTCATAATACTCTACTTTAGTAAACAAATCATTACATTAATCGCTTACCATATACGCAAAATAAAATTTATAAAATTCGTAACATCTTGCAAAACACGCGATGTAATTCTCTCCCTCTTCTCTATCTTTACAAATTTAAATTCGTTCTCACTGACTCTTTAATTTATACAACTGTTTACAAGTTTTAGAAAAATTTTATAAATTTTTAAGATCTTTAACTTACGGTATATTAAATTTCTACAACCTACACCCGTTGCGGTACAAGTATATATAAAGTTTGTGGAGATGTGTGGAAAATACAAAAGAACTTGAGACAGGCACATCTTTTTTTTTTTTTTTTGAATCGATTAATTTAGAATCGCTTTTTGAATGGATCCAAGCTTGTCTGTCCATCTGTCCGTTTTGTTTTCTTGACCGCAATTTTTGAAATATTTTGATGAAATTTGTCACGCTGGCGTCTTTTGGCACAACGATGAACGCTGTTGAAAATGATTCCGATCAGCCCTCTTTCTGGATGAGTCCCGTCATAACGCTTTATTTTGAAATATCTTATGTGGAAAAAATTGCAATATCTAATATTTTGCGATTAGGCTCGGTATGTAATAATGAATCGAGCGGGCAATTTTTTGTACCCTCTCATATAACCGAAAAGTAAATCGTTATGGTGTAAAAAAGTATAATTTTTAATATTTCATGGTGGAAATATGTTCGTTACAGCATAGAAATCAACCTCAACTAATTTGAACTAAGTAGATCTATTTTTTGGGTATCACAGCATATAGGAGACTCACGAAATGTAAACCATAATAAGCCAGAGATGTCCCATTGAAAATTTGATCATACTAGTAATGTGGCATAAAAATTAAGTAGAGCAAATTTGAACCACATTAATCTATATCTTCGACTGTACTGCTTGTAAGATTTCTTATGAATAGTAAACCATTCAGCAAAAAGTTTTAATTTTAAATATTCTATGATGCGAATTGGTCCATAATAGCAAAGCAGCAAAAAAGTTCATGGTAGAGAATTTGGATCGCACAGATCTACTTTTTGGACCCTAGCCCATGTAGGGGTTTTTAGGTGTTTGCAAAAATGTTGACCAGGAACTTTTATATGTAAAAGTGATACTAATATATATAAATGATACCAATGTACATAATTGTCGAATTCGATCCTCTATATAAAATAAGAGCTTCTCATTTAATATTATTGATTAACTTAGCGTGTGATGACGCTAATCATGGAGCGCTCAAAATTCACCTTCTTTCGTACTGCTGCCGAAACCCGCCAAACATATTCAGAGGCTTACGCTCGTGCATCTCCATCGCATCCCGATTGTCGGTTTTGGTTCTACTGCCAATGCCATTTTTTGTTCAGTTGTTGCGAGAGTTGCCCGAGATACCGCAAGGTTGAAGAAGTGCGAAAATGGATCGGTGGGTGGATCGTTGCCAAACTAATATAAGTTCTGTCGACATGCTATTGCCGCGTTGCCAAAAATATTGCAAAATGTAGAAAATGACGGAAACTGTTTTGGTTAATGAATACTTTTCCACAATAAATGCCTTTTTCAAGTGAAGAAGTGAACAAGATTGTTGCAAAAGCGAGTCTTTATATGTAGCGAAAGTCACTTTTCTAGTTTTCTATGACCCAAATTGAGAAATAACAAAATTTTTAGCAACTAGGAAATTAAGTTTACGAAATTGCGAAAAATTTGATTAGAAAACTTATGATAAAAAGCTTTGAACCTTTAAAAAGTCATTATAGAGACATTAAAAGTTTTATTTATTAAAATTTAATCTGTTTTTAATGGAAATAAGTTTATTGCCTTCATTTGTATTTAATTTCCAGGAAAGTAAGGGAATAGTAAGGGAAAACGCCTGATATCATTGGCAGATGTATAAAAAAAAAAATACAAAAAAAGTCACATAAGTAAATATATATATTAAATATAAAATTTAGAAAAGAAATTGGACAAAAAGTTAGGATTTATCATAAAAGATAAAGATTAACAATGTTGATTATATAATTTTTCTCCTTTTTATATATATATATATAAAAGAAATGGGTCAAGACTGTAAATGACAAAACCCTTATATGCAGTAACGTTACGACGTTTACGAGGTTTAGGTTAATACCCGCAATAAAGATGATTATTATTGATTTATTGCTGATACAATGATGTTAAAATTCTCTCGATTAGTTGATATTTAAGTTGTAATAGTTCATTAAATACTGTTCACAAGTTTTTTCAATTCCATATTCATCTATCAGTTTTCAAATTTTTCGACCCCAAAAGGTAAAAGAAACGAAAATAATTATTTTATATTGTCATTTTTTTCCAATATTTTGGAATATCTGAGGTTAAGTAATCTGTTTCTGTCCATTAATTTTGTTAAAGATGTGGTTTCATAACCATATTTCACTTTATATTCCTTTTGAAAATGAAGTACGATGGCTATTATGCTTTCTACCTAAAGTGTGATATTGCATTCGATATCGCGCAAACTATCGAGCTATCCAAAATGTAAATTTGATATCGACTTTCCACGATAAGGAGAACAGCAAACTGATCACAGATTCCATTATACATATTGCTAACGTAAATATATTAGTGTGCAACCTAAGACAGATAAATATTGTAAAATCCATATTTGTTAAATTCCTCTTTAATGTAATACAGATACACAAGTGTACAGAGGTACATGTACAAGTAAATTACACATGCTTCTTCGAGATTCACTTGAACGCTTTAGTTTCAAATTATTGCCCAACATGTAATATCTTTCAACTTTTTTGAGTTTGTGTCATAGCTTACATTTAAATACGTAAAATGTACTATAATTTCATATTTATGTTCATATATTTCATTAATAAAAAAAAAAAGCCTACAATGTCGCGGCACTATCTCAAAATACATTTTCATGCGATAAGCTAGCCTTCTTCCTCTAATTTTATTATCCCACCCCACGAGATAAATTATTTCAGTAGTAGAAAACGTGGCAGTAGTGTTTAATCCGAACCGCTGTCACTATCGGACTGAAAATCAGCCACCTCAATTAGAAATTTGTATTCCTGATCACAGCCTAAATAGGAATCACTCATAAAATATAAAGTGTATTCATGACGGCCAGGACTTGGAGCGACGAAATCCAGCTTGACTTTAGCTTTTTGTTGTAATGTTAAACGTTTAATAGAAAGTAAGGAATTACCCTTTGGATCGCCAATGACAACCCACCAGCCTTCTTCTCGTTTCTAAAAAAAAGAAAGATATAAAAAAAAAATTAAAAATTTGAGCATAATAAACAATTTAGCATTTTACTAACCTGAGGGAAGAAGGGAGCTATAACTGGGCCCGTGACTTCATCTTCACGTTCTAACTGTACGTCCACGTTAACAGTGGAACCCGGACGTATTCGGTCTTTATCTTCTACCCTGAAGTTTATTTCTATGTTGGGGTATCGATTGCAAAATCTGGCCACATCAGCCATTTGATCATCGTTCAATTGTAGAAGACGTGAGCGATCATCATCTTCTAATTCCATAATATCGAAAACAGTTTCAATTTTCTATATAAACAAATTTTTTACATTAAAAGAAACATCAACATTTCTGCTCGAAATTACGCACCTTTTCTGTACATCTCTTGATTATATCCGCATTAAAATGTGGCAATTGTTTGAGATACGAATCTTTGCTCCACATAGCTTGTGTAACCATTTGGGCCAATTCCATGGCAGCCACAGCCGGCGATAGCCATCCGTTTGAACTTAAAACATCGACACAAGCTTGTATAAGTCGGACCGCTTTTCCTAATATGATTTCAGTGTCGCCTTGCAATTCCGGACCCAATTGTAAGCGAGATAAATGCGCTTGCAATAAGAGATTCGTCTTGATGTGTGGATCATTGAATCTTCAATAAAAAAAGAGAGCGATTTTAACATATTTAATATAGGTCAGGCAATGCAAATAAAAACTTACTTTGGCATCGCGTCATTGGGACCGCTAAGTTTATTGGGTAAACGTTGTGATAAATTACGCAATATGTTTTCTTCGTGATGACGTATTACTATGTCTTCATATTCAGCTGCCGAAGAAATGATTTCTAACAGTCCTCGAATTTTAGTTTTACTATTCAGCGATAAACTGAATAATTCTGAAAGTGGAATGAAAATAAAAAATGTTTACATTTCGTTCTGAGTTTGTCCATCATTTATAAATACTCACCGATCGTGGTATAATTGATGTAATAATAAGCGGCTATCATTCCCAAATTTAAAGGTAAAGTATCCATGTCGTCTTCTATGCTAATGCATTTCGATTGCTCCAAGTCGGAAAGAGTGTTTTCGACAAATTCAGACAAGTGATCTGAGAGATGGCGATGAGTAATGCCTTGCAAGTTATAATAATTTGGATTTTGCGTAAGGCGTCGGTAAAGAAAAGTCCAAGTAAGATAATCGACAGCGTCTTGTTTGTTTTCAATGGTTTTAGTTACAACTTCGGCATTGAAATGATCGTGCAAACGATGATCCAGATGACTTTCGATAGGTAACGGTTCGTTAAGGAATTTTTTAAAAAAATCCTTTTTTGATGATTGACACATCAGCACACATTTAGCATCTGCATCTTCATTAGGCCGATTAGCGCGACCGATCATCTGTAAAACGTCAGTGATAGGATAATCCTCGTAGGAATGATTTTTGCCGTTATAAAATTGTGTATCCATTATTATGACTAAGTGGGCAGAAATACTCATGCCCCAGCACAGGTCACGAGCTACGACAACAACCTGCACCGCGCCTGTATCAAACAAATGTTCCACTAGACGATGATCAGCAGCCGTTAGGCCTTCATGTAAATATGCTACACCTTGTGACAAGGTCTCTTTAAGAGTTTTGTCCGTCATCCGATCCAAGAAAGGTTTGATATCTTCCTTCTCGGCATGAAAGAATCTGTTGGGCTGTAAATCCGAAGCACTATAAGTTAAAATATCAATAGCCGTAAGACGCGCTTGTTTTCGTGACGAGACAAACACTATCACCGGCTTATGGGGACTATATTTCAGAACGGAATTATATACTGGTTTAGACATAGAGGCAATACGTGTAGCATTATGTGTGATATTGAAGCCCTGTATATGCAACTCTAATGGTATCGGCCTTACGCTGGGATGAAAATTGAAGGTAGCGTTGGCATTGCAACCTAGCCATTGGGCGACATCACGAGCATCCGCAAGGGAAGAGGACAAAGCTACAATACGTATTTGTTTTTCGATCTGAGATGATATATAGCGCATACGTGAACAAACCACTTCCAACACGGGACCATCTTCACTGCCAACCAATTGCAGTTCATCCACTATAAACAGTTGGACATTTTGGACATTTTTACGCTGTTTCCATCGCCTTGATAATACATCCCATTTATCTGCTGTTGTTATTATCAATTGTCCTTTGGCCAACAACTTAAGATCCGTGCCGGTTTCACCAGTTAATTTAACCACGTTCAAGCTGCGTTTACCTAAATTGTTGATTAATGTGCCGAATTTCGTTTGCCAATCAGCAAAAATTAAATCAGCCAAATCTTCCTTAGATACTAGATAAACACAGCGTCCTTCAGGTTGCTGAGAAAACAAGCGCATTATGGCGAATTCTGCAATGGTCATCTTTCCCGATCCAGTCGGCGCTCCTACAAAAACGTTGTCGTCGCTGTTATAAACAGCGTTGAAAACTTGAGTTTGAATGGGATTGAATTGAGGAAATTTTTCATAAAATTTTTCAAACTTTGTATTTCGTAAGGCTGAAATGGGTAAGGGCTGTAAATCAAGTAATTCAGTGGGCGGCATGTTCTTTTCTGGCAGTATCAAATGACGAAATGAAACTGGCAATTGGGTTTCCGAACCTATCCATCGATCTGAAACTATCCGCAAAAAATATTGGGGAGGAAGTGGTTCGAAGACGGGCACAAAGAATTTCAACTGATGCTCATCTTGAGAGTACTTTTCTTTCAGAAGGAAAAATTCATGATGTAGTATAATTTCAGAGTCCACATCCTCTACAAGAATCCAAAATCCTTCAGATAGGCCGTGAACTTTTTCGTCCCATTGAAAATCTGGCGTTATAGTAAGTTCCACTCTCAATGTAGAACGCGTAATAGGTTGAATGTGAGTGGATAATTCCAATTTGGGGAATTGGTGAACAAATTTATGTATGGTTTTACCCAATTTCGGCACGCGTATGAGTTCGCCGATCTCATGAGGTTCCAGGTCATAAAGTCGTTCCCAAGGAAAATTTTTTTTCTCCAGTTTTTTGGCGATTTCATCTGGCATTTTCTTGAATTGCCTCAAAGGAGTCATGGACTGCCACATACGGCGATCGATCATCTTGCATAAAATCAAAGCTTTATCCGCTAATTGTGCCCATCCACGGTACAGCACTATTTCGAATATAGCGCGCATTAAACGTGATGCCGATTGAGTTATAAAAACCATATCAGACATGAGAGCAAACCCTTCCAATTTAAGTTGTGAAATATATGCTTGGAGCAAAACGTTTACTTTTGCGCTGTGCTCCTCCATGGACTCTTTAATTGGTATGGGCACGCGTTCCATTAATTTTTGCAGCTCTAATTTCTCTTCTTCTCGCACGGCAATATGTTTAAACTCTGACGACAAAGAGAAAACACGGAACAACTCAATTTCTGATAGTGTCTGTTTCAGAAGTTGGTTGTATGTCATCATGGTTTCATGACCACAATAATAATGCGAGGCTATCCGACCCAAAGCAGTAATTTGAAATTGCCCGCTTTTACGATCATATTTAACCAGACCACTCCGATCTAAATGTAAAGCTGCTGTGTGCACTAAATCGGCTCTTCTTTGTTCGAGTAATGGATCGTCCTTAATCGCATCATGACTTATGCCGTACAGAGTAGGATTTCTCAACATGCGAATGTATAGATATGTGTAACCCAACCAGTTCACGGCATCTTTGAGATTTTGAACTGTACCCAAAACGATTTCAGCGTTTAACATATCCGGCAATTTTGCAACGAACTGTGATTCAATCGGAAGTTGTTGATTTAAGAGAGACAAGTAGAACTGTAATTCACTGTGATTAGTAATGAGTATGCCCTCACCCTTCGTGTCGTACTGCGGTCGTCCAGCGCGTCCTAACATCTGCAATACATCCAAAGCACCTAATTCAACCCAGCGACCTTTTTCGGGATTATAAACTTGCGTGCCTTTAATAATAACAGTATGCGCTGGTAAATTAACACCCCAAGCTAGAGTAGCAGTTGAAACCAGCACTTGTATGTGTCGATCGGCGAACAGATCCTCTACCAAAGTGCGATCTACCCTTGACATGCCGGCATGATGTATGGCAAAGCCATAAGGTAATAATTCCTTCAATTCAGAATTTTTCACTTGCTCGGCCTCGGTACGTAACACTTCCATACTAGCTGAGCCCTCTCTTAGAAAACTGCCAAGTGTGTCTTTTTCCAAACACATATCTCGTACCGCTCGTGCTGTTTTTCCAGTTTCTTTGCGAGAGTGAACAAAAACTAAAACTTGATTACGTCCAGCATGCTCCATGGTTTTTTCGTAAACAATTTCATTCATAACCTGAAAACGCTTCAAAGCCTTTTTTTCAGTAACTCCGATGTACTGCTGCTCCAAAGCTACAGGGCGGAAGCTGTTATCAAAATAGAATAGACCTTTGTCAGGTTTAACTCGCAGAAAAGTTGCGACATCCTGGTAGTTTGGCAGAGTCGCTGACAAACCTACTAAACGAACGTCTTCTTGGGTAACTTCAATATTGCGTATGGTACGCGCTACCAAAGCTTCTAAAACAGGGCCCCTCTCATCATGCAATAAATGAATTTCGTCGATAATCACCAATCGCACTAAAGATGTAAAAGTCTTCTCTCCGCCTTTACGAGTTATGATGTCCCACTTTTCGGGAGTGCAAACAATAATCTGAGTAGCTGCTATTTGTTCACGTGTGAGTTGATGATCGCCAGTCAACTCAGACACTGTCAAGTTATAGCAACCCAAACGTCGTCCAAAATTACCCACCATTTCTTGGACCAATGATTTCATTGGAGCCACATAAATGATTTTAAAATCATCTACATTAATAGTACCATCTTCGTTGATGTGTTTACCAATTTCACGCATCATGCAAAGCAAGGCTACATTCGTTTTACCTGCTCCAGTCGGAGCACAAAGCAGCACATTTTCATCAGATTCTAAAGCGGCATGCCATAGGCGTGACTGTATGCGATTTAAAGTTTTAAAACCCTCAAACACTGGTTGTACATACTTTGGTAGCTTGTCTATATTCTGCAGTTCTTCCTTGTCTTCGAAGGGTATCGGTTTTAAAGCGGGTACATGTACTTCTTCATAACCCTTCCTCTGTTTACGAAATGATCCATCTGGAAGCTGGCATCTCTTGTTTGCCATAAAATGAGAGCCTTGTGAAAATGATAATTCATCCAGTTCCAGAACTTGCCGTACTCCTTTGACTTGACCGCCCTTAGTTTGACTACCTTCATCATTGTTCGATTTATCAGTTTTGTGTGAACGGGAAGTATTTCCATAACCTTCTTCATCCTCCGTCTTACAAGTTTCTAATTGACGCAAGATTTTAGCCAAATGAGAGTCGTTACGCATTTGTTTACGTATATGCTGGCTCTCACTCTCGCTCTGTGCAGAGGCTAACATAGTACAATAAAGGATCATTTGCCTATTAAGTTTCAACTGCTTTATAAAATCAAAGCAGTCATAACTCAGCAATAGGACCAATTGGTTTTCACATTCCCTTTCATCAGCAGCATCTTTTAAAATACGTAAAACATCGGCAGCTTTGCTTTGAGAAACTATTGCATCCTTATAGTATTTACTTAAACAACGCTGCAACCAATACGCGTCGATATCCAAAGGATGTAGAGAACGTTCCTTTTTAACATTTGCCGATTCCTCAGTTATAAGCTGAAAAAGAATTATATTTTTTAATTAGTGGATTTAGTTACATATAATCATATATTTTTCAACGCTTTCTTGCATTGAATTATTGTAAACCTAACCGATCGCTTATGACTTAACATGTCATATTATTTGCTCGAAAATATTAAATATCACGATTTTTACACTCACGTTTTCAGCATGCAAAGTATGGTCAATGCGCGCCTCTTCACCCTCGTCTTGACCATCCTCATCACGTATTTCACCGTACATGTCATTATCACTTTCCTCCTCTGATTCCTCAAACTGCACGTTAATGCCATATGTTTCGTCAATTTGTTCTTCATTGTTGTTTAGCGTTAAAGCGTTAACAGCATCTGAACCAAAATCAGTGATTTTCTTTCCCAAATTTACTAACAAAGCGAATCTACAATTTGTAATAAGAATATATGATTGCTTTGTGAAAAACATCTGTGCACAATATTTTTACCTTTCCTCTGTTACCGAACTCAATAAACTGTCAATTTCCTTCTTTCGTTCTCTGTCTTTCAGCTTATCATTTTTCAATACTGCTAAAATTTCATCTGCTGCACCACATAATATATCGCGTGGCTGATCCCCTAAAGCCTCTTGTATGAAACTCAAAAGTACTTCGTACGTTTGACGAGTCTCTTGAGTTTTCGGACGGTAAACAATACCAACCATTTCGTCAATTCCTTCAGATAATAACGTGGCACCTTTCATTCTTTCAAAATCGTATTGTGCTTCGTCTCGTTTTTGACGCTTGGCTTTGCGCTCTTCGGTCTTTTCTGGTTTCGAGCGTTGATAACGATCACCCATGCGTGTACCTTCTAGTTTGCCCACCAAAGACATTACTTCACCAGTCGCTTCATCTCTTCGGGGCCGCTCAATAAGCCGCACATCAGCTTGCAAAACCAAATTCGAATTCTGTTAAAAAAAAGAAAATAACAAATAATCAGAATGGAGCGTGTGTATAAGACTATTTGATTTTATTTACTTACAGCCTTGTACTCATACTGCAATTGTCTTGCGGCGGCATCAGCCATATTGTACTATGAGTTGAAGAATTCATTAAATAAATAAATTGTTTAATTAAAATTTCCAAAGATTTACTTACTTGCTTTCGTTTTTTTTCTTCTTATTGTTAATTTAAGATATGTTGACAACCAATGTCGCTGTATGCTCTAGGTATTTCACAGGCTGCTTTTGTTCCAATACAATACTCACCATTTGATATATAACTAAATTTGCACTTATCTCAACGAATTCTCGGTTACTGAAATGCTGAATAACAAAAGAAGAAGAAGGCATAGAAGAAACATAGTAGCTTTAAAAACATCTTGTAGCAGAGTTGCCTATGGTTTGAACAAGGGCACATAAGGCATTTTATTGACTTTCAATTTTGACAATACTAATGTAGAAATAAGAAGAATAAGAAACCTCGGCCAAAAAATAAGAAGAACACGAAACTTACACCATCTAATGAAATCAGAAAAAAAACCAATTCAAATGTTTCGCCAGTATTTCTGGTGAAAATGGTTAATGGCTCATAATATGAAATTAAAATAAATTGGTGATTTTACATTCTTTCCAAAAGGTAACCTGTTTTTTAAGATGTTCAATGCTCAGAAGAAATGGCACTTATTTTGAAAAGTAAGCTGGATCATATATGTGGCCACTAATCACCGCATTATGAATTTTAAGGTCTTATGCGTCGATATTACAGTTTGTTAGAAATTACATACACGATTGAAAAAGAATTTCAAATTTCTATGCTATTAATAAAACTTACACCAATTTGTGTATTAGGTGGTAATAACAAATCACTTACATACGGTGGAACAAGATGTATTAACCATAATATTGGGAGAGAGAGAAGGAGAGAGCGTGTAAACAATGGGCTGTAGGGTGATGAATAAAATCTTGACTTTTCTCTTCACTTGACTTTATGGAAATAATTGCGCTAAAGCGTGCCTAAAGCAGTTTCTTGGAGCCTTAAATGGGCGTAGTTATGTCTTTGTTAATAGTGCCGGCAAATCCACTATTGCATCATAGGATGCACAGGAATTTTGAAAAAAAATTGCAAGATAAAATGTCAGTGTTATTACTTAAAATTTGATGGATCAAATTATTTAAATGCTTATGAGGTAGGTATAAGTAAAATCGCCTGTCTTTTTTCAGTCTATTTTACATATTTTAACTGTAGTATTTAATTATTTATTTATTTATTATTTAACATAGTATTCAAAGCGAGATTGGAATTAAGCGATAGGCTTACATTCAATAAAATATGCAAGGTTTTTATTTATGGGGTTATGTTGCTTTCCACCTGGCCGCCTCAGGTCGATTAAATATTTTATATTCGGAAACTATGTTAAAATTACTATAAAATGCAACTGTGGATTTGTTTTGATTACTGCAACACGTGTTGTATTTTTATACAAAAAACTTCGTATTTTCAAACGAAAAGGCGGAGAGTTTTTTTAGAAACATTACATTTTAGAAACAATTAGTAAGAAATGTCCGACAAGTAAGCGTTTGCAACTATTTCAGTATGTCTTAAATATGAAATTATATTTTTTGACCTGTAGATACGTTGTACCTAACAAATTGCCCGGAAAAACTGTTTCTGTATTAGCTCATCGCAAGCGACGTATTTTGAAAGATAAAGCGTCGATTGAACAGAAAAAAAAGCTTAGGACTGAGCGAATTGCAAAATCTAAAAAGTATCCCAAATTCCGCAGGCCGGAGTCGTTTGTGATGAACTATATTAAGGCCGAACGTACAGCGAATCGCATCAAGCGTGTTTTACGAACAAATATACTTAAAACTAATGATGCACAGAAAACGAACCAGAAGCTATTACTTGTTATGAGGCACGCAGGAAAGAAGGTTTTCGACGAAACTACAAACACAATATTACGCACATTAAGAATGCCGGTACGTCATAATGCCGTCTTTTTGGAGAACTCCAAAGAAAATCAAATGCTTCTAAAAGTGATTGAACCATTTGTTGCGTATGGCTTTCCTACACTTAGTACTATACGTGAATTAATATTTAAAAAAGGCTTTGCACGAATCGGGGGAAAAAAAACAGCCATACAATCTAACACGGTGATTGAAGATATCTTAGGCGACAAGGGCATAATCTGTTTGGAAGATATTATACATGAAATATACACCGTTGGTACGAATTTTGAAAGCGTAATCAATTTTTTGTGCTCATTTTTGGTGAGTTTTGTTTAATCAACAACAATTTAAACAATTTCACATTATATATACTTCCATATATTTATATATGTAGCTTTCAAGTCCCCGAGACGGTTGGAAGAACAAAGTCTCAGTTCCTTATAAACGTGGAGGAGAATATGGTGATCGAGGCAATGGCATTAATGAGTTGATAGCACGTTGTATGTAAATAATTTTGCTTATCAATAAATTGTATTTGACCAGAACCAAATTGATAAGCCTTATTTAAATCGGACCATAACGTTTATTATTTGGAAAGGAATATTTATTTCGCGGAATTTGTCATAAAATTAGTTGCTCAAAGCTTTTCTTTAATTGTCGTTTGCATCCTCGGTGCCTGTTCTATTTGGGAATTTCAAGTGCTCGAACTAGAATTGCAAACGAAGCGGCGTGTTTTTATTTTTTCCAAATGGGTTTTTAGCTGTGGCGATTTGTATCTTTTTATCACGCTTTTCTATAAAACAGAATAGTTGTATTAAAAAAGTTGAAAGTTAATTCGTAAAAATATAATTTAAAAATTATATAATAAAATAAAATTTATTCATTAAAGACATTGTTAAGAAAAGTCAATATCCCACGTTACGACGTCCACCATAATTAATTTAGAATTAACACACTTGGCCTTTCGCATTCTACTCTTCAAGCACTTTTATTTGATACCGTCGTGTTGTTGACCATATATATTTGAGAACGTTACAAAGTACTTCGTTTTGAACATTCTGTCTTTATTTTGCGATTAACAAGCGCAAAACTTCAAAAAAGTGAAAAAAAAGAAATTTTATCACTCATAACTCGCGTTCGATTTTTGCGCATAAATAGTAGAGTTTCTCGACAAGTAATTGTGAAGAATTTTAGGCTTCTATCTTTCATAATTTGTGAGCTGCATTCATTTTACACTTTACTGAGGGCTTGTGCTCTAATCAATTTGGCCCATTCTCGATACCAACCTGCGTGCAAGCTTCAAACTTCATTTTGCTCATTTACTTTGACCATCACTGTGTCCTTGATGGTGCAGATTAAACACATACCCAAATGAGCGCAACACTTGCGTTTAGTTACCAAGAGTATATAGTAGCCTTCCAGAAATCTTACAAAACCCAAAACCCCATTTCACGAAGGCTTACAAGAAACCGAATATAAAAAAACGGGTATAAGAAAACGATTTACATGTTCGAAATTCGGTATGATCGATTTTTATATCACAGTAGCATTGTGTATTAGAACTTACCTTGAAATGTTAAAAATTAGATAATCTGGCCGTGTCCTTTGTAGGAAGTGGAGGATAGGAAAAGGTTTAAATCATCGGCTTATCCGATCCAAACAACATTTCTCAAAATTTCGCTATATACTATCCAGGAAGTGAAGCGATGTTAACGCCGCCGATAACTAAAGCTATTACGATTAGAGTAAACTTGGACACTAAATAGAAAGAAACGTTCGAATTCCGAAAGTGAGAGAACTTTCAGCCATGAGGTTGTGAACCTTTTAAATAATGTGTAGATTAGAGAAGAATAAATGCAAAGTAAAGATGTGTAAGAGAATGGGTAAAGACGAGAATTTCAACGGACTAACAAAGAAAATAGGGAAGAAACCGCAAACCGTCGAATCTTCTATACTTCTTCTACTTCTTTTCCATTTTTCTAAACGTAGGATTGCCCGTACAACATATAAAAATTCTTAACGTACTGAGCAGAAAATCCAAAACTCAAAAAACATTCTGTCGCTGCGTGTATGCAGGGCAACTGCCATTCACTAGCTAATTTCCATATGCTCATTAAGTGGCCCACACAATAGTGTCGCCCTTGCATGTCCGTCTAACTGCTACCGCTTAATCTAAATTTACAAGTATTCCAACAAACAGAAAACTTAAACAACGCGTGTTAATCGCAACCTAATCATATTCAACGAGCTATCGATCCGCCCAGGGGCCTCTTCTCCCTTCGAAAGCATTAGATCAACCTTGTCATACTTTCCTTAAGACTTGGGAATATAGGAGTTAATGGATGAGAGGAAATAGTTACTCACCCATGACAGTTTAAGAGCCAAACTTGGAAAATGTTAACAATTAGATAATATTGAGCAAGAATCTTAGTTCATTGTCTTTCCTGGTCCTATCACTGGTGCACAGATGTCTGATCACACGGCTGGGCTGGAATCCTTGACCTTCTTGTAAACAATTTGGCGTTGTTTTTGGTTTCTACAGGTAGTCGGATGTACCTGCCAACATCGACAGCTAATTCTAACGGCTGAACAGCGCTCAGTTCAATGCTCGTCATCTCATACTTACGGACAAGGTCCATTTGTCAGTTAAGTCTTTCAAAATGTACCTTTTGCGAATTTTATGCAAAAGATCAGCAGATTCGTCAAAATTCCGTAGTAACGTGGCCGTCGCGCACTTCTTTTCTGCTTATGACGCCTCTTGGCTCCGAACAACTGATAATGTGACTTGTTGCGAAGTCAGCCATATAACCTAAAAAATTTAAAGTAATATCTTCTCATTATTTATGTGCAAATATTCTATTTCCAATTTATATAAATATTTTTTTTTTTTTTTGTTTGTTTGGATGTGAATAAATATTTATATACAATGTTTATTTATTACCATTGAATGAATATGAAAAGTGAATAAAAAATGAAAAAAGAAAAACTCTCCTATCAATGAAGTATGTATGTTGAATGGAATCAAGTGATGACATTAATTTTCTTTTATTTTCAAATATATTCATGAAGTATGTATGTATGTATGTTTACCTTAAATTTCCTAAAACTTTGAAAGCAATATTTTTCACAGAATTATAATCTATTTTTTTAATCAATTGTTCTATTGTTCGCAATTAATAAAATTTAATTCGATTGTATTGTTCGCAATTAATAAAACTGCGCAGTAGATAAACTTATATAGAAACATGTCCTTAGCTAAGCTCGATTACACTGGCTCGGACAGTGTGCAAGAAATTGAATATCAGACATTGTCTTCTGATTTCTCTCAGGGTCAAATTGATCGTCCCGAACGTTTGCATGAGTGGTTGAAGAGCGAAGAGATTGAGATGCTTTATTCTGTATTTAGCGTAAAAGAAACGTTAAATTATCCCGAACTACGAGAAGAATTAGAGAAACTTAATATTAAATTCACTGATCTTGAATATAATCGTTTGTTTTTGAAAATAAATCAAAATCGTGATTTCGAATGCGATTGGAATGAATTCATTTCGTATTTGATATTTGGGTTTCAAGAAGATGATCCCTCCAGTCAGAAAGAAGCACTTATATTGCCAATATCTACACCTCCCATAATTAGAAAGTCGGAGCATCGTTCGGCTGTTTGCGCCATTGCACTATTGAAGGCAACAAGCGATATGGACGGGTTCGATGAAGACGAGAAAAAGAAAGAAGAGGAATTAAATGAAGAAGAGCTACAAAATAAGAAGATCCTTAGCAATGTAGCATTTGAAGAATCACCAGATACGGCAGGGGTGTGGATAACAGCTAGCCGGGAAGGGCAAATACGTTTCTGGACAATGGGCTTGGAACCAGTGCGTACCTCAACGTCTGAAAGCAGTAAATAAGTATATTTATAATTAAGTCGCCTAATAATGCACACCAATATTTTTGCCATCTTTTTTAACATAAAAAGAGTCTATTTAATAACAGTAGTACTCCAAGCATTGTCAACGGGTATTAGAAATCACGATTGGCGAGATAGAAATTTGAATTGTAGAACTAATCGATCAATCGATGATTGATATAAATCGTCATTTCGCGAAAAAACTGTTGTGAAGTTAATGTCATTTTGGGAATGTTTGCCTCGAGATATGCACAGCCGTTATTAGTGTGGTTTAGATTAAGTGAAAACATTTATCTTTTGTTTTTTCTTTTGTAGTACACCTTAAAATGCCCACATGGATACTATGCGTAATTGCTTTGTCAGACGTCAATATTGTGTGTACTTCTTCTACGGAACGTGAGCTACGTTTCCATGAGATGGTAGCGTCCACCTTTAGTTTACGTATTGTTATACGCAGTTTACCTTTCGCAGTCTGCAATATGAGCTATAGCTTTCATCCTCGTGGAAAAAGCAATTCAAAATTAGTTCTAGGCGATTATGGGGGTAATGTACGTGTCTTGGAATTCGATCCGCATTTAAGAGGACCATTCCAAAGTAAACCAGGAGCAGCTTTGATAGAACTTTTTTGGACCGATGTGTTAAAGGTAATCCAAACAAACATTGGACGCATCCGCAATCAAATAACTTATTTTGTTTATCGATAGGGAAAGTTAGTGCAATTAAAGTGTCGTGAATATATAAAAATACATAGGGAAATGATACAATGTGCTTTTTTCTCCATTGCCTTAAATTCTTTATTTGCTGCCGCCGAATACCGCAACACGAAGAAGTATCGTAGCCGTTGTGCCGGCCTCGTAGTTATTTATGGCGATGAAAAATCTTCCTTCCGCATACCGTTGGTAAGAAGTAATCTATGGTCAAGTGAATTTTGATTGCGTTTATTTTTTTTTTTTTAATTGCTTAAGGGTGTTACTACATTCTCTGTAGATGAACGAAATAATATTGTGGTAACAGGCGGACCAGATATGTTTGTCCGGATTTGGGATGTTTACATTCCAGGTGAACCATCGGGCGTTTTGACTGGGCATAACAGTGGAATAGTTAAAGTTTTTACACAATCCGAAGACCAGAAAGCGTATAGTATAGACTATCAAAAAGTAATTAAAGTTTGGGATATATCTGAACATTCCTTATTGCAAACTTTTGGTGATCTCATACGCATATTTCATGGCGAAACTGATCTTGTATATCATTATCACAAGCAACTAAGAGTACTTTTGGTCGGCGGTCGCAAATTGGTGGCAATTAAATGTAATCCACGCGTGCGCGTAGATTTAACTGATGGTAATACGCATGCGTCCCCCGTATCAGTGGTATTATATAATAGATTGTTTCGAAATGTGGTTACTTGCGGCCTAGATAGTTTCATTATTGTTTGGGATCCTTGGTCTGGCAGACGTAAAATTATTATGAAAAATTGCCACACTAAACAGGTCTACGGTGAAAATATCGATATTGAAATTACAGCGGCTTGTTTCGATCCGCTGGAACAATTTCTACTGACGGGTGCCCGTGATGGTTCCCTAAAAATCTGGAATTATAATAATGCGGTATGCATACGTAACATGAGCATTAAGAGTGAACATGAAGTAACTGCAGTTATTTGGGTAGTAGAGAGGTAATAGAATTAGGAAAGAGACTCACTCCTTCATATCCTTTTGTAACTTTGAATATTTAGAATATTAGCTGTTGGTTGGGACCAGCAGGTCACTGAGTTTAATGATGTGGAAGGCCGTGAATATACAGATCCTAAGATATGGCCAACATTTCATACTGATGATATTACTTGCGCCGACGTTAAATTAGGCGAAGGTGTTGTCACGGCAACGTATTCCGGTGAATTAATATTTTGGAAATTGGAAACGGGTCAACCATACAGACGCTATAATGTGGAAAATCCTACAGAATTTATCGAACTAAAGCATACTAAAACTGTACACGGAGTTGGGGGATCGCCCCGTGGTTCCAAAGATTCGCCTTTTGATTATCATATCAGTGTGTCGCACAGTTTGCGCAGATCGGTTATGAATTCTATAAAGGAAGTGGAAGAAGAGTTTGGTATAAAAGCTTATCGTTACACCGGTAGTAAACTAATCGAAGCTGACCAGAGGGAAGATGACTATTTACGGGAACGTAAAATTCTAGCCCCAACTTTGCCGATGTCAGTCCAAGCTGTCTTATTTTTACAAACACGACCAATGACAAAGCAACATGGTAACTACAAATGAATAAACAATAGTAAGTCATTAAGTCGTTGGCCTTCTTTATTTACTTCTAGGCAGCGTTCTTGTATCTTTAGAAACTGGTATTATACAAGTGTATTCCCATCATCAACGCGGTGGCTATTTAACAGAATTTAATGCTATACACAAAGTCGGTGATTGTGTTTTAACCATGTGCACGGATCGAAAAAATCGTTACTTGTTCACTGGTACTGCGTGCGGCTATATAAAAATTTGGCATATTCAGAATTTTTGGTGAGTTTAAAAACGAATTCTTCAACTTTTGTTAAGGTCTTTTTTATTTATGCCCAAGCGCCTGTATTCCATTTATTAAGATTGATGAATTAGTATTTAAATTTGTGCGCGCGCATGTAATATGCAGAAGGACTTGAAATAGACTTGTCTTTTATTATACCGGTGAATTCAGAGCCGTTCTTTGAATCGATCTAAGCTTATCGGTCCGTCTGTCCGCTTCTCCGTGTATTTTTGTGTTCAACCTCTTCGAGATAAAATTTGACATACTAACGTTTAATAACAGTATTTCGGCATGTTAAATTCTTGTGAAAAATTTGGATTGAACGAGGCGATTTTTTGAACTCATTGTTATACAACAGTTCATAGCCAAACTGAATCTTATGTGGTCGTAACAAGGTCCAATTTTTTCAGTATTTCTTGATGAAAATTCGTTCATAATAATAATTTGACATAGAAATTAACCTTTCCGAATTTGGACCCCGTGGGACCATGATTTGGATTCAACTCTCATAGAGGGTCTAATGAGAAAAAGTCTTTATATGCCGAAAGGGTCTGATTCTTAATGTTTTTTTAATGAAAAGTGGAATTTGGATCATCTAGGTCTAGTTTTTGGACCGTATCATTTACAGGGGTATAAAGAAAGCAAATCCTTCCATGACGACAAAGGGTAACTTGCGGTTAACTATGACGGAAGCGGCTGAAGCATAGTTATGCCTGGTAAACGTGGACCATGTTAGTTGACGTTCGGCTATCCTTCAAATAAGGGCTCTCGTGAAAATTATCCATATTGATAATTTTTACTTGGTACCATAATATTCACTTATTCGCTATCTTGACGCAAATTCTATATTGGCTTTACCCTTTAGCAACTTTGATGTTATAGTTTATGAAGCAATACGCTACGCTTACAAAATTTATCGAGAATTTTTGTTTTTTGAATTCAAGCATACCAGATTCAGAAAAGGTGAAAATCTGCATGCCCCTGTTGCGTTTGCAATTTATATTTTTGCGTAAGGAGAGATTTTTACCACGTGCAAAGCGGGCAGTACGTAATCAAAAGGAACCGTTATTAATTAACTCATACAAGGGCCATTTAAAAGCAGTAAATTCTGTGGTTTTTATTAATTTACCAAAATTTTAATTACGTAAGTTTCAGTATGTAATTAAAAATTTAGATAGTTTTGAAAATTGGAATATATTAATAGGGGCAGTCATGATTGTTCGGTACGCCTTTGGAGTATAGGCGGGAGATATTTGGGTACTTTGGGCACCCCGTTGCCTTGGAGAAAGATGTCACCTTTCGAACCGATAACTGATGAAGCGCGTGGTTTGCGTTTTCCTCCCGATATCAAGAAAGTTGCCAGCTCTACTACCATGAAGGTTTGAACTTAACTACGGCGAAAATTCTGTAGTTTTTAGCTGATGACGCTTTGCGTGTTTTTCATCGCTTTTCTTCTTCCTTCTTCTACTTCTTCTTCATTGATTTTCTTTTTTACGCGCTCAGGTTATTGCCGGCGTTCAACCAAAAATTGTTAAGATGCGCCAGTCTCAGCAAAATGAACGCGAAGTAGCTGAAGAGGAGGAAGGTATGCGTTTCTATGGTAAACCATTGCGCGAGCCTATTCTAGGAAAACACTTTCAGTTGCCCGGTCGCGGGGCAATGGAACAAACAATTGAACTGGACGTTGCTAGCTCTTACACTCCAGTGTACTCACATTTGAAAGTTCATGATGCTGGTAATTTGGAGCGACCACCTACACCGCCGGGAATTCGACGTATGGCAAAGGAAAGCTATATGGACTTTTACGAACCGATTCCTGTTCGAAGCGAAGCCGTTAAAACGGGTAGTTTGTGGGCTTACATATTAAAACCAGGGCGACGAGGTAGTTCTTATGCACGGGATTCAGTTTTCTTTCGAGAAGGATCAAAAGAAACTAAGGATTAAGTGCAGTGTATGCCTTAAAATGGTTCCGTCTCTTTTGGCTGCGAATGTATAGAGAATAAGCTTGCCAATGCTTGCTTTCTACTTTGACGTGCAAATATATAACTGTTACTTTTTCTTACGCTCAGGATGCAATGCATTGGCTTTGCAGAGTAAGACATTTTTTCCACGGATCAAAGGCAAACCATTCACTGTTAACCTCTCTATTAAAATAAAATGCAATTGTGGTTAAATTATATAACATTTGCTTCGTATTTAATATTCATCGGATATGGCTACTATCGTCCTTGTGCGAATATAACTTTTTTAGCTTTTTGTGTTAGTTAAGGTCAGCCGTTCAAAATATTATTATTATTCAATGGATTATTTTGCATTTCAATACAACTTGAACGGATTGTTTTTCATTTCAATCCAACTTCAACGGATTATTTTTCATTTCAGTCCAACTTCAACGGATTATTTTTCATTTCAATCGAAGTTTTAATGGGTGCCTCAATAGACACCAACATGAGCTTCCTACCTTTTAGCTACATAAGGACGTGAAAATGCAAAGTAACAGCCAAACATGTCAAAAAAGTCTTGAAAATTTAGAAAATAACACAACTCTTAGACAATATTTCAAGATCAGGGATTAAATGTAAAATAGTTCAGTTGAACTATGCGTAAAGACGACTAGCTTTTCTTTTAAAGTCGAATGTCATACGAAAGTTTCGATTTTGCGAACTTTTTCGTTTTTTCCTTAAGCGTAGTTAATTAACAATTATATTAGTTTGGCGAAAAAGAAATCCATTATTTTTTCGGTAGATGGCTGCACTGATAGATTTACATTTTACAATTTTTCTTTGACAAAGGCGAAAATGCAAGCCAGGCGGCTAAAATTGTGAATGGTGTTTATGGTTCCGATACTGTAACAGCCAATTATGTGCAATTTTGGTTTCGTAGATTCCGTTCAGGAATTTTTGATGTTAAAGATGCACCTCGTGCAGGTTGTTATGAGTTGCTTCCATATGGCCAAACGCTAAATTCTGATCTCTACTGTCAACAACTGGACCGTTTGAAGATAGCGATTGACCAGAAACGTCCAGAATTGGCCAACAGGAGAGGTGTCGTGTTCCACCAGGACAACGCTAGGCCACTCACATCTACAGTGACTCGCCAGAAACTTCGGGAGCTTGGTTGGGAAGTTTTAATGCATCCGCCATACAGTCCGGACTTGGCACCAAGCGATTATCATCTTTTTCTTGCATTGCAAAATTTCTTTAAATAAAATCCTGAAGTTCATATAGAAATAATGGATTTCTTTTTCCCCAAACTAATATGCCAAATACATGAGAAATATGTTATAGAAGTCAATAAACAAAACATGAAAATAATTATCAAACGGAATAAATATTTGAGTTTCACTACAACACACCTATTAGGCTGTGGCCACCAGAGTGACCATCCTCTGACTGATTCGCCATGCTGAAGAAGAAGAAATATTGGTCAGAGGACTAGTCAACAGTATGATATAAACTGAGAGTACGTCTACAATGCTTGTAGAAACATGAAAAAAATCGGTTATGCCTATTTAACATCATGATGTAACGTAATTTTATTTTCACAAGTCTTTATACTATAGATCGCTTATGGCATAAGGTATATTAAAATTCGTACGGATTTATGTAACATCTAGAAGGTCTTAGCATAGATGGGCCTTTTATTAAACGAGTCGATTCAAAATGGTTTTCTGAATCAATTAAGATTGTGTTCGTTGTGGCGCTTGTGTATTCTGATCATTTTTTAAAATTGAAAAGCCGTTTGTTGGGAATATTGGTACAATTCATCTTTGTCTTTCTTCTACAACATTTTTTCAAGTTTCTGACAACATAGCGATACCGTGTCAAACGAACGATGTGGGTTTGGCAGCGAGCGATTCAATTGTCGACACATTTTCTCACTTCTTCAGCATTCTGAAATCGCGTGCCGTACCGCGTCGATCTGAACAAGTGGTAATCAGAAACGTTTTGTTTGGTGAGTTCGCTGGGTCCGGCAGAACTCCCTATTCGGCCTGTAACACTGTACCCTTTACAACTTTTGCAACGTGCGGCCGAGCGGCTGTTAACCGCTATTGCTGGTCTTTTTTGCAAAAATACGTCGTTCAATTTGTTCAATTGGTACCGGCGGACATCTGCAAAAGACTTTGCTGATCCCACCATACGCACAGCAAAACATTATGGCTATGAATATTCTGTTTCGTTGTCGATGTGGATGGCTCTCCTGGCCTAGCCATGAATTTTTGTACTTGGCAATTTGTGTGGTAGCCATTTTCCCTTTTTTTGGATCTTTACCGTTGCATGCAAACGTCTAGAAACAATTGATTCCTCGACTAGTAAACTGCTCGCAACTTCTTTGAGCGTTTGAACAAGATTTTCTTTCAATAAGTCTTGCTATCCATTGTCTTCGAATTTTCTTGGTTCTCCAGGCCGCTCTTTGTCAATTACCAATTCTAAAGCGTTAAAACGAAAACCGACGATCAGGATATGATGGGGCAGCGTCACCATGAAGTTCAAATGATGGGTTTTGGTAGCGGATTTCTTCAAATTAAATTAGAAAAGAAAAGAATGACGAAAATGCAATTTTGAGCGTGACATGATTAGTGCCTGTATACACTGAATGGCTCAATACTATTAAAAGGGAAAACTGTTATTTTATATCAAGATCAAAGATCAAAATCATCGAATTTAACCGTTGTGTATTACTTTACCATTTTTATCGATGGATGTCGCCGATCAAAATACATGCAAGCACATATTAATTATACTCTACACAATTTGTGGTATACGTCGTATACGTTTGTGTGAATGTATGATACGCATAGAGGACTTGATCATTCTTTTATTGTACGGATCGTTTCAGAAAGTGATTCTCGATTCAATCTAAGCCGACTTTCCGTCTGTTTGTCTTGTATTCTTGCTTTATGCTTGCGTTACTATGAAAAATGAACCTTTTGATGGCAAAATGGCCTAATTTCCAATATTTCATGCCAAAAATTATTCAATAGTAGCAATTTGACAAAAAAGTTAATTGTTCCAAATTTGGACAACGTAAACATATTTTTTGGATCGAAATCCCTATTAGAAATCTTATGGGAAATAATTCTTCACGTAATTTTTAGTACCTTATGACGAAAATAGGTTGAGAATAATAAGATCATTCACAACGAAAAATGAATTTCAATTTCTATATGAGCTTAAGGTACGGTGGCAATGTATCGAAATTTCCCCATATTAAAAAACTTCAATATATGAAAAAATTTTTGAAAATGCAATGATAAGAAATAGTTTAACAACTTTCACCATCCGTCTAGCACACAATTTTATAGTTTCTTTTTTTTATATTTTTTTACATATTTTTTACGTTTTTTTTATAATTAATTGCAAAATAATTTTAAACCATGTCTTCAAAAACCGAGTATGAAACTATTCGCGACTTCACTGAGGATCTTGAATATCAAACGCTTTCCTCTGACTTTTCGCCGGATGTAGCTGAGCGTCCCGAACGTTTACACGAATGGTTGAAGAGCGAAGAAATCGAATCACTTCATTATAAATTTTTGGAAAAGGGAAAATTAAGCTATCCCGATCTGCGAGAAGAATTGGAGAATTTGAATATTAAATTCACTCATCTTGAATATAATCGTTTGTTTTTGAAAATCAGTGAAAATCGCAATTCCAAATGTGATTGGGACGAATTCATTTCGTATCTGTTAAATGGGTTCAGAGAGGATCACCCCACTTCCACCAGAGATGATGAAATTACACTTCCGATTCATACACCTCCCGTTGTTAGAACATCGGAGCATCGTTCGCCTGTTTGTTGCATCGCATTATTAAAGGTCAATAAATTGGAATCGATGGAGGAGCGCAGCGACAGCGATAGCGAATCCGAAGAACAAAAATTTCAGAGGTTTTTTAAAGAGTATGCACTTGAACAGTCAGCCGAGTGGGCAGGTATCTGGGTAACAGCTAGTCGGGAAGGCCAATTACGTTTTTGGTCAATGGGTTTAAAACCTTTGCGCTTGGGAAAGTCTAATAGCAGTAGGCATAAACATCTATACAATCATATTTTGCTTCTATCGCTTCGAACTCAATCTTTTTATTTTAGTACACCAGAAAATTCGTACGTGGATATTGTGTATACGTGGTTTGTCGGATGTAAACCTTGTGTGCACTTCGTCTACGGAACGCGAGCTACGTTTTCATGAGACAGTAACTTCCACATTCAGTTTACGTGCTGTTATACTAAGCATGCCCTATGCTGTGTACAATATGCAATACAGCTATCACGAGGCGCAGACATCTAGATTGATTATGGGTGATTATGGCGGTAGTGTGCGTATCTTGGAATTTGATGCTCATTCAAAGTCCCCTTTCGTAAGCAAATCAGGAAGAGACATTTTGGAGATGTTTTGGACGGATATCGCCAAGGTTAATTAAGAAGTCATGAAATCTAAGTCTAAAACCAATAATGTTTCTCTTCATACTAACAGGGCAAATTTCCGCAATTCAGATGCCATGAATATTTAAACGTACACACTGAAATGATACAGCAGGTATATTTTGCAAGACGTTTAAATTCTACATTTGCCGCCGCAGAATACCGTAACATCAAAAAGTATCGCGGACGATGTCCTGGTCTGGTAGTTTTGTCTGGCGATGATAAGAGTACCTTTCGCATACCATTGGTAAGGATGTCCGAATAATGGAGCGATTGTACTTACATGCAGTGGACTTTTCGAATTTTCCTGTTACAAGCATTTAGTCAGAAAGCTAAAAGCTGACACATATATCTAAAATTTTACTCCGCAAAACAACATGAACAACACCTGAGAATGCAATGACCATTTCCGTTTTTTTTTGCCCGCAAATACTTCAACAATTGCTAGATGCGGAATCGATAAAAAATTGAAAAATTGTTGACTATATTTTCATTGCAAGCAAGTAAGGGGCGGAAAAGCAGTGTTCGCAAGACCTTTGTATTTGTATAAACCAATACAAGCAGCCAGCGGATTTATGTTAAGGGATTATCGACTAGTGTAGGAGTAAACACACTTACAAAATTATTCACTATTTCCTCTTTCAAGCCACAAATGGTATTTTTCATATCTTATCAGTTAATTATCTCTTCTTTTTTGTCGTTAGATTTACTTCAAAACCAGACGCATTATCGTAATTTCGTACTCTCTCGGCTTGTACAAAACACTACGATCGGATGGGGATGCATCTGGGATTGATTGTTATATATTCAATATTCGCAGTACACTTGCTTGAACTTTATCCCCCATATAGCTCTGCTTGATCTAAGCTAATAACACATACATATAACTAAACCATTGCAAGTCCTTGTTTCAGATGTTGTATCAAGAGACAATTAAATGACAACATTTTGTTCAAAATTCAAATAGGGAGATTATTACGGCCTTTTTGTCTTTATGTTAACAATAACAGTAGTAACGCAGTCCATTTGACAGCTGGCTCCTTCATTCTTATTGTTTGAATGTGCGAAAATTATGTTAATAGTTTCTTGATATGACGTCACTCACATTCTCTCATAAGTTTGCAAAGCAGAAGCATATACAATTCCGGGTTTTGAACTGAAGAGTGTCTGTACGAAACAAATCAAATAAGAGGTATATATGTAAAAAATATAGTTTCGTTTTCACAACATACTTTATTTCATTCATATTCGTAATAAAGTCGACTGAAAAGTGGGAATAAATCGCATTTTCGACTTTGGTCCTCGCATGATTTATAGCGAATATGCAGAAGAAATTGCGATGTGCTGATGAGCCGAGGAATAGTTTCAGATGGTGTATATAGTCAAAATTCGGCCTAACTTTCTTTTGTTTTTTTTTTTATCCTTTTTCTAAGGGTGTTACAACGTTCTGCGTCGATGAACGACATGACATGGTGGTTACTGGAGGCCCGGACACGTCTTTACGAATTTGGGATATTTACGTGCCAACTCAACCGACGAGTTTACTAACGGGGCACCACGCCGGCATAGTTTATGTGTTCGTGCAGACTGAAGAAAAGAAAATTTTTAGTGTGGATTATCTCAAAATTATTAAGGTTTGGGAGCTATCCGAACATACATTACTGCAAACCTTCGATGATTTGGTGCGTATAATACCTAGCGAAACCGATTTGGTATTTCATTACCACAGGGCACTAAGAGTACTTTTGATTGGCTGTCGAAAATTAGTAGCAATTAAATGTAATCCACGCGTGTACGTTGATTTAACTGATGGGAATACGCACACGGCTCCCGTTTCGGTGGTGCTATATAATAGATTGTTTCGCAATGTGGTTACTTGCGGCCTGGATAGTCTTGTTATTGTTTGGGATCCCTGGTCTGGCAAACGTAGAATTATTATTAAAGATTGCCACATCGAATATATCTACGGGGAAAAAAGCAAAGTTGAAATTACTGCGGCATGTTTCGATCCTCTCGAACGACATTTGTTGACTGGTGCCCGCGATGGTTGCCTCAAAATATGGAATTATAATAACGCTGTATGCATACGTAACCTAAGGATTGAAGGAGACCAAAGTATAACCGCTGTTAGATGGGTAAAAGAAAGGTAAGGGAAACAAAGAAAAGACTACATATCCACTATAAAACTAACTAAAAGTAATTACATTTAGGATTTTAGTTGTCGGTTGGGATCAGCACGTGACTGAATTTCCTTGTCAGGAAGGTAACGAATATACTCTTGCGAAAAAATGGCCCATGTTTCATCATGATGATATCACTTGCGCTGATGTTAAGACGGGCGAGGGTGTTGTTACAGCGAGTTATTCCGGTGAATTGATATTTTGGAAACTGGAGACCGGCCAACCTTACCGGTGTTTTAATGTGGCAGAACCAACGGAGTTCATCGAGTTAAGTTTCAATAGGTATAAAAAAAAGCGCAAGGAAATATTTCCTGTAACCGAAGCACATTTTCCTACATCCGACTCCACGGCACATTTTATACGTCTTACAGCATTTGAAATGGGAAAGCAGATGATTAAAACGCTTCAAGCACGTAAACAGTCAAAATTGGCAGCTACCATACGCCGACGTAGCGAAAATGTGTTTATTGCCATGTCTGTACAAGCGGTTTTATTTTTGCAAACACGTCGTTTCGCAGAGGAACATGGTTACAATAATTGAACAAATCATCATAAATTAATGGAATTGATTTGGTTTAATTTCTTTCAGGTGATCTTCTCGTAGCTTTGGAAACTGGTGCAGTACAAGTATATTCTCATCACCAACGTGGTGGTTTTATAACGCAGTTTAATGCTATACATAAAATGGGTGATTGCGTTTTAGCCATGACTACTGATCGAAAAGAGCGTTACTTGTTTACTGGCACAGCCTGTGGTTATATAAAACTTTGGCATATACAAAACTTGGGGTAAGTTTGAAAGCATCATATTTACGACTGTAACGATTTTGAGCAGCGTAATCTATCTTCAGTAAGTACGCGAAAATAGTTTTTTTTCCTGCGATTTGCATATACCTTGGATAATTTGGGTACTAATAGGCTTCTTACAATCTTCGCCACTAAGGGCAAGCCAAGTTTATGCGAATGTTTCCAACACCTTGAAGAACTTGACGTAGATCCATTTATTTTTTTTACCAATAGATTCAGGTATTGCTTTCTGAAGCGATTTAGCCATGTCTACCACATTTTCTCATGTTCAACTATTAGGCTGTTTTGAGACGTTCTGATGAAATATATTTCGATTCAAGGAGGGAAGCTTTTGAAAATTGCCTGGATCTCACATCTTAGGAAAAAGTCGTTTTATGAGAACAAGTCCGGGTAAGCCCGGTCATTAAATATCCTATCTTCTAGTTTACCTTATATTTTCGTGGCCAAAGTACAAAAGTACCAAAAATTACATTCTGTGTTCTATGTAAGGACATGTGCCTTTGGCGGGAACGTTTATAGGGGGGAAGCCCTGGAACTGATTTGAGTTTAGAAAAATTAATTCTCTATTATCATCATAAAGTTCCGAAAATTAAACTTTGTTGCCGTGCAAAGCCTTACTTTTCACGAGCCTATTTTTATGGGGTGGGCTTAAAAAGTTGATTTGTTCAGCGCACATTTCGTATACCCAATTTTTAGGTATCAAAATTGAAACATTAAAAATTGGACCTTCTAACCATATTAGTACTTTTTCCTCTTAGGAGTATTTATAAGGAAGGAGGTTCGTAAAATTGGCACACCCAATCCATTTAGTACGCTGAAATACTATTAGGTGGAGATTTATGTCGAGAAATATTGGAGATTGTGAATTTTTTTCAGTTTTGTGGGAAATCGTCGCGGAAATATTTCCACTTTCAATAGGATTTGCTCTTGGGCCAAGGCACGTCAGCTTACCAAATTTCATCAAAATATCTGTGGATTGAATATAATAAGGACAAGCATCCGCAGATAACATGTGACCAAATGCGATTGTCCGTTTGCATATGATTTTGATTGAAGCCTTTAAAGTCGTGAATATCGGGGTTTGAAAACTAAAACGAAGCATATATCTTCTCAGTTGAGTTTCACTGAACAAATTCAAAAAAGGATAAAAATTATTAATATACAATGTCTTCCAAATATTGATAATAATTTGGAATACTAGAAGGGGGTACGTAATCAGTCCTAAAACGGCCGAATGATCAAAGATGATGAAATTGGATTTTATAACAATTAAAAGTTATTAGTTATGTACGTTTATTTTGAATAAGCATGTACTGCATAATTTTATTAAAAAAAACCGGTGGGCTACGTCCCGCCATTAAATACCCTACAACACTCTACAATTACTCATATTACAATTTTACAAAGTAAGGCGTCATATGGGAAGTGGTCGAAAAAGTCATCCGATATGAATCTTTTTCAAAAGCGTTTCTCCGTGGACCAAAATACGTCATTGCACCAAGTTTTATCAACATATTTTAAAAATTGCGACCAGCGGATTGAGCAAATGAAAACTAGACAGACAGACGAAGAAGATAAAAAATGGGTCTATTTGATTCGTTGTGGGTGTCGCCTACATCCGTACAAATCTAATATACGCTTGCTTCACAAGTGGTGCAGGATATAGAAAGAAAAATTACTTATATTGACACGTAAACATTGCTATGTTTTAGAAAGACTTAAGTACGCTCTTACTGTTTTGTAAAGAAAATTAATACAACTCCTGTGTGTGTTGGCTTGAAGAAACAGGCATCGCCCTCGACAAACAAAAATTGCCTTAAAAAATGGCTAAAAAATCAATGCTTTTTTGAAGCGGTAATAATTATTTATGACTACGATTATATCTTCACAATCAATTCTTGCTTTTAGTATGCCACCATCGGAAAAGGTGAGAATCAGCATGCCGTTATTGCGCTTAAAATTTATATTTTTGCGTAGGGATACATTTTTATTATCTGCTAAGCGCGCAGTACGACATCAAACAGAACCATTACTACTCAGCTCGTATAAAGCTCATTTAGCAGCTGTCACATCTACGGTTTTCATTCATCTACCAAAAATATTAATTACGTAAGTTTTGTTTAAATGCTTTTGCCTAAAGTTTTTTGAAATTGAATTGAATACGTTGATCTTTTTGCAGCGGCAGTAACGATTGTTCGGTACGCTTGTGGACCATAGGTGGTAGGTATCTAGGTACACTGGGTATGCCGTTGCCTTGGATGAAATTATCACCTTTTGAACCGTTTAAAGAGGAAGCACGAGTATTCCGTTTATCACCCGACATTAAGAAAGTCGCCAGCACTACCACTATGAAGGTTTAAAATTTGGCTTTGCTTAAACATAGGAAAAAACTTAATGTTTCCTTTTCTTATTAGGTTATTTCAGGTGTTCAGCTTGATCGTATAAGACCTCGTTCAAAAAAGGTAGTGGAAGAAAAAGATCTGGAGGAAGAGAATGAACTAATACGAAATTATGGCAAGCCATTGCATGAACCCATTCTTGGGGAACATTTCCAATACCCTGCTTATAATGAACCTAAACATCCAATCAAATTGAAAACTATTTCTTCTCCTGCTTCGGCTAAATTTACGCCGGTTTACGCTCATATGAAAGTTTATGAAGTAAATCCTCACGAACTACCACCAACATCATCAGCAACAAAGCGTTTGGCTGTCGAAAATTATTTGAGCAGCGAACTAACTGAATCAAGAGCATGGACGGAGTATAAAACCACAAGAAAACGTGCTGAGTGAGAGTAGTTATGTTAAAAACTCTTAAGGCATTTTTTTACTGAAAGTATATACGAAATTTCTAAATATGAAAATATGCTTTTGGTGCGAATATAATAAATTTTACAGCTCATTGATGTAAGCACTCGTTAGTATTGTGTTATTGTTGTCTATTAGAAGATCTTTAAAAGCAATCTATTGCTCTTTGCAACGAAACTCTTCCGCACCAAGGATACAAAAAAAGAAAAACTTCATCAATAAAAAATTATGTTACATTACCTTTTATACACGGAAGTGAAACGTTGTGCGTAGGCTAGGCTCTGTAGCCATCTTATTCACGGCGAAAATCTTTTATTTACTACCACGCACGCGAAAATCTTTTATTTACTCTTTCCCGTTTTGACTAAGTAGCAATAGGTGCGTATTGAACAGTGATTCAGATAAGAAAACACGTTTGTTGTCCTTTTCCAAAAATTAGCGAGTCAACGACAAACGATTCGCAGAAAACACGAAGTTGTTTCTCTGAAACTTTACTGAGTTAGAGAGTACTTTAGAACATAGTTTTTTGTCTTATTTTATTACACGCATCGCTTAAGGGTGAATGTTGTCAAATATAATAAGTCTTTTTAACCTAAAAAAAGACGATTGTCCTTTAATCAGCCTAGTACGAGAACAACTGAATATGAAAACAACGAAATGGACTGGCTTTTAGAAACAAAATTCAAACTTAATCTGAAGAAAACCTTTCTAAAGCTCTTGCGGACACAATTCTAAGGCCAACCAAAAATTTTCCTTGGTTTGTGAGCATTTTTATTTCATATGCCAGTCTTGCTGCTCTCAAAGTTAAAGATGAAATAAAGCCGTGAAAACAGACTAAGCGTGCATCCTAATATTTTAGTTGTAAACTTATTAGATGATAATTGTGAAGTAAGAAGACTTCAGTTCATTCATATACCACATATTAGATTTCACCTTCCTTCTTATTACCACTTGTTCAGATCGATGCAGCATGGCTTGGCTGGCACGCGGTTCCGCAAAGCGGAAATGGGTGGACGATTGCATCGCTGCCATACCAGTATAAGTTCTATGCTTACGTTATCGCCATTTTGTCAGAAATATGGTAAAATGTTGAAGAAAATGATAAAAAATATTTTGCCTAATATATATTGTATCAATTCGTCTCAATAAATGTCTTTTTCAATTAAAAAATTGGCCAAAATTAACGGGAGCCACTAATATGTGTAATATATTGTTAAGGAAATTCTGAATCCAGTTTATTCCAACTGATTGATATTCCCAGAAAAGAATCAAGTACAAAGTCGCGGCGAATCATGCAGCTGCCGGTCGACGAAAAAGATTAGTGGAAAAGCGGATTGACGAATTAAAAATGAAGCCATGAATTTAGGTAATAGTAATATGCTTGTAAAAATGTATATAAACAGAATATTTGCGCAGGGAACTGTCAGTCGGAAAAAAAGATTTGACTCGGAAAGAAATTTTATGTTAACAGTGCTGTGAAACTAAGTGAACTGTAAATAGTTCTACCCTTAAAGAAATTGATTGGAAATAAAACCACGATCTTGTAATACAAACCGTAGCAAGAGAAGCATATTTCGCAACAATATATATAGCGCACGTGGTGGTGGTGATAGATGATGGGCTAATGCAGCAGTAAAAATTACGTTCTCCTAAGATAATACAGTTAGAACGATAAATGCATATAGAAACCGTTTTATAATTTTTTCCTATTTTGCGTATTTGGATGTCTTAGCGAAATCTATCATTTGAAGACTTTCTTTTCTACCAATTTTTTTGGAAGTGGAAATTTTGGTCATATGAATGTCTCGTCTTTAAATTAGAAACAAGTAAAAACGCTACAGCAGGACATGCTTACCTACACCCTGTACCGTTTCACCTAACCCAGTTATTCATGTAACTATTCTTGAAAATAAAGCCTTCTATTGATAGTGGTTTTTAACAGCGTTCGTCGTCGGGCCAAGACGTACCGGTGTACCAAATTTCATGAAAACCTTTCAAATATTGCGACCTTTAGGTTAGATCTTGTAGAAAATATAACGGACACACGAACGAACAAGTTTAGATCAATTCAGAAAGTCACTCTGAATTAGTCAAAGCAATAAGAGGTGGGTTTATCTCAAGCCTTTGGGAGTGTTGCATCAGCCCGCACAAACCGAATACACCATTGGACCACAAGAACTATAGAGTATAATTACAGGGATGATTGCGTCTTAAGCAACTAGATTTTCATTCGATGATGCCACGTAATCATAACCGAAAATATTGAAATAGTTGAATGAAAGTGCCATTAGATATTACGGAGGCGATTAAATTACGTTTGTTATTTTATACAAATTCTGAACTTATAATCGTAATTTGAACATTTAGAAAGACGGACATAATCACGTACATCGGCTATTTCATGCTGCAAAAAAACATACAGAGAGATTAATTCAAATACTATTGAATTAGTCAATACAAAATTGACACAATGTAGGTTTTGTCTTAAACCTCAAATCATGAAAATTATTTCAAACTTTAATGACAGATAATAGTTTAAGGATTCATTTTTAAGCAGAATTTAGCCGCTTTTGTTTAAATTCCTTTTTTTATTTTATATTGTGTTCGTGTTTTTATTGTAACTGAAACATTCGCGGCATAACAGTCTTGACATCCTGCAGCCATGTCTTTAGCCAGGCTCGATTACACTGATAATAATAAAGAGCAGCAGATTGAATATCAAACGTTATCGTCCGATTTCACTCTAGATAAAATCGAGCGCCCTGAACGCTTACACGAATGGTTGAAGACTGAAGAAATTGAACTGCTGTATTCCAAATTTTCGAAAAAAACACAATTGACTTATCCCGAGTTGCGGGAAGAATTGGAGAATCTTAATATAAAATTCACTGATCTGGAGTATAATCGCCTCTTCTTGAAGATCAATCAAAACCGTGACTTTAAATGTGATTGGAACGAATTCATTTCTTATTTAATATTCGGGTTTCAAGAAGACGATCCCGCTGGTCGAAAAGAATCACTTATTTTGCCATTATCTACCCCACCTATAATTAAAAAATCTGAACACCGTTTAGCAATTTGTGCCATCGCATTATTAAAGTCGGTTAGTGACGCTGAGGAGGAGAATCAAAATGATAAACATTTTAGTAGCGATGACGAGGATGACGATGAAGAGCGACATAACAAGAAGCTTCTTAGGAATGTGGCTTTTGAGGAGTCACCAGATACCGCAGGAATATGGATAACAGCTAGCCGAGAAGGGCAAATTCGTTTTTGGTCGATGAGTTTGGCGCCTATACGTACTGGCACATCCGAAAGCTGTAATATAATGTTTCTTATAACATTCTTCCTCTTACAGTTGTTTAATTTTTCTTTTTCAGTGCACTCAAAAGGATCTACCTGGATATTAAGTATAGTCGCCTTATCGGATGTTAACATTGTCTGTACGTCATCGACGGAGCGTGAGCTACGTTTCCATGAGACGGTGGCCTCTACGTTTAATTTGCGTATTGTTATTCGTAGCATGCCCTACGCCGTGTGCTATATGAGCTACAATTTTCATTCGGGTGGGAAACAATTTTCTAGATTAGTTATGGGCGATTATGGTGGTAATGTACGTATGTTAGAATTCGATCCATATTTGAGGGGACCTTTCCAAAGCAAACCAGGAGCAGCCTTGGTGGAAGCTTTCTGGTCCGATATTTTAAAGGTTATGCAATTATTAATAATTGGTGTAATAATAAGTGAAATATATTCTTTGCTATAGGGCAAATTACCGCAGTTTAAATGCCGTGAACATTTAAGTGTACATTCGGAAATGATACAACAGGCATTTTATGCCATGCGCTTAAATTGTCTGTTTGCCTGCGCAGAATACCGCAATACAAGAAAATATCGAGGCCGCTGTCCCGGTCTGATAAGTTTGTACGGAGAAGACAAGGCCGTATTTCGTATACCATTAGTAAGAATCTGTTTTTAGACATCTACTTGCTTCATCCAACACCGCAGTGCAGGACTATAATTACTTTGTCATTCGGTTTTTAATATCAAAAATGTGCGCTTTCTTTATACAAAAACGAAACAAGACACAAATGTCGAAAAATCGTATGCAACTTAGTGATAACTAACACATACCGTTTGCCCGAAGTTTGTCTCAAGCATTTATTACGATTGCGTGTGAGTCACGGTTGCGGCCCCGGGATATACTCTGTGATATGTTCAAGGCGTTGGATAGCCGAGATATGCTTAAAAGTGAACGTAGCTGACTTGTTTGTTCGTTTTTATTGTCTTTTTTTCAGGGCGTTACTACGTTTTGTATTGATGAGCGAAATAATATTGTAATTACTGGAGGTCCGGATACGAGTTTGCGAATTTGGGATGTTTACATACCAGCACAACCAACGGGCTTGTTAACGGGACACAATGCAGGCATAGTCAAGATCTTTGTGCAATCTGAAGAGAAGAAACTTTATAGCATAGATTATCACAAGGTTATTAAAGTTTGGGATCTTTCCGAGCACTCATTATTGCAAACTTTTGGTGATTTGGCACGTTTAATACCTGGTGAAACCGATTTGGTATATCATTATCATAAGCAACTACGGGAACTTTTGATTGGTGGTCGCAAATTAATAGCGGTCAAGTGTAATCCACGCATGCGTGTAGATTTAACTGATGGGAATACTCATGCCGCCCCTGTCTCAGTCGTATTGTATAATAAATTATTTCGTAATTTAGTTACTTGCGGTCTGGATAGCTATATAATTGTGTGGGATCCTTGGACTGGCAAACGCAAAATTATTATGAAAAATTGTCACACTAAACAAGTCTACGGGGAAAATATTGATATTGAAATTACGGCGGCATGTTTCGATCCTTTAGAACAATTTTTATTGACGGGTGCTCGCGACGGTTCACTCAAGGTCTGGAATTACAATAACGCCGTTTGCGTACGTAATATGAGTATTAAAAGCGATCACGAAGTAACTGCTGTTATATGGGTCGTGGAAAGGTAATGAAGTAGAGGAGAAAATCTGTATTCGCATACAATTTACGCACTTTAATATTTAGGATATTAGCTGTTGGCTGGGACCAGCAGGTTACAGAATTCAATGATGTAGAAGGTCGGGAATATTCTGATCCTAAGAAATGGCCCATGTTCCATAGCGATGATATTACCTGCGCCGATGTGAAGCTAGGCGAAGGCGTTGCTACAGCCACTCATTCCGGCGAATTGATATTTTGGAAATTGGAAACCGGTCAACCTTACCGACGTTATAATGTCCAAGAACCGGTAAAATTTATCGAATTAAAGCTAAAAGGACTTCGTCTTGAGAAGCGTAAGGAAGTTGTTTATGAGGATGATTTGAATGTTAGGACGCGTGATATGTCGGTATTTGAACGCATTAGAGAAATGGAAAAACAATGGACTGCGCTTGTGTCTGATCAAAGATCAGAAATCAAAATAAGAGCCGAGAGCTTTCACCGCGGTATAATTGTTGCTCCTGGTGCGACCGTATCTGTGCAAGCAATTTTATTTTTGCAAACACGTCCCATGACTCCCGAATATGGTACCTATACTTGAATACACAATCGTTCGTTGTTAATGTTGCTTGGATTTATCTTCCATTAGGTAGCGTTTTCGTAGCATTGGAAACTGGTGCAATACAAGTATATTCTCATCATCAACGCGGTAGCTACATAACCGAGTTCAATGCCATACATAAAATTGGTGATTGTGTTTTGACTATGACAACTGATCGTAAAAATCGTTACCTCTTTACTGGTACTGCATTTGGTTACATCAAGATTTGGCATGTTAAGAACTATTGGTGAGTTTAAAATAATTTTTTCAGTAATTACGAACTACATTAACACAAAACTTACGGTAATCTTATTAAGCAAGCAACGAGTTCTTCGTTTCAAAAATAGTATTTTGGAAGAATGGTTCCTAAAATGCTTTGTGTGTGCCCAGCATTATGCAAGCTAGCTTTAGACTTCTATTGAACCTACTTCTTTTTTATGCCTGATGCACTAAATTTTAGTTAACTTGCCACGACTATTTTGGTTTTTAGTGAGCTTTTATTTTCTATATTTTATTCGCCCTTGAAAAGTTATTTTTATTAATAATATACGTTATTGCTTTCTAATTTTGATGCATGCGCTTCAGCAACAAAGGCAAAAACGAAGTGCGCTATTAAGTCCTTTTTCGTCTTTAGCATTCTTCTGTTTTTTGCGCTTTTACAAATTTTTATTTCTCTTTTAGTCTGTTTTTTTTTTGTTTCCCAATCCCAACTATTCGTCATTCAAAATGACAAAAAAATTTTCACGACAGTCTCAGAATCCTTCTTCTAACCATAATTGCAACTTTTTATGCCCACCAGTGAAGGGTGAGCGCAGATACCTTGCAAATTATTCTTGTTGCTCAGCCTCTAATTCTGCACTCATTCTAGCATTTCTGTCTGCCGCTCTGTCTTTCTGCGGTAAAAATTCTTCTAGCCGCAAAAATGAACACATATTTAGAAGCTCTTATACCGAAAATGGAGCAAATCGATCAAAGGACACGCTTACAGCCCAGGAGCATAAACTGAGAATACCGCTCTTTCCAGCATCAAAGAAAAAAAAAATTGTTCATTTTAATCGTTACTTTTAAACGACTCTAAAGGTTTCGATGCATATTCCATCATATATGGGAAGATTTTACCCATCATTATATCGTATACAAAGGTATAAATGCAACATACGGAGGGAAAGTACTGAAGGTAGTTCCGCCAATAGTTTTTCGCTCATTTGTTCAACTCTTTTGAGTGACACGCTTCCTTCGTATCAGGTGATTCCCCACGACCATCTTTAAGTAAACTTCGGCATATATACGATTGCGCTTCAGTCTGCTGAGAACCTTAATCTCCGACGTGGTAAAGTTGCATCTTTGTTTATTAACTTTTAGTTGGATCAAACTAATTGAGTAAACTAAAGTTGCCGCTTCCAAATGAAAAGGGGTCTGTTACGTATGAAACGAATAGATGAACATAAGTAAATCAACTAAGAATCGCAATTTATGCTTTCTAGCTGTTTACAGCTCCAATAACCGAGTAATATAGTAACTATAACATATATATATGTCCTACAATGGTGGGTGTAAAAATGATATTTTCTTTCCCTGCGTTACAAATACAATAACAGTAACTTTATGCATGTCAAAAAAGTTTGCATGTCCTCTTCCAATTCTTGCGAATGAATTTATCTCCATTAACTAAGCAATTGTTAAAGTTTTTACCCAAAGCAATAACAATAATTTATTATATGTTTTTAGGTTTATTTAACTGTTCACAAGTAGTAATATATATGTATCAATAAAACTGATTGTTAATACGTAAATACATATAAATATATATATTTTATATATTAGCATTTGTACGTTTGTTTTTATAGCATACCAGAACAGGAAAAAATTAGGATCAGTATGCCGTTATTGCGTTTACAGTTTATATTTTTGCGCAAGGAATTGATTTTAACCCGAGCAAAGCGCGCGGTACGCAACCAAAAAGAGCCTTTATTACTCAACTCATATAAAGGGCATTTAAAAGCCATACATTCGGTCGTTTTTGTTAATTTACCAAAAGTTTTAATTACGTAAGCTGTATACATGTTCATGAACACTGTAGGTATTTTTTAAGTAAATTAATGTTTCGGATCTCTTGCAGAGGTAGCCATGATTTCTCAGTTCGCCTGTGGACTATAGGTGGTAGATATCTAGGGACTTTGGGTATGCCATTACCTTGGATGAAACTGTCGCCATTCGAACCGATAAGCGAGAAGGAGCATGTATTTCGTATGCCTCCTGATATTAAAAAAGTTGCCAGTTCTACTACCATGAAGGTTTCAAATTTGCTCTTTCTTCTTATTTTTAGCAGAGTGCAAGCACACGTATAGCTTGTGTACACTTCTTGTTCTCTCCAACAGGTGATTACGGGCGTTCAAGAAGGCCGTTTTCGTATGAATATTCGTAAAGCTCAGAAAAAAATTGATGATGAAAAAGGCGCAGAGGAGGAATTGCTTGGGCATTGTGGTAAATCATTGCGCGGACCCATTTTGGGTAAACACTTTAAATTACCGGGTCGTAGCGGCGTAGAGATCCCGATTGAGTTGGACATTACAAGCTCTTATGTACCGGTTTATAATCATTTGAAAGTTCATGAAACAAAAACTTTCGAAATACCATCCACACCAAGTTCCGTAAAGCGTATTGCGAGCGAAAATTATATGGACTTTTATGAGCCGATTCCTGTACGAAGCGAAGGCATTAAATCTACGGGTTTATTTAGTAATATGTTAAAGCGTGGACGAAGAACGATTAGGGAATCAGCCTTTCATCGAGAATCGCAACCATAACAGCACTGATGAATATATTTAAGGAAATTTCATGGTGAACTCGTACATTTGCAACAAGTGAAATAAATAAATTGTTGGTGTATACACTGTAAATATATTATAATCGCTGTGTGCGTTATTTATATTAATTTTAACATTAAAAGCTTTTGCGGATGTATACGATACCCGCAACTCCACTATATAATGTACCGACTGATTCAGAAAGTGATTCTGCTAAGCTTGTCTTTCCGTCTGTCTATGTATATTTGGGTTTTTTTTGTCAAGAAAAACGGGGAGGAGCTGTTTTTGTTTTTCTTTGGAGAAAGAATGGAAAAAACATTTTTTTTTGGCAACGGAATTTGAGTTTTTTTGGAGAAAATGTGGGCAATGCCTTTGAACAGGATTTTAACGAAGAAAATAATGGAAAATGTGGAATGTGAGAACGTAGACTATAGAGTGCAGGAGTCATCGATCGCTAGGTTGCGACCATAAAAAGTGAAAGAAGCCTGTGCGGATAATTATCGCAAACACATGTTTTAAAATCAGGAAAAAATTGGAACAATGACAGAAACTTATTTCAACAAAAGAAAAGGAAATGGAGAAATAACACTTCAAAAATTGTGTGAAAAGAACGATATTGGTTTGGCGGCGATCCATTTCCGTACTCCTTCAGCGTTTCGAAACCGCATTCCAGCCAAGCCGTGATTGCTGGTCTTTTTTACAACAATACTTCTTTCAATTTGATCAGTCGACGTCAGTAGATATCTGCAGTAACAGTGTCATTCGGTTTTAGCATCTCGTCATGCACTACATCTTGCTGACCCCACCATATGCGCAGAAAAACTTTGTGGCCATGAACCATTCACTTCGGTCTCGATGTGGATGATTTTGCTGGACTAACCCATGACTTTTTTCGCTTAAGATTGCTGTAGCAGATGCACCTTTCCTCGCCAGTCACAATACGACCAACGGAAAACTCTTCTTTTTTTACCTGGGAAGCAATGAAACCGCAGTGTTGAAACGAATTGAGATCGCATTTTGAGTCAATTCGCATGGTAGACAATTCCTCTGTTGCTTGGTCCTCCAGGCCGTTCTTAGTCATTGACGTCCAAATCACTGCTTTTAAACGATTGAAACTAAAACCGGCAATTGGGATATGATGAAGCAGCATCACCGTAAGTGTTTAATGGGCTTTGGCAACAGATTTGTTCAAATTAAACAGCAAAACTAATGAATGTTGAAAATGCAATTTTGATTAACATCTCCATACACTGAATAACTCAAATGAACGGAATGGAAAATTGCTATTCTACTTTGATAAAGGTCAAAATCATGGAATATAACCGCAGCGTACATTGATAGTTCGCATTATTTTTTTGTTTGCACCAATGGATGTCGCTGATCAAAATATATGCAAGAACATTTACGTTAACAGTAGTTTTGGTACTAGGAGCTAACGATTTTCACAACTTTATAGCAGTGGTTTTGATGATTCTAAATATTTATAATGGATAAGAATTCACCGTACGTCTGCGTTTGGCGAACTGTACTTTCTTATATAGACATTTCTGAGTACAGGTATAAATAAACTTGAGAAAAAAGATAGCACTTCCGATATTAAGAAACAATGCAAGGTCAGCGTCCGAAGTCTTTAACCAAAATTGCGATATTCTGTCGTATTTATAGTTATTGAGGACATATTAAAAGCCAACGGACGGACAGTGTTGAGTCAAGGTTGCCATAAACGTTGGATTCTTACCATGCAAATGTAATAATAAGACATTTTGTAGTGAATAAATGTAATGATAAATTGACGTTTATTAACTTTAATTTCACTCCTTGACTCTGACCCGACCAAAAAGTGATCGGTGTCTTATATAACAAATTACTATGCGAGCTTATGCAAAATAATAGTTTTAAAACTAGGTTATTACTAAAGTTACAAAGTAATGCGGATTATGGCTAAATTGGGTTATCTTAACTAGTTTATAGCTAGACTTGCATTGTGTGGAAATATATGAAAGTGTAAAATTAGTATGAATGATTAATAAACGGGTAGAATACGATAAATCGATAATGCTACAATCCAATCCAAGCCAATCTCAATGCGGTTTGAGTTGGAGCATAGGAGGAGGCTTATTTAGAATATTAGGTATATATATGGCCATAAGGTTGATATGATCATCAGCACTTTAACGAGAGTTAATTGCAAAACCAAAATTGTAAATCTGACTGACAATGCCAATCAATACTTCAGTCATTATATCTGCCTACCACTATCAGACTCAGTTTTGATTTTATCTGGATTTAACTTCAAGTTTTCGATAACAGACTAACGCAAAATGTGAGAAATATGAAATCTTCATTCGACACAAGTCCACTGATACGGGTTTGCTAAGTAAGACTTAAAAAATTTTAATGTCAGCTCGAAACAAAAGAGTTGCGCTTTTATAATAAAAGGTTATGAATAACAGTGCCAAAGGTTTGAATAGAGTATCTCTGTAGGCGAGTAGATACTAGCATCTTGGGCAAAGCAGTTTTGCAACTTTGCCTAAGCTTATAACCTGATTGAATGGAAATGAGAATGGAAAATAGAAATCGATTTGATCCAACGAGCATATTGAAATTTCTCAAACGTTTAATGACTCTAGCGATAGCTTGTACAAATTTGAACAACAATGAATACTGCATTTGCCCATTTGCGCTATACGCTTTCGTGCACCAGACTTGGTCGAAAAACGATAATTAAAATCTTAACATTTATTTGTAAATGACAGGTAGCATAGATAGATAACTTGTAGGAAAAAGGGAGCTGATTGAAAGAGAAGAGAAAAAAAAGAAAAAAAGAGATTTCGTTTAAGCCACTAACACGAGAAGGTACAACGGCGGCAGCTGTTTACTTAGAAATAGAAATGACCAAAACGAATGTCACGGAAAGAACGCCATTGAAAAGTGACATCGAATTGCTTGACGATAGTTATAAACGCGCTTAAAAGTAAAAGTCCTGCAAATTACAAAACCATTTATTAGCTTTGAAGCCTACTACTATGTGATAAATAATGCTAAAAAAAGGCCCACAACGATGCCACCCAAAACTCAATTGATAACACAAAATAATAATCGAAGCATCGCTCCAATTGCTGACATCGCATCGCCATCATCATCGACTAACTAAGTCTGCGCACTACATCTCGTTTAATTTACACATACAAAAAAAAAGTACTGTATGCGATAATTTGTTCTTAATGTTATATAATAATTGTATCGTGTAGTCATTCGCGAAGTACCGTTGTAACGAGTCTTCTTTGGCAGGGTAAGCTCAGAAGCTGTAACCGAAATGAAAGACTGAGTGTGTTGTGACATTCTCTTTTATAGTCGCTATCACGACCGTTGTCCCATTATACAGTTGTCTGGCACGCATTATACAGTGTTACAATTCCAATGCTCCTTAAAATGTTCGCTTATTAATTGAATGTTATTGTTATTATTTTTGTTTAAAGTTTGCGGAAAATGTACGACGAGGAACAAACGGGTCTATTAAAGAACAATTTTGATTCCTTATAAATATTTTGCATTATTATTGACTTACTTTAATTTACTCGTTTCATTATTCACTTCATTGCAATACTAAATCCAAGCGAAACTGGCTGATACCAAAGATGTCTTTTAAACGATTTGTTTATATTTCGCTAATGAGTTCGAATGAAACTTTCCAAAATTTAGAATGAATTTAATATAAATTCCTGTCATAGGTAGACGCGAAAGCTAAAATTATCAGAAATAAAAAAAAGAGGAGACAGGGCTTCCCCGGACTCCTTCCAAGAAATTTATATAAAAAAAAATAACTTAGACTTCCGGATTTTGTTCTTATTACTTGGATTTTTTATAATTCGATGAGCGATTTCTAAGAGGAGTGGGAGGAAAAAACCAGCGTGGTGACGCGACTCTTGTTGAACGCTTTCAATGCTTTGGTTCGTCTTGAAAGATTATTATTATCTTTTTTTACGCTTTTACGTATCGCGATATTCTGCAAAAGAAAAGAGTACGTTGCTGGTGTTATAGCAGCCACCCTCGGCCTGTAGGTCCACTCGTCCGTCCCTAATCGTTTCACGTCGCAAGAGAGAGTGTCTTTCTGTGATTCAGGGATGACGGCTAAGCCAAACCGACCATTCCCTATCCGTAAAGTCAAAGAAAGCCCTATCAGTAACGTCAGCTAGTTATGTTGTCCGTGACCATTTACCTCTGGCTGCTATAACACAACTGAAAGGATGAGCATGGTGCGACACGCTCTTTTATAGTTCAGTATAGCGATCAACATCACTGTTCCGTTACATGGATGTTTTGACTATACTCACTTGCATATGTGTTGTAACGATATTCTTACACATCTATTATTATCTATTATTACTATTATCTGATCGAACATGTTTGCCTGCATCTGTGTTATAATCTCAGCTCTAACTTGTGCAAGTATTATAATGCTACTCTTATGTATATCTAATCGTTAATACTACCTTAAGTACCGACTCGTACAATCTTATTGCTAGTGCTGACTTAGGTACTAAATTGTGTGATTTTATAAAACGTTAAGCCTGTCTTCATATGATATATACAATGCATGATTTTATAAACCCCCTTTTCTTCTATTGCCATGTTTGCTTCTTTGTATATTTTTATGGCTGACTTATTGTTGTTGTATGATTTTATAAACCGTTGAGCGTGTCTTCATGTGATATGCATTATATCAACATGCATGATTTTATAAGCTCTGTTATTTTTTTCCTATCGCGATGTTTGTTTGTCTGTTTTATTGTTAGTGCTGATCTAGGTATGATTTTACAATCCGTTGAGCACGATTTTGCAAAACCACAAGACCGTCAGGGCTCTGCCTAATTCGATGCCACAGATAGCTTGGTGACAATTAAAAACAACTATTCGTATGTTGCTCAGCGGATTACAACATGTTTCCTAATGCAAAGACTTATGTATATTGTTTATATGTGTCCTACTTATGTATATATTTTATTGCTAGGCATATTTTCACCTAGCCCATAATGAGTGGTGTATACAATTTTCTTCTTTTTTTTCTTTTTATAACCATTGAATCGTCAACGGTTTGTGCGGGAGAAGGGTGATCTTATGATAATCAGTAAGAAAAAAAGACATGTAATGGACAAAGCAGACTGATTGCTTGGGGTCTACGGGTAGATATTTGTGTGGACGGACTTGTTATTGTAAGGAAGCAAAACGCTTCCTTAATTACAAAATTTTACTAATTTCTAATAAAAAATTATTAATTAATTATTAATTAGTTAGTAATTCATTTATGAAGCATTAACCTTTTAATTATTTAACTAATCTTTTTTTATAACAAGTTCTCTTTCCTTTCGTTAAATAATTATGACTAAATTTGTGTCCTTTGAACCTGAGTGGTGAGCTGAGACAACCAAAAACATACACCTCCACATTCAAACCCAGAAAATTTATAAAAATTGTATGAGGTAAATTTTGTTGTTGACCCCCCATTTTTGGCGAGCTAGCTTGAAGTTCTATGCGAGCCCTTGAGGTATGTTACATAGGATCCACAGAATGCATAGGCTTTCCTTAAACAAAAATATTTTCTTCTTTTTCAATCAAAACCAAAAAACTCGCTTACTCTTCTTCTTACAGTCGTCGTGTGTGAATGTGAGCATACAAATGAAATAAATGCGTTTAATTGGACGGCAATAAAAATCTCGTACATCCGACTCATCTATACCGTATACCGGTTAGCTTCGTTGACAAAACTTGCGTTAAGTAATGGCTGGGTATATTTTGTTTGTTGAATTGACGACAATGCTACACGTATTTATGCCCTCTTGAGAGCCATGTTAATAAAAATTGGCGTCGCCATTTGAATGTTTGCCGTATTCGCGCTCTTGCAATGCGATTGGAGCTTCCGTTCGCTTTGAACACAAGCACTATTTACACTCACGGAGCCTCTCGCTAATTTGTCAAATAACACGCAGATTAGGTCACATTTAGGTAGAAGTTAGCTCATTATTAACAACACGCCTAGAGAAGGAATTTATGTTTATAATTCAATATCGTCTTACCGGCGTGCGTTAGTGCCCTGTATTTTTTCATATCTTTGGAGCGATCGTTGCCATCGAGTTATTTCGATCGTTAAGAACCTGAAGAAGAAGTTGTAGCAGATCATTTTTCACGCCGTTTTTTACTTTCCCTGTCTTTGTTACCTCGGAAGCTTGTTGATATCTTGTTCCCACGCATATAGACATTACTTGCCGAATTATTGATGGCTTTATTATTGTTGCAAACTCGCTAGAATCAGCCACAACGCCTTGCTAAAATTAATTCATTCCTTGTCTGTGTTTTGACGAAAAATCTTTCAAATTGAGCTTGTTGATTGGTTTTGAATAGTCCAAAAATATTCTGAATATTTTTTGTTGATGCTATTGAGTATTGATTCTATCGCCTCACGAATCCTCGAATGAAAGACTTTACATTTAAATCTGAAATATTTTAGTGTTATGTAATGACAGTACCCGGAAGAACTATGTTACACATATCCGCAAGAACATTCTTCCTTCCTACGGTAAGCTTGCAGCAGCTTCACTTTCTAACTTATGGATCATATGTGGATTCCATGGGTTCTGGATAGCTTAACAATTTACAGTTTTACTTGCTTGTAAAACTAACTAGGACACTTACGGATCTCCGTACAGGATTTTGTAGATTTGACAAGCTTTCGCGACTGGTATGCATGGCATGATGAAGCGTTATTAAAAAAGTTACAACTCAAAATACCAATTACGGCAATCCATAAAGGTTTACCTGATTATAAGAAAACATAAGATCAAATTTCGTGTAACTGCTGAATAAAGTGTTGTTATGCCCTTATGAATCTAAATAAATGAAAGAGCAGCAATGATTGACGATTGAATTTCATAAAAAAACCGCGCCTTTAAAGGACGGATAAGCGATTTGGATTTGTTGTACCGTTTAATAAAACGTCGCATAATACCAAATTTGCATTGCATAAACGAGACTGCATTTTCGAATCCGACGAGACGAGGACAAGATAGTTTAAGGCTTCAGGCTTAAATCATCGAATGCTCGAAGGTCAATGTCACAGTTAAACTGCATCGCGTCTCCTCAGACGAGTTGCTTGGCCTCATCGATAGATTTGTGACTTATGAAAATCCCAACCGGCAATGGACGATTCGAGGCAAGATTCGAGTTACTATGCCGTAAAAAAATAAAGGTCTCTCATGATGATGGCATTGTCGTAGGAAGGAACAGCTTGCTTTATTCTTACGAAACAGAACTGCACCACTGCTTCCAGTTATAAGTTCACATAACATAAAGATTTCAGGTTTGCAGGCGAAGTCCTTCGTACGAAACTTTGTGAAGCGGGAAAATTGAAAACGCTGGCATGAAACACGGTTAACTAACCGCAACTCCGTACACGCAAAACTTGAATTTGTAAACCTTTTCCAGAAAATCACCGATAACCAAAATCTCGCTCAATATTTGTTGTGCAAATAACGTGAAAAGCTCACAACCAAATCGCAAGATATTGTGGGAATATGTGATTCCAGTTACTAACGAACGATAAAAACGATAGGACGAACGACTCCTCTTAAGAAGCGAAGCGACGCAATTGAAAACTGGATAAAAGTCGGTTCAAATAAATAATAAAAGCTTTCGAAAATTTATAAAACGTTACAACAGCTACAGGTTGGATTGGTCTACTACTAATCTTTTTTATCAACGATGACACGATTGCGACCAATCAAAACTTTGATGTTGTACCTCAACATGCAGCTTATTAAATGTGATAGTTGGCTTAATGGCAATGGTTTTCGCTTAGTATCTGTCAACACTATGCTCAATAGGAATAGAGCAATAGTGTCATTCAATGCAAATCCGAATGCTGTTGAAACCAGACGGTTTTACAAGACTCAATAGTTTACCAATTTGCACGCTGTTATCAAAGGCAACGAGTTCTGCCATTCATTCCAATAAGGAACACATCATGTTGCCGCTTAAATACACATATATACATTATTTATATATATAAATTCCATGCAATTCAAAAACCTAGATCGTTTTTTACTGTTATTTGCAAACGCGTGAACGCAGGTAGCGTTACGCTCTGACCCCATTGCGTAGCCCATTCTTATATGATCCTTTATACTTATGTCGAATAATTTAGATATTAAATTGGCTCACTTTAACCTGAGTATGGTTTTGTTTTTCTAGAGAGCTAAAAAAACACTCCTCAGCGTGAGTTAACCTTACAACGCGGCGTTTCTAATTAGGCTTTCCTGGTTAGTTTGAAATATTCAAGACCTCGGTACGATTTCACAATTCCAAAGATGTCACAGGATAATCTAAAATCAGGATTGCAAGTTCGTAACGTTGACAGGAATAACCACGAGATTTTGAAATATAAGATATTTACTATTATTTTCGCTTTATGTTCTTCAACATTCGTTGGTAGGTCTTAAACTGAATATTAAATGTTGAAATTATTATTCATCGAGTTTCTTGACTAAGAGAACTTGATTCATAAGCAAATTGCGCTGGAAAGGTTTGTAATAACATTTAAAAGACTCGTATGTGAAAGTACAAAGAAGAGTTGCATTTTAGAAATAAAATTTGATTACTACTTTTCATCGGCAATCCGAATTTCTTGGGATAATTTTTAAGAGTTTTCAAAAGAAATTTAATAACTTCCTGCCGATTCTGTGAGTATTTATAAGAACCTCTTGAGAAATCTACTTTATTATGGTTGACAAAGGGCGAAGACGGTGGAAGGGATTTGAAAGCGGGAAGTTTTCTGAATTTAAAAAAATAAAAAAGGAGAAATCATGACAATGTTAGGATCAAACTCCAAAATCTCTTTTATTCAAATATGACTAGTTAGCTGTTATAAACCAAGTCAATTCAAAAAGTGAGGGGACGGATACTACAGAAGACAGTTTCCCGACTATTGAAGATACATTTTTAAATAAGCTTGCCTTCAGCTTACAATCATGTATGCTTTGAGATCAAAATAGCGGACGAGTTCTCCAATGGAGGGAAATTCTCATAGTAGGAGTTGCCACCCAGACAATCCAACTAGTTTGAGGAAAATTTCTCTTTCACTTCTTTATAGGAAAGATTTTTATCGGCCATAATCTTCATGATATTTAATTTTCACTGCCTGTTCGGGCAGCACTTGTTTAGAGCGTTCACAGTTTTCGCGCTTGGGAGACTCCCCGTAGTTCACACACCCGTCTTTCTTAGCTTCACAGAACTTCGACGCATGCTCATATCTACTGCATTTAAACCATTGCTTTAAGTTGGGTAAGAAGTACTCCACGGGTAGATTGTAAAAATTGAATTTGATCGCTTTAGAGAAGGTCTTCCTTTTAAAACCAATTTTAATACTCTTTGTGGGAATAAATTCGTCCGCTTTAAAAATTACTCCAAAAGGATCTCATTTTAGAAAAATGCTAATAAAATAGCAGTATATTGCTTGGTTTAGAAAAAAGTAAATAACAGGGCAGTCCTCGCTTTCTATGGTAGACTAAAGCAACAAACAAAAAAGATTGGCAGATATTTTATTGCTGTTTTTTTACATATGTAATACAATGAAATGTGTGCTATATATGTTTTTTAATTTAAATTTACAATCAATATAAAACATTAAACTTTTTAAACTTGAAATATACTGCTTAAATGAAAATAACGGTTTTCCTTTAGTTTTATTTGTTTATTTTCTAAAACGCTCTTCGATATAAGAGTTTCCTTGTTTTATTCTTAGAGATATATTATATAGTTGATGAGGCTACGATGCTAAGATGATTGCGCTCTATCCATATGCCCATCAATCCTCATTGGACAAACACATCAGTTGAAGCACGAATAACCGCAATATTCAATTGCACATTAAAAAATTGTTAAGAAAAATTTTTTTCGATAGCCTTTACACGAGGAGTGGATATAAAATTTGGCACATTTATTTATCGGCAAAAAACGGAGCACAGGAATGCATCCATAATCAACAAACAATTCTTCTTCATCTATACATGTTTAAGGGAGCGAACATGCAAGTCTCCTCTCCTTAAGGAGTAAGTATATAAGATTTTCATTTGTTATATTTACGAGCCTAATGAAAACGTAAAATAAAATTTGAGGTGCTTGCATGTTAAGGTTAAACGGGTCTATCAATATCCTTTCAATTATCACATTCTTTCAAAAGATTGCCAGCGTCAAACATTTGGGCGGCGATATGTACATAGGGTGAATCTTTACCTGAGAGGCACTCAATAGCGTTGGCGACTAATTTGATGATACTACAGTGGGTGATTTCTAGCTCTTGTAAAGTTGTTGTTACAACGCTTTTCTCCGATATTGTTTGCTGCTCAAAATGAAAAGAAAAAAGTTATCAGAAATCGTGAAAACTATTTTTGACATTTTGCTTTCGATTGCTCAATCGATGATTAGAAGCGTGTCCATAGAGTAAGTAAGAATAAAGTCAAAAAGACTTACAAGATGGTCTAGATACTGTAATAATTGTTGACCAACGGAAGCTACTGTGAGGAATCTCTTCTGGGAGAAATTGGTGTATAGATTTAAACGATGTCCCGCAATTTCTAACAACAAACGCCCCATGTGCTCGTCTTTAGGTATATCATTCAGCAAAGGTTCAGCATTCCCATCATAGCCATGACTATACAAATCAGCAATCTGACGGCGTATGGCATGGAAACAGAAATTTTAAATATATTACTTCTTCTTTTTCGAAAATTGGAATTTACCTGACGTCTTCGTAATGGTAAGTGATCTACGCACCAACTTTTTCCCAAGGTATAGATTTTCTCCATGTATTCAGCATGTTCGAGAATGAAAACTTCTAGGAAATCTTCACGTATTAAATCCATCGACGCTGTTATAACCTTACATAAAAAATCAGTTCTTAGCGATTGCAGAGCCGGGTCGGGTGCAGGTAATATAAAAGACAACTCCTTATTAATATCCATAAAGAACGCCTTATTGCTCATTGCGTCGAAAAGCGTGGTTAAGGGTTTTGAAAATTTCAGTTGAAAGTTAACAATAAAATGCAAAACAGCACACAGTTCAAAATGCAATTTTAGTAGATTATTTACAGCGTGGTGTTGTTGCATAGCTAAATATGCTAAAGCTAAAGGTCCTTCAATCAAAGATTCTTCAAAGTGTAACTCTCTTTTTTCGTAATTTACAGATCCTTTCAAATGTTTTATGAAATCGAGGCAGTGTTCCAGAAATTCGGGCAACGATGAAGCGTTCATGTCAATGTTCTGTTGACACAATTTATTTTTTGGCAGACGACCAACTTTTTCTATTAATTTTGTCGCAGATTGTAGCGGAAATTTTATGGTCGCCTGCCACAACATACAACCAATGCCATGCTTTAACGCATAATCGTCAGGTTTAAATTGCTCTAAGCAAATTAATGCTGCTTTGAAATGCTGAAGACTATTTAAATTCTTACTCCAGTAAATCATATAATGCCATGACATTAAACTCAAGAGTACTCCAGATTGTAGACTAAAGGGGAAATGTTTACGAAGTAAAGCTAATTTCATTAGCACTGCTTCTCGTTTTATATCCGTAATATTAGGTTCTTCTTTTTGCAGCGGGATTTGTTCAACGTCTTTGTTGCTACTTTTTTCACAGGTTTTAGTAGAACTTTCATCTGCTGTAAGCGATTTCTCGAATTCCACAATTTCCGATGGATGTATACGCGTACTAATAAGCCATTGAGCAGTTAAATCCGTAACGATACCTTTCCCCCCATTCACAACGAATTTCAAACTGCAATTTGGAGGATCATAAGCAATTTCAGGCATTGTGGGTTCTAAGCATAATATCCGACACCTAAGTTATAAAAATGAAAAAAAGAGAGAGAAATTGCGATAGGCTTAAACCGAATATTTTCTAAATCATCACTAGTAATGTTCAAATACATAATAATGAGGACACTTTTAACGACAGATAAAAGGCACCAAGTTAAAACATTAAAACATTATAGTCAAGCAAGACCGATCACTAAGTGGCCCACAACAATTCGTTTAGTATAATTATTTTTTTTCTTTTTGTAGATAAATGGTAAATGGGCAAAGCCTGTAAAGAAGGACCTATATGTCCCAATCTTCTTAAGGTTTCAGGATGTCAAAACAAAAAAGATTATGATAGTTCACAAAAAAGATGTCGATCACGTGATGATTGAAAGTGATGCAATGATGATGCAGAGATGGTTATCTCTTACGATGGGATACAATTCCGAAGATGATGACCAAAAATGATTTAATGACGATGAAAGATTGATTAACTCCCTCGATTGAATGATGTATGAGTTGTAATGGCCAAAACAGCATCGTCCATTCTTTGAGCTTAGACCAGAAGACTAATCTCAAACTATGGCTATATACACGCTTTGGATTTATGGAGATATGAAAACCGTTAAACATATGATTAAGCGGGACAAAAATTAGCATACCCTTATTATACTTAAAAAGAAAGAATTTAGTAGATTTAATGAAGGCATTTAGCTGCTTAAGATGAGGTATATTGCGAACACGAAAGATTTCGTATAGATACTAAAAAATCCATAAGAAAATCTAGTGTTATCGAGTATGCTGTAAGGGAAAACGAGATGCCTAACTGACTGTTTTGTGTGGCGTATGGCACATATATCAGATGATACCCGTCTAACAGCAATCTTTAAGTAAATTTTGTCAGATGTATGTTTGCACAATAATGCAAGGGTAAAGGTCGTAAAAGGGTGAATTTTATAAAAAAGTTTCGTTATATTTAGCTAAATCCAGATACTTGTCTTTCCAGTCTTGCATTACATAATTACGAATAAGATGGAAGGTGTCTTTGAGAGGATATTTGAAAAGCCGAGCTTCACGAGCGTAAAGATCAGCATTTTTATTTAAATGATGGCCACAGTGGGCTGGAATCCAGACCAGATGACACACCTCAATATGGATTTCAATTACATAGAATTGCGCGGATATTTTTTTTTTTTAATAGGGGCATGGCCGATCTGAAAAACAGAAAAATTTCTTGTTATCAGTTGATTTGGAAAGATGAACAGCCCGTCTGATGGCCAGAAGTTCAATAAAGGTTGACGAAAGCTGTTGCAGAATTTCGAATTTTCCAAGTAGTTCCAGTGGATACTTAAGCGACGCGAAACCTGATCTTTATAAACCAACCGAGCCGTCATTAGCATAAATAAATTTGGAAATCATTACTTGCAAAAAACGAAGTTGTTCCCGACATGCGGATTCAAGTCCGACTACAGCTGCAAAAGGAATAAAACCTCTTGTACATACACTCTGTGTCAAATTGAGATACTGTTGACTTTATCAAAAATACGATGAAACTTTAAATAACAACTGGTGTGACGGTCCAATGATTTTAACTTTTAGAATTTCTTTAGCAGTCAGAAGCACAGCCATCTCACTGACAATTAATTCATCAGAAATAACTCTCAGGAAGGGAATAGGTGTGGGGGGAATAAGTCCCGCAGATGGTCTTAGCTGATTGTTTTGAAACGACTGTATTTTATCATAATTTTGGAAACATTCGAAAGGTTACAAGTGATGAAGAGGGAAAATTCTATTTTTAAGCGAATAAATGATTTATAAATCGTGAGTGCTTTTCTTATGGCGAAACCTGACCAAAGTTAAGCCACCATATTGACTATGTTAGTCCGAGACTGACGGTCGTTAAGACAATCGGAGAAGTGTTCTTGGACTGCTAGACTACCATTAATGATCCTGTAATTGTTCTTGGTGTTGCAAACAGTTAATGCACAATCACACATAAATAGTGTGCAGTATGCGGGGTTGTACACTAAAGGGAGAGGACATAAGAGTGTTTAGTAGCGTTAGCGGATGAACTACAAAAAGCTCAAACATATACACATATAAATACCATATTTCGAAAATATTTCCCTCCAATGGATATTGAGCTATGAGTAATTTTCAATTTGGCAACTTACTCTATGATAGCGCCAAGTATGGCTATATCCTCTAATTTTGCTATTAATAAAGCCCATTGAGCTTCATCGTGTGAGATCTGTTCCCAGTTTTCGTCTTCCTCGTGTTGTGAGCCCTCATCACAAGATCCCTTTAATAAAATTAAAAACATTGTAAATAATTTTCCTATTTCAACCTTTGGCGATATACCTCTTTGTAGTCTTGGCGTAAATCTTTAGCTACAGTTTTACATACTATAGCGACAAGAAGACCAATAGATTTTGAGCTTTGGAGCAATAATTCTCGTACTTTCTGCCACCACGGCGATATAGCATTGTAAGCGTAATCATTAACTACATCTCCGGCTAGCTCACATATTGCGCGTACTGTGGCTCCCAGACGCGACATGTCCTCAATAATTTGGTCTCTAAAACAAACATACTTTTTAAATTTTGTTGCTTTTGAATCTTATCAACGTCGACTTACGTGTTTTCATATAAAAAAGGTTTTTCCAACCAATACTGGAGAACTAATACCAGCAAATCTTGACATGGTATCGTCGACTTTCCTGCTGCCTCCTTGAAATTTTCAACAGAAAAGCCTTGATCGAAAAAGGCACTAAACAATTTACCACTAATATCACCATAATTACAGCTTTTCTCCTGTCGCAATGGCACATAATTTTTACAATTGACTTGAAAAATAGATGTGAAATCAAAGAAATCACCAAGTTCATCACATTCTAAATCAAATGTAACTGAACGACCCGTTGACTGCATCTCGGAAAGCGGTGAAAGTTTACTGCTTACTAAAACATCGCTTAGATGGAGGAGCAATTGTTGTATAATTACTAAATAATTATCGGAAAATTGCAGCAATTCCACTTGTTCTGATTTAACGGATCTTTTTATGCTTAAGTAGAAATCGCAAAGTCTCCGGTAATTTTGAACTGTAATATAGAAGTCTTGAAAGCTTTCAAGATCGGTGATATCTTTGGGATTTTTAATTTGTTGCGCTAGAGTTGTGGTAAAGGCATTTGTGAATATTTGAAATGTGGAGGCATGCAATTGTCTGCTTTTTAACAATGTTTCCAAACACTGTTGTCTGACTTCTACCGTCTGAAATTCGGCTGCAAAACATTCCAATTCTTCGACACTTAAATTGAAAGGCTCAGTGGAACGAAGCATATTTTTCAAACGTCTCAACAAATGAATATCGCGTGATGTGGCAGAATTCGTAGCACTCAGAGCATAATGAAACGGTATTTGTATTTCCTTGACGCAGCCATCATTAGGGTCTAGGAATAAGCAGGAATAATTATGGGCACGAGTTTTCTTAACATCTTTGCTGAGGCCTGAAAGACAACTTGTTTAATAGAGTGGACGTTGCCATTACGCTTTAAACATTACTCACCTATCAAACCGTGTGTGTTGTAGATTAGTTGACCATTTTTACTGACTGTGAACGCTGAAACTTTAGGACCATACTGTAAAGGCCAAATTTCCAAGCATCCCAATCGGGGAGCGTATATAACCAGAAACATTGCTTTTCTACGTGAGGTTTGTATATTTTTCAGAGTCTTTTCTTTGACTACAATAAAGCCACACTGTGCTTCTCGATATCCTTTCCATACTCTTAAAATGATTGATTTCTGGCAATCCACGAGCATAACTCGCTCTAAATTGTCGACTATTGCCGCTAAACGGCCATTTGGTGCAATGGCAATGCTATAAGCGTCTCTTTTGTCGTCGAAAAATTGAAATTTTGAACGCATTTGTATATCTTTGGCTGCCGTTGTAGACGCTTGATTTTCAGCTTCAAAAGCGGTTGTAGGGGAGCGTCCAAAAATATTCCCGAAAATGTTGCGATAAGCTACGCCTATCACATCTTTCGCTACTTCACCTAAAGAAATAATTTTATAGCCTTCTTCGGCACTGTAAAAGCCAAGGTAAGGTGCATTTCCCACGCCAAGAACTGTAGAGCTTTGTGCGGGATTCTCGGTAATGCGTGTATAATAACCACTGTTCAAGCATTGGTCTATGCAGTGATCAAAGATTTTGGGTGCATAAAAAGCAGAGATAGCGGCATCGTTTATCATCGTACGATGTTCAAGGGGAAAATGCAATTTTTGGTATGTCAGAAGATCAGCAATTTTTACTGCTGCCTCAGCGTTAACCGAAGAGAAGTTGTTATGTCTCATCGTACGATTTAAATTGTAACGTAAATTATTTAGATGTGGTACAAAATCCAAGCCCTTCATGAAACATAAGCAACCTTCATAAGTAAAGTAAACAAATGGTTCGGCTTCAGATCCACGGGGAGGACTGTAGGCCTTCAGATTGAGAACTGGACCTTCATGGAAACTGCGTAAATACAAACTTGACGCTAATAAACAATAAATGCTCCATTGATAATGGTTTACCTTTGTGAAAAGATTTTAATACCGCCATCTGTGTAGAAGACTATTTTTCCTGAACTTAATCCAAAAACTATGCAAGTCCATTCAGCTCCAGAACTAACGTTGCTTCCAAACATGGGCAGGCATAGAACCGAGGTTATTATTTCATTGGGATCGTCTAACTCCCCACACCACCCTAATGCGGTACGTTTGCCGTGTTTTAAAATAGCTGCATGTAGCTAAATAAAGGTAAATTCGAACTTACCTAACGAATAGGCGACCACCGGCGATTTGTCGTTCCAACAAGAATTTAACAATGCAATTTTTTCACCTTGAGCCAAAGCGATTAATTCTCCCAGTGGGGAAATCGAGCAATTAACAGCATTTAGCCAATTGTCATCTAAAGCAACAAGAGTAAGAATAGTACAAATTTAACACGAATTGTTAATAAATGCATATATACCGTGACCAAGACCAAAGTATTCTTGCACTTTACGAAAATTTGTTATATTTCCGAAAATTTTTACTTCACAAGCCATTGTTGTCACATGGACTTCTGTACAAATTTTAGGTACACATATATAAACAACTTTTACTCGATATAACAATCTCTATAAAGATATGTAAATAAAATGAAATTTATAAATATATTTCTTCTATTTTTATAATGCATATAAATTGAAGAAGAAGGTAAAAACAAATTGTCAGCTTGCATTGCTGTTGTTTACATACATATTTACATTAGGTTGCCATGCTCTGTTAACGGTTCTGCTTATGCGTTATCAATTTCCTTTCAAAAACCCTATGAGGAATAGAAGAAGAATATTTCCGCTCAACATTGAGAGAAAAAGATTGCGCTTACTTAATAATAAAAAAAAAGAATGAACCGAATTTAGAGGTACATGTTCGGCGCCTGTAAAGCTAAGTATGCCAAAAAAAACCAACAAAAGGGGGAAATTCTACAAATTGAGAAACTTTAGGAAATATATAAAAACTTTAATTAATATAACTCTAAATTTATTTACAAATTTATCTGGAGTAAATGAAAAAATGAGAAGGCTACCACCGTGAAACCGAGTTACAAACCGAGCCGGGTCATATCTACACTAATTCGTCTTTGTCGAATTCTTCATCCGAAGTCTATATAGAGTGCGACAAAAACGTCACTGATATAGTAAATCTCACGCAATGTGCTCACTCTCTCTTGATAGTAGATTCTCATGATCGGCACAAAGTATTTTAGGAAACTTGATTTCGGATAAAAGTATTTTTTCTCTTTTGCATGTTCTGAAAAATCTGCGTTTTATGAATTAAATGAAGCAAAAACTTTGTTTAGACAATCCGTGGAAAAAATAATATATATTACCTATCACAAAGTCACTTAACTCATCAAATTGTTAAGACCATTATTACGTTTTTGTAGAATATTTATCAATTATATTATAAATATATTTATTTAGCTTTTAAAATAGATTTATAAATATATTTTTAACTTTTTTACTTTAAGCGTCTTATCCTTAATTTTCTAATATACGACAAAAATCAAAATTGATTTCACTTTTATTTTATTTGTGAGTTTTTAAACGAAATTGTTATTTAACTAATAGTATGGAATATGCAATTATTTGTTGTTGCATTTTATGAGTTATGAATAAGATATCCACTTTCTTGCTTTCAAAAACAAAGGTGCTTCGATATAACGCTACGTTGCGGGTGTTTTGAATACTTTCAACGTTTCTGTCAAATCTGAAGCTGATAGTTTTCATCTTTGTAGAGAGAAGAATGCTTACAGCGGACATTATACAGACGATAAACTGGCAACCAGACAGACGGACATGCTTAAATCAAATCAGAATTTAATACTTATCCAGAGTGTATATACCTCGTAGCATCTCTAAAGTGTGCTTCAAAGTGTTTCGGAGGGAAAATATAATAATATGTAAATTGAAAAAAATATTTGCATTTATTATTATGGAACAATATTCTTCATCTCGTGTTTTTCGTTCGAAAAAGAGTCACAGCACGATTTATATAATACACGTAGCGATTGATAGAATATTTATATCTTTCCCATCTAAAGCGGATCAAAAATAATGAAAAGATAATTGCACTGCTTTTTATTTCATTTAAATATATTTTAATAGATTCCACTACACGCAAATAAATGATTGAAAGTCTTAAAAACTAATATAAATACTAAAAATAATTATAAATATAATAAAAATAAGAACAAATATTATTCTACGATAACTTTGGTATTTTTCCACATATATAATAAAAATAAAATCTTCAACTTTGATAACAATTAACCCACGCTATCATTCTTTGTTGGACTAGAAATTTATTTTACGCTCACTAAGTGTAAGTGGCGGCGAAAAGAATAGGTTCAAAGAAAACATCTACGTTAGTATTTTTATTATACAAGTTTAAAATCTATGTTTGCGAAGAAAGAATTACTTTTAACAGAACCAATGAATTTTATATTAAACATGTAAAAACATTCCAGTGGGACAAGGCCCTCCATTGAATACCTGGCATCACCTTGCTTCGGTTACGTGCATTAACTTTGCTTAGCGCAGTTATTCATCTAACGAATTTTTAAAATAAAGTGTTATGTGTAAAGTTGTCGAAAAACTCGACCTTGAGTCAATACGTCATACGCAAAATTTCATCCAAACATTTAAAAAATTGCTGCTTGTAGGTTGAACGCCAAGCTTAGATGGATTCTGAAAGTGATTCCGCCTCGATCGGTGTAATAAAAGGCGGGTCCATGTCATGTCCTTCTGGGTGTTGCATACTTAACATATCCTTGCAACATAAATGGTGTAGGGTATGAAATGGAAGATCGGACCTATACACGTCGCAGCAACAATTGTTACTAATTAATTCACATGGTTGACATGTTTTCCATACTTAAGTCAATTTCTGCCGTGTTCGTTTTAACCCAGCTGGCGTCTTGAAAAAACTAAATTCACAATCTACACAAATATTAATTTAATGATTTCATAATCATGTTATGCTTAGCACAACCAGCACAATCGATATTTCACATCTTTGCGTCTCTTCAAGCTTTTAATTCGCCTGAAACTATCATACAGTGTCAATATCAATGCGGCCACCTCTATGTCTCTTACTCGTTACTCATTTCTTTCTGACCGCTATCATGCTACGCCTATAGTGTGTTTATCCTGACTGATAGATTAGATTAAAAATTAGATTAAAGAAAGAGTATTGTGGGTAAAAGACTACGGACAGACAACCATATATGAAAAAATTTTTACCTGTATCCCTTATATATAATAAAGTCTTTACTTTCGTTTTTAATTTGTAGCAAGACGTTCACTTGATTGCTTTGAAATTAATTTTAAAATAATCCAAACGTATTTCAAACTTTTTTAGATAAAAATTTTATTATTTATTAATAACAAATGAAATTTTTTTTTTTTTACGATATTCTTAAGAAAGGTTTTCAAGAAGACATTGTATTGATTTTGTTATTTTGTAGAAAATTTTCATTAAGTTTTTTTTTTTAATTTTTTTTGTTTTTATTGCTTAATGTTGACTTCATAGTAATGTGAAGAAAATATAATGATATTAAGTAATATATTCTTCATGCAAATCTTCACGAAATAATATTCTTTGCAATATATCCAATGAATGAAATCCAAATAAAAGCTCATGAAAATAGCTTTTTACACTGCAAATGTCTCGCTTTCCTTCATTGCAATAGTTAAGTTGATATCTACTATTATTATTGTTATTATAAATTTAGCCAGAGAATCAATTCTAAGACTTAAGTCTTAAAAGCACTAGAATGTAAGGCTTTCGATTTTAATAAAAATCCTACCGCACTTTAGATTTGCACCCACGACCATTGACTTCCTACTCGAGACTCTTGCCTACTCGGCCACTCAGGCGGATGATATCTACTATAATTATAGAGTTTGCATACTGACTGAACATTTAGGCATAATAAAACTGTTCGCAAGGTGTGTGCTGCACTTGCCTACAGCAATAAAACTGAGTTTCGCAAGTCCATTATCTTATATCTGTAGTGAGCGAATAATCAAAAGCGATGGACTGAAAGGGGAGAGGAAGAAAGCTGATTTCTCTGTCGCGAATATTACTCAGTGATTTCTTGTGAATACGTAAGGAAAAATTTTTCTTCATAGGCTTCAAAAAGGAGCAACAATAAGGGGCAAGTAGTTCACGACCTTATTGCAAAGTTTGAGTGATGAAAGCTTGATGGCTTATGTACTTTTTCTTCGAAAGTCGGTAAAAACGCCCGATGATAAAAGATTTACCAATAACGGTGCTCTACGTCCTCACCATAAACAGGTTATCGAATCTATTGAACGTGGATATGGCGGAAAGGCGTTCAAGCTAAAAAGCGACTGTGTTGAAAAGTAAAAACTTTTTTTTAGACCGAAGGTTCGATCACACACCAATATGTTCTTTCGTACACACATATACTATTGGAATAAAGTAAACATATTTCGGTCACCTTTTCAATGATTCTTTATTTTTTTATATTTGAATTTTACATAAAATTATAAAAAAAATTAACCTTCAAAGCTATCGTATATATCAAGTACAGCTAGACTAAGTGCATGTTAATGCTCGTTGCTTTTATAGATCCGATCCCAAACCCCCACCAATGAAATCTTTCAACAACAGGGCGCATTTTATTGGCAAAATACGGCACCAATTGTTGATATAAAAAAGGCTACTCGGGATGGTGATTTCAGTGATGTTGGCGCGATGACCTTCGACGATGTGTTTAGCAACTACTTTTGGGTCTAATAAACCCAATATCGAAGGAAATTTTATTATCGGCTTCTTGCAGAGTCCAGTATTAGTCATATACGGATAGATAATGGAACCCGTAATCTGCAAAATTATAATAAAAAGATTAGTTTCGAATATGCTTAGAGATTATGGACAGTACTTACATGTTCATTATAAGGACCTGTTCGCATTTCCTCATGTAACGCTTCCATAAGACCACGAACAGCGAACTTAGAGGCGCAATAAGGTACGACGTTTGCATTTCCCACCAGACCAGCAATAGAGCTCATGGCTATAATGTGGCCACGATTTTGTTGTTTCATATGTGGTAAGAAAGCTTGTAAAGTCCAAAATTGGGAAAAAACATTTATTTCGAAAACCTGCCTAATTTCATCTGCAGTCTGTTGGTCGAAAGGATGGGTTGGCATAATTCCTACATTATTCACCAGCACAGATACTAAACCAATTTCGTCTTTGATTCGATCAGCTAACTTTAAAACAGCGTTACGGTCAGTAACATCACAGCTGTAATGAATTCAAAGTTTGGTAACAAATTTGAATAAAATCATATAAAACGTTAGTTGACATACGTGTAGCTGTACACAGAGCCCGCGTTTTTCAGACGTTTGGCTTTCTTAACTGTTTCATCATTATTTTTCTCATTAATATCGATACATATTACAGTACTGCCAAGGGCGGCATAGTGCAGGGCCAATTCTCTACCAATACCATGACCAGTTCCTGTAATCTGAAAATAACAAAAGTATATTTGTAGAGAGCAATTTCGCAGGGAAAAGGCAGCCACGGAGTCACACTGTCTGATGATAGCTTTTATTGACTTACCAACACAATTTCATTGCTAACGTCTTTAAGCTTTCTAGGCATAAATAGTTGTACTAAAGCGAAACATAATTCCAAAATGATTCGTATCAGAACAATAAGAAATTCCAATGTATGTTGTACTATGTTAAAAATACGCTTTGCAACTGCATTATCGCTGAAATAAGTTATTCAAATTACAGGAGTTGTAAAGTAAAGCTCGGTCCGCGGCCTTGTCAGTATATTTGTAAGAAAAATATATGGTAAAAAAATATATGTTAAGCAAAGAAATTATATTCGGCCACAGCCGAATTTTTTATACCCACCACCGTTATTCAGTTTAGAATTAACATATTTTAGCCACATAATCTATCTTCTGTCCTGTTTATCTTGCTATAATAATAAACAAAAAACATCAAAAAAGTGAAACAAATCACATATAATTTTCTGCATGGACGACCCATAGAACATGGAAAATGCAAATTTTTACCGTTATTTTGTAGTTCATAATTGACCAACAAAAAACAAAGTTGTTTTTACTTTTGAAAATAGAGGTAATCTCAGATTACTTTATACTGTGGTTGTGTTCTTTTGTTCAACTTGCGTGCAAGAATTTTCGATGCTTTTGTAGAATTTGAAGTCTATACCTTAATTTTTGCGACCAAGAGAGTGTTTAATAGAGACTTGACACAAGCAGGCAGGCAGAATGATAGATAGACGGACTTGCTTAAGTCGATTTAGAGTTTGGTGCTGATCAAAATTTTGACTAAATGAATATAGCCCCTCCTCCTTCCAAGATGGATACGCGGAGTAAAAATATTATTTTCGAGGAAGCCTGATATCCTACACCATATCATGTAATTCAATTCTTTATTTATTTGTTGTGGTGGAATAACTGAATGATAAGCTTTTTCCATGGGAAGCATTATATGAGAAATAGCCCAAAACGTGAGACGAGTTGATCCAAATTTATTTTCTTGTCAGAAATCTTGTTATTCTTTATCTGTTATAGCCATAACGTGCTAAAAATTAGACTTTGTTGGCTCACTTTTTATGATGACCATTATATGGAGTGCGGCCCAAATTGACCAATTACTATTTCGTACACTTTTATGTGGGTGTATGTTATATGCACCGTTTGAGACGAGATTTTCACTTTTTGACGAAAAGAGCCAATGATATTTACGGCCACTTCCTGTATAACGCCTTATTATATATACGTCATATGAAGGAAAAATGCAATTTTCAAAATTTGTCAATAATAATCACTGAATAATCATATCTTGGCGTAATAAGTTCACGGACAAAATAGAGATTGGAAGAGCAACGTTGCTTGAACACCCTCGCCAATAATCGATGTTATGAAAAATACGCGTTTAAGCGGTAAGATGGTTTACCTTTTAATATTTCATAGTGAAAACTCGTTCATAATAGCAATTTGGCATAAAAATTAACTGCATCAAATTTGGAATACTTAGGTCTATCCTTTGCACTCCGCTACGTATAAGCGATCTTACGAAAAGTAAGTTTTTGTTTGCCAACAAACTCTTTACATCTTACCGGGTTATGTGTTAGGTACTGATGGCAATAACCAACTAAGGCAGCTTAGACGTAAATTAGGTTGAGCGTAAGGGTAGATATTAGTAAAAACTGTAGTGAGTGAAATAAATTGACTCACAGAAAGATTACAAACTAAGCAATTTTATTGCAAAGTCAAGTTACAAGCAAAGTTACTCAATATTTTGAATACATTTCTGTTTACATATGCAATTCTAGCTCATCGCTTTATTTGGTTCACGAGAATATTTTTTTTCATTATACGGTACCCGCCTTTGAGCAAAACCAGCAATCAAAGCATATCGATTGTTGCGTTTTCAATAATTTTTCTTTAACTTTTAAAACAAGCTTTCCAAAAATAGATTTTTGCTTTGTTGTCTTCTTCTTTTTATTAATTTGTTTGTGAAAAAGTCTGAACTTGTTTAAGTCCTCCCGGTTCGTTTCACAGCCAGACCAGTAAAATACCTTTTTTCAGCTTTCAACGGACTCATCAACTTTGCGTTGAATGGTCAATCAAACTATTATTTTTTTTTAATTTGACCATTCACTCAATGGACGCGTAGCCGCGTCTGATCGATGGCGGTCAGAAAGACGTGTGAAAAGAGAATGAGTTAGTAGAGTAGTCATAGCCTAAGTGAGTGTTACGACGATTAAGATTTGAATCCACGAACACTGGTTTGGTAGTTGCTTTGATAAATAAGGATAACTGCACAAATAGCACTTTCTTTGGTCCTTGCACTGCTAGCGGTGATGCAAAATTTTTGTCGAGACTTTTAATAAAACCTGGTTAGTACAACGGTACTTGTGCACTCAAAATTCTCATGATTGGACGCAAACTGATGGAGAATTTAAGCGGTTAAGTCTAATACCGAGACATGATCCTAAGAGAACAAGCGAGAACAGTATAGTGGGACGCGGCCCGCCATTAAATACCCTACACGACTTCGTTTAATACAGTTACTCACATAACGACTTTTCAAAATAAAGCTTTATATGGGGAGTGGTCGAAAAAGTAGTCCGATTCGAACCATTTAATTATTTATTAATAGCTTGTGTTCTTGAGTCAAAACATGCCGGTGTGCCAAATTTCATCAGAAAACAAGACACAGAGAAAGGCGGATGGACTAACAAATCCAGATCAATGCAAAAAGTGTTTCCGTATCGATGGGTAAAGCTGGGTCTGTATAAAGCCCTTTTGGATATTGCAAACCCGCACAAACTTAATTTATCCTTAGATTATAAGTGGAGGAGGGTATAGTGAAAATATCAAACCAACTCGAATGCATGTAAAATACAGCATGTAAAATATAGCTCCTAATACTGCCTTTCGGAAAATACAATTGTAGCGTTAAATATCGGGTCATAAGTATTCGATTCCTAGGAATATTATCATTAGCTGTCTTTTCATGAAAAGAGACGACGCCAGTTCGCATTACAGGATTGGATATTGTTGGAATATTCAAAACTTATTATGGCGGTCCAATGTGCCGCGCTATTGCTGAAAAAGTCATATTATTAAAACCGAAGGACAACGGACGTTGATTCCCTACAAGGGAATCGTTTTTTCCTTTTTTATCACCCACCGCCGAAAGATGCCACTGGTACATCCACCAGCGAAGGCTAAAAGTATACTCACTTTGTTCGCAACAATAAGAAGGAAGCTTCAGAGACCCTATAATATGTATATATTCCTGATCACTATTAAATTCTGAATCAGTAAGCACGTCCATTTGTGAACATAATGGCGGGTATGAAAGGTTCGTCCCGATGTGATTATAATTTTCTTATTTGTTGAAATTTTCTTTTTTCGTTTATTCAAACTTGTTGATGCGGCGGAGTTTATCCGTTTGACGTTTTAAGTTAAAATTTATCTTTCTACCTCAGTTTTTGCGATGCGAAATAAAAGCTAAAACTTGGCTAAAGTATATTCTTTCGGCAGTATCACATAATCTGGCTATCCTTGCCCAATATGTCAGACTAAACGTCATCTGGGGCGAGAAAAATCTCTCAACACTTTTTCCCGGAGCTATATTGCAATGCTTGTAAAGTATAATAACAATAAGTCAAGTAAAAAATTTGAGCAAAATAGTTATAAGGCATATTTTTTGATATCCGTAGGCTAATTACTAAATTACTGCATTTGTATTCTCCGACCCTTGCGATAATAAAGCAACAATGTCAAAAATAATAGTAAGTCAAACCGAATTTGCGTGAAATACTTTGGGCTCGTTGATGTAAACTTGGCCATTAGTAAGTGCGCTCATACATGGGAAATAACGCCAATATCTTGTTACTAACGGAATGGAGAAATTGATATACTTCTGCTCTTCGATATTTCGTATGAAAGAAGACATTGACATGAAAGGAATTTATTTAAATAGCTGTACATATTAAAAGGCTTGTAGATAGTAACAAGTTGAATTTCCTGTATCCATGATCTTATGAAATTTTATGAAAATTATGCATTTATTGAATTTAATGACTTTTTTTCTTTTGAAAATAAAGTAGAAAAGCTTACTGGACGCCCTTTGCTAGAAGGATCATCAAATTTTGTTGTCTTGTTGATGTTTTGTTTCTTATGGTATGGTATGGACAACAAGTTTCCAAGTGACTATAATATTAATTTATAGCCGATGACAAGAATGCTTAAATCAGAATAAATGCCAGCAATTTCTATAGAATTCGAAGCAAGTAAGAATATTTTTTGTCGTTAAACCTAAGCGCCTAAGCGTCTAAGCAAAAATAATTTTTATTCTTATTCCACCCAAGTACCGGAGCATAAAGTAATAATTGTTCCGCCTAAATACCTAAGAGAGACATAATTTTCGTTCCGGTTCGATATGCCATGAACTTTCTTAACAACCATGTTGAGACCTGCGGGATTATGGCGTGGAAGAAGAAAACTTTTTTTTTTTTTCCTTCAATCTCGTGTACCTATCAAATCAAAAGCCAACACATTAGCTAACGATTTTTGCTGATTTTCCCGCTCAAATTTTAGAAACACGTTGTGGAGGTCAAATTTCCAAGCTTTCTATTCGGAGGGTATACGAAGGGTGTGTTAATGGATTACCTTCGTTTGTTGACGAAATTCAATTTTATTTAAAACAACTTGTTGTTGTAAAGCTTAATAATCGAAATATACACAATCATTGTGCATGCCCTTTTGCCTTTTGTGCGATAGCATGCGTATGTCCTCGTGGTTGAAAGTTTGCGGCTCGGATGTAGCATAGTCATCGACTCATTTTCGTACATCTTTAAGCTCGCAGAGCTACTTATCCACTAAATGTGACTGCATCGATCCGAGCCAGTGTCCGAGTCCGAGTTAAGATCATTTCTTAGGTCACTTTTGCCGTGACCGATGTATGTATGCGTATTTCATTGTTTTTAATACGAAAATCTCAAGAATCCATGTATTCGTTCCAAACCAACTTAATCAATTCCTTACTTAATCAGTTTCAGCGTCAAGTTCAATCCAGTTAAAAACACCAGAAAACCCATTGCCACAAAGGGCGTCCATCTCTACACTTCGATTTACATCTAATGACAGCTTGTACACAAACAAGCGTTCTTATCAAAGGTATCTACATTCAAAATATTCGAAAAAATTGCATCCATCACGTACATTATATGAAGCCTCTAATTTCAGCGGAGAGAATTTATTGACACATCTAATATACATGCAATAACCAAATGTTTTACATCTTCACCTCTCTACAGTCAGTAAGCACTTTTCCCCCTTTTATTTACTCAATATATATGTATATATATATAAAATATGTTTTTTTAGTACCGTTTTCTTTGTCTTCTTCTTTTCTTTTAATCTTTAATTATAATATCATAGTTCAAGCCTTTAATCTTAAACATTGCTTAATTTATCTGAATCTATATATGCATGCTTCATTTGCCAAATTGATTAACTCTACATTATTTTTTTTCAACTTTAATCTGAAAGCATTTAATTGATTGATCCTCATTATACATATTTTCTAACCATTGAATAATAGATAATTTATTTCAGAAGACCCAGTTCATATATATTTAATAAAAGTGCAGTTGAAATGCTGTCTAAATTGAAAATTAAAAATTGAATGGTCATGAAAATCATTTCCTACTGCTACTAAGCACACGGTGTTAACAACTGTAGGCAAATAATTTTATCGGTTTTTTCTACTATTGGTTTTGTGGATTTAATCGATTTAGCAAACGAGACGTTCATATACGTATTTACTCATATTTAAAAAACAAATAAAAAAAAAATAGCATTCATGTCATTTAATAATCGCATCCGGTTGTCTCCGGGAGAATATAAAATTTTTTCAGTTTTCGTGGGCCAATTTTGTGAACCCTCACAGCCGCAAAAATGAAGCTAGGAAGGTGAAATTTGGCAGAGACGTTTCTCGATCGATTAAGAATACAAAATTAGAAAATTGATCTGTTCACAGAAACGTCCACAACGCAAGGCAAGCCAAGCAACCTTAAGAAAACAACAACAATTTTTTATATTTTCGCTTATAACTTTCGATAATGTGAAATATATTCGAACACCTATAACCCAAATATTCATTAGGTTCACTTTCAAGCTCAGTGCAAAAATGGTTAGTAAACCACAAGTAAAGATCAATTGACGACCGAAGTGCGTGGGAAATAAATTGGAAATAAGTTGGAGTTGAAATTTTATCTTTAAATTTTTATTTAATGACCAGTTATTCAGAGCATACACCCTATTCGTGTAATACGGTTACGGCCAGAAAGAAGAAAAACAAGTGAAGAAAGAGCATATATAGGCAGTTGACCGTAACCCAGTGGGTTCGTGTACCCGATCGGTAAGTGTTATGCCTTTACCGACTGAACACAAACTAAGCTACGACAAAAGTGAACTCTATGTCAGTAAGAATTGAGCACGAGAACACAGACCAGTTAGTTGCGGTTCTCACCTACTCGGCTACTCTTGCGGACAATTATGGTCGCTTCAGCAAACCGATCAACAGAATTTCTGCAAACAATTTCCGAACATGCAGACGGTAAGACAGTCTCATCAAAACTGACCACCAGGTTCGGGAATATTCGAGTAGGCTGAGCCTGTCAAATCTTAGTAAAAGATAAATAAAAACTCAACTTTCACTTGGCAAAAAGGTCTAATATTCAATATTTCAAGTTCAAATAGGCTTAAAAATTAATTTGTCTGCATTTGTAGTACGCAGGTCAATATTTTGTACACCAGCCCATATAAAGCTTGTTATGAAAAATAAACTCTTATATGGCAAAAGGGTCTAATTTCATGATGAACTTGTAGTTGTTTATGAAGAACAACAAGATCTTTAAGAAGAAAATGAAATTCGATAAATTTCAATCCTGTCAGCTGACATTTAGGCCACGCTCCAATGTAAACGCTTTCACCAGAGTATGTCTTCGCATGAAAATCAACTATAATTGTTGATGTTGTTGATTATTACGAAAGTGAATTAATAATTAGGCAAGGAAAAAATTGTTTTAAGAGCACTTTTGCCCCGAATGGATTCTTCGACCATATGAATTTAATAGAGATATGAAATAGTGACGAGACATAATTCACTTATGAGAAACGCTTTATGACAGAAATTGTTTAATGATTCGCATATCGAATGAAAATATTAAAATGTCTTTCGATCTTAACTTCCACCGGAAGATATTTAACTAATAATTACCTCATACATATATTTACTTACCTCGTGTTATCATTTTCCATCACTATACGGTGTTTATTATTAAATAAACCGGTAACTATATGTTGTCGCTTGATAATTATTTTCTATTGGAGTTTTGTGAGACAATTGTACTTTGTCCTAAAAATAAAAATTAATCTAATATATTAATAATCTTAACAATCGCTATTTCATTGCATTTTTATTACAATAATACCGCTGCACTTGCATTTTCATTGTGACTAGTATGCCAAGTATACTTGGACTATTTAAACTGATAAGGTGACCAGACATCGAAATAATTTTATAGTGCCAGTGTAGTGTAGAGATAAAGACGCACTTTAATTGCATAATTCTTTTCAAGCTATTATTAAATGCTGGTAAAGTTGCGTCATTAAAAACTGAAGGAGCAAAGCATCCAAAATACGCTGGCAAATTACATGACCTTTTCAACCTACTCCGATTATCGATCCGAATTTCTATTCAAACGTAAATGAAAGCAAACTGGAAATATGCTTAAAGATAGTCCAATCGTTAAATTGGCTACAAGTTCAAGGTATCTTTTAATGTATTGCCTTTAGTGTGTTCGCTGACTACGGTTATTACAAAGCGGCAAATTTATTAGCCAAGACGATCAGAATATTGATGCAGAAAAGATGCTTGCGGCGAATTGTTTTCCTAGCAAAGCTGCCGACCGGAACAATACGTTTTTTTTTTCTTTTCAGTCATACAGTCCACCGTTTCCTCATTATTCTGCATAAACCAGTAAGGACAAAACCGACCATTAGATACTCTATACCGCTTCGTCTACAACAATTAGTCTACAACATTAGTCACAAAATTTACAAACTATTTTTCTTCAAAGTCATATTTTTCGTTACAAATCGCATATTGGGGAATGCCCAAAACAATAAATAAATGACGTGATCCAAGTTTAGCAAACGTAGCTTATTTTGGAAAAAAGAGTTATTCTTTTTCATTTTCCGTCATGGAAAGTAGAAATTATACTTTCTCTCCTTATAAGGGCTTGCTTTTCATGATAACCCCTGTACATGTTAGAGTCTAGAAAATAGACCTATCTGGTCTGAATTCTGCTGAATTGCTAATATGCATCATAATGTATTAAAAGTTAACCCCCTTTTCTAGAACGCTTACTTTCCATGAGAAATCTTATACGGACTGGGGTCAGAGAAATAGACTCATTTGGTTCAAATTTAATCCTTTTCATTTTTATAACACAATACTATCATGAATAAATTTTCATCATAAAACATTTACAATTACGGCTTTTTGGCATACAAGGGTTTACATTTACTGAGAATCTTTATATGCGATGTTATCCAAAAAATAGACTTATGTGGTCCAAATTCGTAAGGTTGATGTCTTTGTCTATTCATTGTTATGAATCAATTTTCACCCTGAAATACTGAAAATTATGCCTTCTTACCATATAAAGATTCAGTAACGTTTACACGAGAGAAGGTTCAAAAAAATGCCCCAACCGAAACAAATTTTTCATACCAATTTAGAGCGACAACTTACTATCACTCAACTTTTGTCGAGAAATTTTGAAAAAGGCATTTTTTATATTGAAAAGTCGTTATTTGGGGAGTGGTAGAAAAAGTGAACCGATCCGGACCATTTTCAATAGTGTTCGTTCAGTATATTCATCAAAATATCTCAAAAATGGCGAGAGGTTTAACGCAAAAATACATTGCCCACCTCAGACGGACATACAGAGAGTTTGGATCAATTCAGAAAATGATTCTGAATCGGGTGATATAATAAAAGGTGGGTTAATTTTAAGCCTTCCCGGGTGTCACATACGTTCGAATAAACAAATTGTTGAAAAAGTGGCATAAAACAACACCAAGAGAAAAGGTAGTGCAGGCGACCCCCGCTTAAACTGGCTGATTCGTACCGCGCTGTATCGGAACCGCGTTGCACGAAACTTTTGTATTTTTATATTTAAACATGGGATAACATCATTCAACTTCAGATATACTATATAACGAAAAAATTGGCACTGCGATGCATCGAAATCTTATTCGTGTTTGATCGAGATGAGGTTATAAGACACATTCAAATAATGTAAGCCGATGCAATGCGTATTGCATTTAAGATTTTGCGATGAGAATTTAATTATGAAATTTCGTTTAAAATGCACATATAAATGAAGAAATAAGTTCACTTCAAGTTTTCGTAAAAAAAAAAACCCAAAAAAAATGTGAAATTCAACATTGTAATGAATTTCAAAAGCTAGAAAGAATGATGATGAAGACTAGAAAAATAATTTTCAACGAAAATACCAGCTAAGCTATTTACTTTTTTTTTCCAAAGTTGGTTGGAACTCGTCTCATTAACGATAAAATAAAAACAAAATTATAAATTATTTTAAAAAAATATATATTCAATTTTTTGAAATCGGGTTTTACGAGAAGCGTGTTAAGCGGACGAAATATATTCATACATCATCGTAGCATATATAACGGTATTCATATAGAAATCTACCATTGAATTATTTGCAATCTAAGTAAAGTCTTATCACAAAATTGATATCGTTATCTAAACACATTGCAAGAAGAAAAAGACTGTCTAAAGGTTTCCCGTCGAAGCGATTTCCGCGAAACGAGTTTGAATTCCTTGCACGTCAAGCAAATGTAGCAACACCGCAGAAAGCATAATCTCCATTATAAATGTCGCAGTAGTAGTAGTCTGACACTAATTTTGAACTATTTTCTTAGGCTTTTTAGGTTGGCTTTTTTTTTTCTTTTAGGTTCACTGGAGATGTGTGTGGTTTTATTGATAACAGTATCGCTCGTTTTTTACATTTCTTGAATATTTCTTAAGAAATAAGTTTTGCAAAATTCATATATATACGGACCGACATACATGTTTTAGCCAAAGCAAAATTTGAACTAAGTAAGTAATGAGAGTAGGTGCCTCTTTAAAGCGTGCAAAATTCGTCTTGGATTGAATTTTTGATACTCATCATCTTAATAAACATATTTTGACTTTTTGGTGACTAAGTAAGCGTGCGTTGACCGATAGGAACAGTTTTTGTTAGATAATGGAATTAAACATCAATTGAACAATTGAACAATATTTTAAAGGAATATCGCTTATAATCGCTTGTATTAGTCCCTGATAGCTTCGTATAAACCAGTTTTATCTCTTCCCTCATTCCCCTGTTTTTCGGATTCAACGATCGGTCTTTGGCCTTCAATTGATGCAATGTTCTTCAAGTGATAATTTTTTATCTGAATTTCTCCTGACATAAATTGCAACCACTGAAGACAGAAGGACGGAAATGACCAAAAATATCTCTACTTTGTAGATGTCAATATTGCAATTAGATTGACAAATTTACTATATCGCCGTCCCATAGCCGTGCGGATAATATTATATAGGCTATATAGGTGGTGATGAGTACAAAAGTCCGCATCACCTTGGTTACTTATGTTATGCACGACCACCGCAAATGCATCGAGATTAAAACCACTGCATTCACACGTCCTTACGTACATATAAATTTTTCAAAATATTAAACGAAATACGGAAGTAATGTTTTCCTAGCTTTCAAGTTTTTATGACATTTTTTCTTCTCCTTCTTGTTTTTTATTATTTTTTCTTTCAAGCGGCCACACAACACACAGCACACAGCACACAACACTTTATTGCCTTTTTATTTTTTATTTTTGCAACAATCTGCACATGCAACAAAATTACTACAGCTATTCTGTACGTATACAATAAATGTGCTTTATGCGTTAATTTGTAACCATATACCCACGTACGTATATACGCATACATGAAAGTGCAAGTACTATCTGAAACCTATAATAAATATAAACAGCACGCAAACTGAAATAAAAACCGATTATTTTTCCAATTTTGTTTGTCTTTTTTTTCTATATTAAAAACGTTTATTGTCATTGAGTACGATGATTATTTCACTATCGGTATAACCGACCGCTTCATTTCTCTGTTAAACTAAAACTGAAATGAGTTATTCGAACAATCAACAATTTAAGCTACGCTCGAAATACTACACAAAAAGGCAGTTTTCTTTCTTTTTTTTTTTTTTTTTTTTGTCTCATCGCAATAAGACTATTGCGTACTGTTGTAAATCAGTTGTACATAATGCCTTAAGAGGGCAGAAACACGCCTAACTGTTAGAATAACCATTAAATAGTTTAAGATAACTCTTTAATACGCTTTCTAACGGAACTTGCTAATATTGAGTTGAATTGAGTTCTATCAATACATCATGCATCATCGGTTTCTTCTGCATTATAGGCGAGCAATCTTTTTTCGGCCGTGGGATTTTCATGGACTAAGCAATGTTTGTACCAAATGTCAGCTTCTTGTCTCAATTTTTGCGACTCTGGCGATATCACAAATAAGCGGATCGAAATGATGAATGAAGCGGACGGAAAATTATAGAAAGTCAGTCCCGGGATAACCATTTCTTTGAAGAGCGAAAGTTAAGAAGGACTATAATGCGGACTCACTACTTCCAGGTTTAAAGGATGCTATTTAAGAAAATTTGGCTATAGGCAATATAATCCTCTGCTGCTCTTTTATACTAATTATAACAGGGAAAATATGCAATGCACTATACTATGCTTCGAAAAAGACCCAAATCGTATATGCTTTAACAGGTATTAAAATGAAAAAAAAAAATACGAATGCCTTTGCTGGCCTGCAGGCGAATCTTGATAAAGATTTTTTTTTTATTTTTAAATTGCTCGTGAACTAAGGACGTATTAGCAAGAATTTTTAATATCAGGTTTTTCGATAATCTTGATGTCATTTTTGATTCGTTATCGGTTATATATTGCAAATTTTTGATTTAATACTTTTTAAACTAACCGAATTTTTCGAAGTTTACTCAGTCTCTTAACCATTATAAACATGTTTGCAAAACGGATATGCGAGGTGCAAAAGTGGAATACATGAAATACTGCTTTAATGATAAAATTGATTTTGTTGTCCTATGAATGGATGGATTTATGCTTTTATCATACCTTACACCCTTTGCGGTGCCAGCGTATATTATGTTTACATAGATATGTGCAACGCAAAGGACTTGAGACAGACTCAGCGATCGATTTCGAAACATTTTATGAATCAATCTAGGCTTGTCTATCCATCTGTCTGTTTTCTTGTGTTCATATGTCGCAATTTCTGAGATATTTTGATGAAATTTAGTCTTTTGTTTTTTGGTCCCAGCACGAACACTACTGAAAACGATTCGGATCGGACCACTTTTCGCTGTTCTGTGAACAATTGTAGGGTGGTGTAGGGTATTTAATGATGGTCGGTGACAATTTATAATGTCTTTACTTGTTTTTTTATTATTTCATTTTATTTACTTGTTGCTGGATACAATATCCAGCCGAACACAACAACACTATTAAGATTAAAGGTTTAAATTACAACATTATAGCGAAGATAGTTCATCAAAGGCAGAGCAAAGGTCTAAGAAATCAATTTCGGTTTAACGTAAAAATCTTTTTTTGCCTACAAAATCGTTAGGCTTAAAGTATTACAAACTAAGAAGTGAACTTAAGATTAGGGCTTACACTACCGTATAATAGCGAGGAATATTAATCAGTAAAGAGTATCCAATAGGCTTAGAGTATTCAAAAGTGAACATAAGTCTAAGCAACTATTTATCATTATAGCTGCTTTCACTTGCGAGTCTTATCTCCCATGCGACGGCGCGGATTTGCGGCATAACTTTCGTAATACCCCTATCGAGCCGTACTACAGCGCAAGGGAAAGGCGATAGTTCATAGACAGCAAAAAACATTTATTAATTCAATCAAAAGTAATTGAGTTTTAAAAATGACTCAAAATTCTGAAAAAGTTGCTGTACTCTACAATATCACTCATCCAATGAGATAACGCTTAGAGAGCGAGGATTCGTTAAAAAATTGTAACGTTTATGATGAAGATTCTTTATCAAAATATGTAGCATGCGAACGGTCAGTCAATCGTAGATAAAGTCCATGAAATTCTTCAAAATAAATTGAGGGCGACAGGCAAGTTTCAATTTATGATGTCGCTGCGAAGCAAATTTCAACCGTAATAGGAAAGGGATGAAATTGGATACAGAAGGGCATAAGTTGACAAGGAAATATTTAATGAAAAGAATTCCCATCTACGAACAGTTGCTGGAAACAAGCATTTGTCAAGTAATTGGGCTCTGAAAGCGTGGTCACGTACAGCAAAAAGATTTCGAAAAAAATCAAGGTGCAAAACGAATCAAGCTGTCTAAACGGTGAAAAACCTACGTGAGGCTTTGGAGGAGAATTGTGGAAACTGTGAGGTGCTTCAGCTTGAACACTCTACTTTCTACTGTCGACAGCTGACGTAACTAAGATGCGTAATTAAACTAAGGCATCTAGAATTGACTAAGAGGTAAGTTGTCCCTCGCAGCAATGCCGGACGGTTCACACCGTTAACCATCGGTAAAGAAAAATTAATATATTGGGAGAGCTTTATTCTCCTATTCGCACTATAGCCTGGACATTTTCTTATGCGAATACAATTCATTTCGCTCACTGCAGAACTGTCGCAATGATATAAAATTGGCTTCAAAAGAAATCATTATATATATTAAATATTTCGACCCTAAGTCTCAGCAGTTCAATGATGCTATAAGAGTTTTACGAGGAAAATTGCAAAAGATTATCAGTCAACATCAAGTCTTCAATTTTATTGGAAAAACGCCCTGCATTTTTTTCCTGATCTATTATTACATATTCGTTTTAGATGAACTACGAGCATGTCAGAATCTCGACTCACCGTTCCTTCCAACAATTTTTAGGTGATTTTGATAACAAAACTTAATTTACTCAGTCGCTCCTTTTGGGCATAATGAAGTCAAATTTCGCAATCAATTAGACTTAAGTTTAGGGTTTTAAAAACCGAACAGTTAGACTTGCATAAATTGAAATAATTAAATCCATTTAAGATCTGTAATACTGATAAAATTATATATATTTTATGAAACTTTTCAGTTTTTTTTAGAAACAATTTAATTAAATGTCTACAAATACGATAGTAGATCAAAGTCTAGCGAGAACATCCATTCGCAATAATTCCCACGACTACTACACTACCGCACTCCGTGGTTCAACCGAGTGGTTCAATCGAAATGTTCGCAACGCTATTTCTCCTTCTTACATTTCCACCAGAGGTACTATCTGAGTACATGTGAATTGTTGGGGGCAGGTAACCTGACCTCCATGGATCAAATTGTTTTAGTCGGGGATTCATTAAGATTATCGACATTGCGCGCGCATATTAACATATACTCCTGCGTTCAGTTTGGCCACATAAGGAGAAGGCCAATATAGTCAATTTCATAATACCACTTTTCTTACTAATAGATAAGAAAACTATATTTTTAATAATTTAAAAAATCAGCAGAGTCAAATTTATCCAGCATAAATGTTGTGCTTTTATGTATATTTAAGCAAAAAATTTAAAATGCATTATATACTTTAATACTAGCATCTTTTTTAAACTCTTAGCATTATATCCTCAATAATAACACTGAGCTAAATACTAATTAAATAATAGCCACTTAGTTACGTCGGTCAAGTTTGCATCCCACACACTGCTTGCCAAATTTCCACAGAGCCCCTTAAATTAAAGTTGCCATGCGGGCATGTCTCCGTTGTTGCCATTTTTAGCTTATTTTTATTTTTTTTAAATATTTCAATATATGCCTAACAACTTCTTAAAATATTATTATGCGACTACGTTTTCTTTCACCTAACAAATGTCTCAAAGAAAAAAAACACTGTTCTTAGGCTGTTACAATGGCGTTACCATTTAAACAAAAACATACATATGGTTTTAATGCATTATGTGTATATATATATTTTTTTTTTTTTTTGTTTGTATTTGATATGGATTGGACCTTTTAACTTAAATTTAGATCCATAATCCAGTAACTATATAGAAATCCATTGCTGATATTCATAATTTCACGTGATGATGAAATATTGATGCTTTTTTACTAAGATTTTTTCAATTTTTTGCTTTCTAGGTTATGTTTGACTCTTTTCTTTATTTCTTTATTTCAATTGAGTAACACGCTGAAGTTGGTTGTGTACACCCCAAAGACAGCATGAAGACTGTATTATGTGTATACAGAAAATAGAAATTTTACTAAATAAAATCAAGGGCAAGTATTCCATTTTGTGTGTTTACCGGGATATCAATTGAAGGGTAATCGCCCTCCTACAAACTTTAACTTTTGTCATCGGTTTTCGGCCGATTTTGCTTAGGGCGTAGCGCAACATTCAGCGCAGTCCGGCGCCCGACAATATGTTTCGTTTTTATTTTCCTTTCACAGATGTTATTTTTCGTAAACGTAATCTTATAAGAGATTTTCCTGGTAGTCTTCCTTGAAAATATGCACCTCTGCAGTAAAATTGTTCAAAGTGTGAGCTATTTTGGTTGGACATTAGAAAAAGTATTAAACACCTGTTGTGCATACGTGATGTAAGAAAACACGAAATTCGTCGAAGGACCATAAATGTAAACAGGCGATTATCGCCAAGAGGCTGATCAGGTTTCATCGTCGCCGGCTTTGCAATTCCTTCAAATTTTCCATTATGGTACATTAACAACTGAGAGAAACGTAAAAAATTTGTTTTGTATAAACAAACCACATATGGTAACCAGCAATAAGCATGCAAAACAAAATGGATAAAAAAATTATGGAGAATTTGTGTTAGCCTATATTTAGCTTAATTTAGCTCGATATTTAAGAACAAAGTTGTGGTTACTTTCACCAAATTTTTTTTCTCTTTCTCACAATTCATAAACATAATTTTAGCCAATTACTTTTAATTTTTTTATATATTTGAAATAATAATTCATTTTTAAACAATTGTTTGTATTTTTCTTTTACAGCTGCTTTTTTACGAACGCAACTCTAAAAGAAAGACTTGCGATAACTTTGCTCGGTTT